GGGAAGCTTCGTACTGTCAAATCTGGCAAAGTATGCATTGAAATACTTCTTCGGACCGTCTTCGCCCCAGAACATCACCGGCATAGTGGGAAACGCGTCTGTGACGACGACCTCGCCTGGGACACCCGGTTGGACGGGACGTCCTTGGACTCCCGTGGCGCCTTCATCGGCCTGTTCAAAGATCGCCATGGGTAGTCCCAGGCTGGTTCCTTGACATCCCCCGGCATACAGGGGATCCAGGGGATTTTCCATGCCAAAACAGGTGATCAGATCGGTGCCGCCGGCAATATTCGCGAGCTGGGTGGTAGGCGGGAACCCCTCGTCATAGAACCATTCGAAGAGGGATTCCGAGAGAACCATGCCAGTGCTTGTGACGAGGCTGAGGTTGCTCAGATCGGCGATCTGTCTGGGGCTTATCCGGTTCTTGCGCAGCTCATTGAAGAAACGAGGGGATGTTCCGAAGTTGGTGACCCTTTCAAAATCAGTTCAGTATCGCGCTAAGAAAACTGTTTAGTTTATCTGGGGTCTCACTTTTGCTCTTCCAGAATTCTGAGCAGGATCTCGAGGTCTGGCACGAACGGACTACCGTCGTAGAGCACCGATCTGGCCCCCGACTGCAGGCACCCGACAGCAGCCATATACATGATCCAGCCGGTGGTCGTGTACTGGAGAAGGACGGTGTCCGGGGTGTGGTTGCGGTTCAATTTATTCTCCTTCATCGAGTTCAGAACCGCGCCTCCCACCGCATGGACGATGCACTTCGGCTGGCCGGTGGTTCCGGAGGTAAAGACGATCAAAAAGGGGTCGCGGAATCCGACACGCACGAATTCCAGTTTGTCGGATGTCGCGCCTTCAAGGAACGTTGCGAGTGACTGCGATCGGGGCACTGGACTTATGTCGGCTGGTCTTCCAGCAAACCGGGGCATCAAAACGACGCCCTGGAACTCGGAAATGTCCAGTAATCCGTTCACCACCTCGGCGATCTTTGGGCGTAGGTCGATGGTCTTGCCGTTATACACGGCGAAGTCGTCGAAGAATACCCATTTCGGTTGTACCTGGCGCACTCGGTCGAGGATACCCCCGACACCGGTATCGGTTGAGGTGGACGAGAAGATCCCCCCAAGGGCCGTGACCGCGAAGAGCACGACCGCCGTATTGATGGCGTTCCCCGCGACGACAGAGACCCGGTCTCCCTTTCGCACACCCGCCGCCTTCAACGCCTGGAGCATCCGGCCTGTTCTACGCCGCAGGGCTCCCCAGCTCAGGTTCACAACGGGCTCTGCAGCTCCCTCGCGGACCTCGGTGAAGGCGATCTTGCCATCTTCTTTGCCAGCGGTGGTAGTGCTGCCAGAGGCACCGGCCGTAAACAGGATGTTTTCCGCGTAATTCAGTCGCACACCGGGGAACCAGTCTGGAATACTGTCGATACGGGCGGACTCGTCGACCACGGCGGTGTATTTGCCTTCGTGGATGATGGGGAAGTAATCGAAACAAAAGGCCCAGAATCGTGCTCGGTTGCGGATCGACCATTGATACAGCGAGTCGTGGTCCTTTCAATGATTTTGATGAGATAAAAAGAAAGGAAAAAGTAAGATGAAGATAGGAAGAGAAAGAGGGGGAAACACGTACAGGAAATCTCTCGCCCGTCTCTCTCGCCAAATCCTCCTTGAACTTCCACATCTGCGTGGACTTTGGGTCTGGATGCTCCCACAGCTTGCGAAGAAGACCTGCTTCACTAACTGACATCTTTTACGATAGTGTTTAACGTCGAGATAATTACAGATCTGGCGTTCAAGCGTTCTGAGCGCCTCCCTCGTTCATCGAGCGACTCCATCCCGATTTCAAAGGTCCTGGATGCCCTCTCGAAGCCGAACATCCTCGGTTGACAACTGCGGGGAAGCAGCAGCATCACATACATTTGCCGATCATAACAAGGGGTTGATCGATTTTCTTGATCCAGGAAAGAAATAAAGGGAGGAGAGAGGGGCAGGCAGACAGGCAGTGTTACGATCCATGCTCACTGTCTGCAAGGGAAACACACCCTGCCTGTACTTGAGTCTCCGTTGAATGGGAATAGAGACTAACACGACCTTATTTTGGTGATCTGCTGTTGTTCCCCACGTTCGACCTAGTTAATTTCTACCTGGTTTCTCGAGTCTATTGGCTGGAATGAGGCCTGTTGGTTCTTATCTCTAATCCTTCACCTACTCGAGCTTTCAGACCACTCACAACACTGCATCTCTTTCCTTCGTATAGGGGCGTTATCAGGGCTGACACCTTCTCACCAGGTCGACCTAGTGACGCTTGTTTCTTTTCTGTCGGGCCAAAAATCAATTGCGTGATAAGAGGGATTACATGGCGTCTCTTCTTATCTTTGGGAGGCACAGCTTGGCTCTTAACTCGCTCGGTGAATCCCTGTCAACAGGCGCGTGTGCTTTTCGGGGCGCCCAGATATCCAGCAGACATGGGATGGCACCATTCACGATAGTCCGATATGGCCCTCTTTTTGCCTCAAGGGCATTGTCTAGTGAGTGATCGCACTTGATCCCGTCAGTTCTGGATCTCAGAATACCACCTTAGGAGCGCCATCGCCCCCCCGGTCGAATGACGGCACTTCGCCACGCTCGCCTGCTGTGCCCTGAGTCCACCAGAAAAGGACGTTTCAGCAGTGCTGCTGCCGCTATAGCGCACGTCGTAGATAGCGCAGAGGTCACATGTATTATCTATTACGCCTTATCTTTTCTTTTCTCTCGGGGTCTTTTGCCCCCCCTCCCCCTTCCTATCGGACCGGGCGTTTCTGTGGGACCACAATGCAGCGAGGGGAGAAGAGGCGTTCTCAATCAAGGGGTCGCGCGGACATTGCCGTGTGGGCGAGTCGGGGTTCACGGTAACACTACATAAAGACCCGGCGGGAATGTGTCTGGTGTATATATGGATCCACAGTCAGTCTCGACTCTCCATACATCACCAGTACTACCTATTTTCCTACCATCAAGATGACTGCCGGGGAGCCCGAGGTCGAGAAGAAAGAGCCCATCACCACTGATCCGTCCAGCGATAGCCAGCCTTCCTACGATGATGTCGAGGCTGCGCATGGTACGGTCGAGCACATCAGCCCCTTGAAGCGTAGTCTTCAGGGCCGCCATATGCAGATGATTGCCATTGGTATGTTGCACTGTTTGGAGGGGGAAAAAAGAAGAAAGAAAGATAATTCGGAGAGGCTGACATGGATCGATTGTCTCTTCAGGCGGTGCTATTGGTGCTGGTTTGTTCGTCGGTACAGGAGAAGCTCTGTATGAGGGTGGCCCTGGGTCTTTGGTTAGTAGTTTTCACTATGCTGTCCTCTAGCTCTCTCAAATGGCGACTAATAATGGACATGGCTGTCTAGCTTCTCGGTTACTTGATCGTCGGTGGAATGCTCTTGTTGACCATCCAAGCCCTGGGAGAACTGGCCGTCCTGTACCCTGTCAATGGCGCTTTCTTCACGTATTGTGTGCGGTTCATCGACCCTTCATGGTATGTGCTATCACACCACTCGAAGGTCTTGTTTTATTGGCAGTCATTGGATGTCTGACCGAAGACTTCTTTCCACAGGGGCTTCGCCGTTGGCTGGGACTATGCGATCGGTTGGCTGATTATCTTGCCCTTTGAAATCACGGCGGCAGGTATCACGATACAGTTCTGGCGCGACGACATCAACATCGGAGTCTGGGTTACTGTCTTCCTTGTTGCTCTGTCTGCCATCCAGATCTTCGGAGTGAGGGGATACGGGGAGGGTACGGCCCAAGAAGATTGAACTCTGTACACTGTGGAATAGCTTGCTGACTATCTTTTTCAGTCGAGTTCGTCCTTAGTATCATCAAGGTCACCGCCCTCCTCGGCTTCATCATCCTGGGCATCGTGATCGACTGCGGTGGTGCCCCGAAAGGGTCTTACATCGGCACCCATTACTGGTTCGACCCAGGTGCCTTCACCACCTTTGAGGGCTTCTGTGCCGTGTTCACGACGGCAGCGTTTGCATTTGGCGGCACGGAGATGACCGGTCTCGCGGCCGCCGAGGCCGCCAACCCGGCCAAGTCAATCCCCAAGGCGACCAAGCAGGTGTTTTGGCGCATCACCCTCTTCTATGTCGTGGGCACTTTTATCGTGGGCTTGATTGTGCCCGCCAATGCCGACTACCTACTCGGCTCGTCCGGGGCAAACACCAAGGCGTCCCCCTTTGTGGTCTCCATTCAGAACGCAGGCATCAAGGGGCTCCCCTCCGTGATGAACGCCGTGATCACCATCTCCGTGATCAGCGTCGCCAACTCGGCCACCTTTGGGTCCAGCCGCACCATCCAGGCCCTCGCCGCCAACGGCATGGCGCCCAAGTTCCTGGCTTACGTCGATAACGCCGGCCGCCCGCTGTACTGCATCCTGCTGCAGATCGCATTCGGCTTCCTGGCTTTCATCAACGAGGCCTCGTCCACAGGCGACACCATCTTCACCTGGCTGCTCGCCCTGTCTGGTGTCTCCAACTTTTTCATCTGGGGCAGTGTCTGCTTCGCGCACATCCGCTTCCGCCAGGCCTGGAAATATCACGGCCACAGCGTCGACGAACTCGCGTACGCCGCCCCCTTTGGTGAGATCGGCAGCTGGATCGGCCTCTCCCTTAACGTCCTCTGTCTCATCGCAGAGTTCTACGTCTCCATCGCGCCCCTCAACGCCACGGACTTCTTCGAGAATTATCTCTCCGTCCCCTTGATCCTCGCCCTCTACTTCTGCTGGAAGATCTACTCGGCTAACTCCAAGGACCCCAAGATCAACAACCGCGGCTGGAAGATCCTCCTCAACATCGAGGAAATAGATGTCATGAGCCATATCCGTGATGGAGCCTTGGACGTCGACCTCCCGCCTCGCAAGGTCTATGCAACTTGGGGCGAGTGGTTCAAGGCTGCCCCCATGAGGATGGTTCGGTCTTTGATTTAATCGCAGACTCTTATTCAACTCATCGTTTTCTAGTTATAATAATTCTAGTACTCACCTCTTCTTGCTTACTAGTCACTAAGTATACCATCCTAGTAGAGTTCAAAGGCAGGTCCTATACTCAGCTTGTCGATGGAGATAACCTGTCTTCGTAGGTCTAAGTTTGACCAGTCGCTGATGAACTTCTAGTCAGGAAAGAGAGCAGACAAAGGCTCTGAACTTATCTAACTACTTAGGAGCAAATGTATTTTCATTGCGATCGATAAACATGATGCTGCTGGCGCTTTGGAAGATGAATACATATACATATCAATACCATAGAAATATTATATATTTGACTACTCAAGAGCTACACGTCCTTGTAAGTGTCATGATGAATCTAGATTGCGGGCGCCCAATGAATAGGATATGCTTCTAATGATGGCTGTATTCCACAACATGAAGTAATATGGATTATTGAACCACCATTCAAGGCTGGACTGATAAAGCTCTCAGGAGGAAAGAAAGAAGATAAAAAAAAGGGAGAATAAGAAAAGGAAAAAAAGGGAAAAGAGGATCTGAAACAGGTGTGGCACAAAATGATACAGAACAATAATTGTCTGTCAACGAAGAGAAGAAAAAGAAACGATGACTTGCATTTTCAGACAAGTAATCAGGCAGTAAAGTAAACCAACAAAGGAACAACACCGGGGGAATGTAATGAAACCCATATCCACGCTAGGTTATCCACGAAGAAAGCGGAAGAAAAAAGAAAAGGTGAAGAAAGAAAGAATATAAGAAAAAAGGAAGCTCGAAGGGTGCAGGATCAACCGCCCTGACCCCGGTGAGTAAATGGAAGGACTGAGCCTGGCAAGAAGTGAAGCGTGTCGGAAAAGAGCCGAGGTGTATGGGCGAAAAGTACCATGCACGCAACTTTTGCGGACGAGAAAGAAAAGAAAAACTCGAACGTAAAGCGGAGGGGAAAGAAATCAATTCGTTCATGGTATCCAATCAGCCGATCACTCGAGGGGAAGAAGAACCTAGTAATCATCTTGATTTGAAAAGAGAAGACAAACAACTCCGGTCATCCAAATTCACCGATGGAGGGGGAAAATAAAGAGGAAGCAGCCGACTACATGCAGTAGTAGTGTCCTTGGAGCCAAAAGAAAAGGAGAGGAGCAAAAGGTCAAGAGGGGTAAAGAAGAAAAAAGTGAAAGGACACAAGATGATCAAATGGATATCACTGTAGACAAAGGTGTTGTATCTACCCGGCAACACCCATGGGTCCTGGATTGGCTCGTGCTCTATAAGGAAGCTGCTGGGACTGGCCATCGTTTCCTTGACTGTTGTTGCTGGCGCTGCGTTCGCGATAGTGAACCGGCTGAGGTACAGGGATCTCCATCCCGCTGCCGGGCGGAGGATTAATGCTGGCAGAATGGCTGTGGCCACCTGAGTTCTGAACATGGCGTACAGAGCTCTGCATCTGCCATGCCGTATCCTGGGAGGGATCGTTTTCGATCCGGGCTGCTGACGCTGGCGTGTTGTTCCCGCGGCTTGAACTCGTGATCATGGCCATTTCACCATTATTACCGGGTCTCTGTGAGACGCTGCCACGGGCAATATCGCCGTATCTCCGCAGTATCTCTTTGGTGGTGACCTCGGCATTTTCTTTGAACAAACTTGAGTCGTTCAGAATCGACTGCAAATCTTCAGGAATCTGGAAAGAAAAACGAAGTCAGAGAATGAAAAACAGAAGAATGAGAGGCAGAAGGTCAACTTGCCTCGCACATAGAGTCATTGTAGGTGATGAGCGCATTGACGGCTTCAATGGCTAGGAAACTCTCGTCAACTGTGCTGTTCTTGGTATTCGGGTAGAGGATGTTGGGTGTGATGACAGTTGCCAGATTGTGGATATCCATCTTACTTCCGGACTCGTCATCGATGTGGCTGAATGACGAGGCCCAGTTTAAGAAAGCGAACAATACTTCCATGGTGTCACGATGGGCTTTCGGAAGAAGACAGCATGTGAGATGCAAGACGCGTTTTTGCTTTTCGGGATCAGAAATTTCTGGGGGGTTTTCTTAGTCGTGTACAACGTTGGAAAAAATGAATGTAGAACTTACTTTGTGAAACAACAAAGAGACGGTGAAGCTTGAAGGTCAGTAAAGGATCGGGCATCTCCCTTAGGAACTTTTTCAACAGCGCGGCAATCTGGACTGGCGTCTCCTTGTTCAGATCAACCTGATCATATTTGTTGTCTATTAGTTCCGCCAGTTCCTTCAGACGACGAATGTTCCCGTTCTTGCGGAACACGCCCTCCACGGACATGTCCATCTGCCGCATGGCAGAGACCGCATCGTCGATCAGCGCTGGGATACGAAGGGCACCAGGGCCGATGCCGTGAGTAGACTCTGCCCCTTCCTTCTCGACGAGATAGTCCAGGCTAACTCCAAAAGCGCCTTTCTTCTTGCCACCCTTCTTTCCTTCCTTGTTGAAGGCCCTGCCAAAGATATTCCAGATGGTGGGTTTCCGTGACTCTATCAACGTGAGGAGTTCCTCAAGGTTGAAATGGCCCTCCAGCATCGGCTCCATTGACAGAACAGCGACGTGTCGGACGATGAAGTACTCGAGGGCAGACAGCTCGGAGAAATATCTCTTGCTCCTTCCGCTTTGGTCCATCATGATATGGGCGTCAAAGTTCCCACCCGACACTCCGCGTTGGTGTCCATGGTTGAATTTGGGCATGGGATCACCCGAGGTAACCAGCTTCGTGCCTGCGTGTCGGTAGGCGTTGGGGCGTTGTTCCTTGGCTTGCTCGGCGGCAACGATGCGTGGGATATCATCTAGGGTCAAGGCATCTTGGTTGCCAAAAGTCAGCTCGGCGACCGTGTCGCCATTCGCGTCCTTCTCTTCGACGATCTGGAAACCGTTCCCGCGGGGGTCAGTACCTTCACCACCAGAGGAGCCAGGTCTGACACTTCTCCCTTCAGGGCCGTCAATGATGCGAGACGCTCGGGCCTTCTTGTAGGTGGTCGACAGCGTCCGTTCGTTACGGATGGATCGGAGCCGGCGCATTTCGCCAACGGTTTGTTCCAGGGACGATTCTTCCAAGCCGTCTCTCGACCCGGGCGCAAACGACCGTGATCGTGTGTTTGACCTTCCGAGGTCACCGGGGTGAGGAATGCGATGACCGTCATTGGCCTCATACGCATTTAGATTAGGATCATCTGAATCGGGGAAAACGAAGAAAGAAAGAAATTTTTAGTTGAAGAGCGTATGAAAAAGGAAAAAAAAAAAAAGGGGGGGGATGACCCGAATGAAGGCTTAGATGGGTGCAGGGCACTAATCAGGAGCAGCTTCAGACAAGAGTCAGCTGTTCCAGGATCTTCGCACAGTCAAGTTCTTCAGGTGGTGTCTGAGGCCTGGAGGGGAAAGGAATGGAAAGTTCATCGCATACCAGATGTGTGAGGCAGAGATCCTCCGGCTTTTAGTACAGCTAAAAGGCGAGCAAGGGCTACCCTGAGCAAAAATACAAATTGCTGGAGCTTCGTGACGAGAGTAAAACCGGATCGAGCGTGAGGTGCAAGATTTTTTTGTACCGCACAATTGTTGCAGAAAGGTCGTTTATCTGACTCGCTCCAGAGAGCATCCGGAAGATCTTGGGTCATATCCTTCTGGCAGAAGGCACAGGCCAAATGGGCCGGTTTGATGTGCCATCTCTGTTCGTCCAGAATGATGCACTCGTCGTCGATCGGCTCTTTGCAAGCCGTACAGCAGTCAGATAACTGGTCAGCAAGGCCTTCCACGCCCGCCATTAGGCTCTCGGGTGATGCTTCGTCTTCGGCCGGGCGGAGAGACTCAAGATCTCCCAGATGGTCCAAGAAATGATGCAACCCTTCTGGTTCATTTCGTTCCCTTTCTAGTTTCAAGGCACCCTGTAACCCGATGCGGATGAGAAGTTTCAAGTAATGAGCCAGGCCGGTGACAAGGGACAGAAGCTCTTGTGTAACCCCCAGTTTCCGAACACCTGTCTCCTGCGTCTTGGAAAGCAATGCGAAAAAGGCCACGATCTTCTTGCATAGAAGTTTGGCCTCACGGCCATAGGCAAGGTCTAAGTTGCGGTCAGTAAAAATAACGAAGAGAAAAACCCAAGCCATGGGCAGAGGGTGACTTGAAAGAAAAGCACAGGTACCTTTCACCCCCTCACTTTTCATGCGCGTTGCCAGCTGATCGATCGCGGCGAATAAGATATCGACATGGCCGATGAATCGCTTGGCCACCAAAACACCATCTATGTAGGCTCCGTTGCTCACATGGAGGAGCATGTCTGATATACAGGCTGCTGAGGATTCTTCGAAGCCCGACAAAATGCTCCAAATCTTGTAGACTTTTTCTTCCATCGTGTCTTCCTCGTGACGAATCTGCTCACGCTCCTCATCGGTCGCATCTTGCTTGGCCTCTGGAGGCTCCAGAGGCTGGCCCGAAGGAGCCAGGCGGACATTCCAAAATTTATGGATCATATAGCATTCGGGGTGCCAATGTTGGTTTTGCCCGTTGCGAAAAATCTCAACAAACTGCTTCAATATGGCCGTGTAGCAGCCATGGCAACGCTGTGCAAACTGGGTCGAATAGTGGAAATGGCAATAAACCTTTCCTTCATGCTCATAGTATGAATCCTGTGAGCCGAAGATGGTCGGACACACGGAGCAAGTGAAATGTTCTATGTGGTATTTCCGATCCAATGCTGTGATGTAGGAGCCCCGAAGGGCGCCTCCACACTCGTGACATAAGAGGCCGAGTCGTCTGAAATAATCCGTCTCGCACAGCGGATATTGTCCGTTCCCATCTTCTGCATCGACGGGGAAAAACTTGGAGGCAACGATTTGACCACAATCCTGTAGATAAGTTAGAATTTTTGGAACCGGATTACAAGATAGATGTATGAAGGCGCAAAGATGCTCACCTCACACTTGAAACACTCGAGATGAAAGGTGCCTCCTAGCGCTCTAACAAACTGGCCGGTCAAGGGTTCGCCGCATTTCTTGCAGATGCGAGAAGTGCTCCCAGGGGATTTTGTGTGAGAACGGCCGTTGGGACGTGAACGGTCCCGAGGGGCAGACCGATCGCGAGGAGCAGACCGATCGCGAGGAGCAGACCGATCGCGAGGAGCAGACCGATCCCGAGGAGCAGACCGATCGCGAGGTGTAGATTGATCCGGACGACCGGTGCGATCGCGTGGGACGGAAGGGTCTCTCTCCTGTCGACGTGCGGACCTGCCGTCCGAACCCTGCATCCCATCATTGCTATTCGCGTTGTGATGTCTTGGGGATGGTCTCGCCTGCGGAGAGTCGAACGGAATGGTACTGTCGGCCGGCGAAGTTGGGGTCTGAGATTGGTAGGTGCCGGTGTAGCCCGATGTGTTCAAGGAAGGGCGAACCGCGCCATGGCCAGGTATCAGGCTTTCTGGCAGCGAGTCACCGGGAGGCATTTCCTCGATGAAGATGCAGGTCTTGGCTAAACTGCGATATCAACTTGGAGGAGGTCTAGATAGTCGATTGAAGGAGAGCCGTAGGGGAGTGCTGTTAGGATCGGAAAAAGGGTCTTTCAGTAGTGATTAATTTAGCGCAAGTTCCCAACCACAGGCGAGGGAGGAATAACAGCTGCTCGGCGCAAAACCAAGGCAATCAATCGAAACCTCGAGAGCGCACGTAATGTCAACACCACGACTGTTTTTGCTAGGTGCCGGGCAACGCGAGCACCCACAACACCGATCAAATCCAACCAGAGTAAAGTCAAGAAGAAAAAAATCCTGAAGGTGGCTAGGCACCGTCACGCCATGAAGAACCCACACCCGTCGTTCAAGGCGAAGATGATCCGCAAGAGGATGCGCCGAGAGGAGGAGGAGGAGGAGGAGGAGGAGGAGGAGGGGAGGGGGACGGTAAGACCGGGGCCGATTCCGGGGGCTATTCAGGTGAAACAGGAACAGGAGAGCGACAGCGTGCAACGGACTAGGCGGCTTCCAACCCGTTCTGAAGTACCCCTACGTTTTCGCGACGACGGTGTGAATTTCGAGGGCGCTGGAGCTCACGGTGAGACCAACAAGCGGCGGAGTACCTCACGCATTCCCGCCTTGTGACCGAGCGGAGAGCAGAGCGCGGCAGGGCAGCCTGTGCCTCGCGGAAGGGGGGGGAGGGGGAGGGGGGGGAGGTAACAAGACGAAGTGGAAGGTTCAGTAGACAAGACGAGGCGAACGAGCGTATGGTCGAGGCCCAAGCCTGCGGTGGATCTAGCGAGAGGGATAGAGAGGAGGAGGGGGGGGGAAGGCGGGAGAGCGACTTGTTGCTGCTGGGCATTTGCCCGCCTCTTCTTCCCCCTAACACAGTCATGGCGATGCTGGAGGAATCACGTGTGGGCTCACCGCCTTGCGGACCGCCCAAGAGGCTCCCAGTCGGTGTGTGGCAGTGTCCTGGTATTTGGTCGCTCTGCGCATGTATCATGGAATCGCTGCTGGTTTGAGAACAGTGCTTCTATTTCATGCACTTCTATTAGTCTGTGTCTTAAAATATCCTCGCATCCTGTACAGAGTAGTACTCCCCAGGATAGGATGCCACTGGGGGCGGGCTCTGACCATTTCCCGGCAGAATCCAGGCACTCAGGCACCCAGACAACAACAGCCTGACGTTCAGTGCCTGCCGGCGGTAACCATGGTACAGTACGGCAATCCTGTAACTTACCAGAGTTGGGGTCTTGGTGGTTTCTCAAAGCATTAGACGCTGTAGAGAGGGAAATAAATCGGGGAGGAAAGGGAAAAAACATCTCTAAGAGAAGAGAGACTACTCGAGAAAAGTACTAGTCACAATAGAATGGATATTCAGTAGTTAAAAAGTGAATATAGTAAGCCAGCTAGCTGTGTGCCTCTATGTACCTACCTACCTCAAGGTAGTAGTAAGTAAGTACTTCAAGCGCTCTCTGCAGTGGTCAGGTGTTGTCACCATACGTCAGAGATTCAACCAGACAAAGGTATGGTTGCAGCTACACCCCAAGCCTGACACCTCAAGACTCACAGACCAGGGCTGGCGTCTTATTCACCGTGTCTGCCTACTTGCCGGGAATCTTTGATTTCTTACTCGTCGTGCTTCGCCGCTGGGCTGCCCTCTCGCCTGCTTTGTTTCCATTAAGCCCTACGATGCGCCCGGGGGGCTCTCAGCTCTCCGCGGCCAACCCAACTGCGCTCACTCACTCACAACACCTTTGACAGGCGAAGCACTCGGTCGGGGACGGTTGAAGCGTTCACCCGTCAGCATGTCGGACCAGGCGATTCTGCGCATTACTCGTGTAGGCTTTTCCGCTGCTGAATCTCTCTCTATATGCTGATGGCGGATGTGCTCTGGGGCGGGGTATAGGAGATCAAGCAAATCCAACAGGGCTCAGATCTGTGTAAGTGATGGCGAAGTGATGCCTTGGGACACACTTTGGGGAGAAGTCGCGTCGAACACACTGGATCGCTCATTAATTGCCTTACCTTACTTAGCGCTTGCTGTCGCGTGCCAGGATTCAGATATCCGGAAAGTGCAGGCCTTGGTCGTGGGGCCCCCGGAGACGCCGTACGAGTTTGGGTTCTTTGAGGTCAGCCTAGTTTATTCGTTTTTAATGGAAGGCTCGCCGATGGAAGGCTCATACTGACGGTTCCAGTTTTCGATCAAGTTTGGGCGAAGTCTGCCTCTGAAGTCTGCCGGTATTGGGAACGACCCCTGCTGACTGGCACAGACTACCCTGCACACCCTCCCACGGTCCAAGCGGTGACTACAAATGGTGGAAGATGTCGGTTCAATCCGAATATTTATGCCTCGGGGAAAGTCTGCTTGTGAGTCCAAAGTAAAAGGAAACTTGGAACCGACACGCACAGGTTGCTGACGAAACGGTGGCCCAGATCAATTCTAGGGTAACAGCTGAATCTTCATTTGCACAAGCACATTGATGAAAGACTTGCTAATCATTCACAGAACATGGAGAGGAGAAAGCGGAGAACAGTGGTCATCTGCCCAAGGACTGGAGTCGGTTCTGATCTCGATACAGAGCCTGATGTCTTCCAATCCGTACGAGAATGAACCAGGATACGAGAATGCAACTTCCTCAAAGGACAAGCGAAATATGACTAGCTATGTCGCCAAGGTAAATTCCCAGCCATTTCTGGCGATTGTAGATAGCTGACATTCTTCAAATGGAAGATTCGCCACGAATCCCTGCGGCTTGCGGTCATCGCGCCGCTCGAGGCATCGCTGGGCATTCGGCCGGATGGAACGGTTGTTCCACCTGATGTAGACGACGAGGAGGAGGGCGGCGACCGTGACGCCGACGATGACGACTCCTTTTCATCCGAAGACGAAGAATTCCGCCCGTTTTTTGATGTGCGAAAGCGGCGGTTCCTATGGTACTATGAGTCGTACGTCCGAAGCATTGACAAGGCCGAACCGGAAGTTCGTGCGCAGCAGCGGTTTGAACGCATGCCGTTTGAGGGCGAAGGCAACACCATGGATGGTCATTTTGATTATCCCGAGCTGCGACGCCGGATTTCGCTTATTCGCAAGACCATCCTTGATGAGACTCATCGTTGGGCCTCACAAGGAAAGGTCGCCTTGTTGCGCGAAGCAGGCATTGCGGTCAACCTCCAGCGCCAGTACGAGCAAATCCGGGAAGATCTCAAACGCCGGAACCACTTCACCATCGATCTAAATCTGTCCGAGGCCAACCCGTTCGTCTGGGAGCTGACCTATTTCGGCCGCCCGATGACCAAGCTGGACGGAGGCATCTTCCGCATCCGCATCCATCTGAGCCCGCGCTTCCCAGACGAACAGCCCCGGGTGTTTGTCGAGACAGCGCTGTTCCACTGCCGCGTCTCGCGAGATGGCGTGCTGTGCTATTTCCCCAAGCGGTTGGAAGAAATGCGCTCGCATATTGAGGCCATTGTCGCCGCGCTCGAGGAGGATGAACCCCCCTACGACCCTCGCATCACCGTACACCCCGAGGCCTCGCGGCTATTCTGGGGATCCCCCGACGATCGCAAGCAGTATAACCGTCTGCTACGCCGCTCTGTTGAACGCAGCGCCGAGTGAGTCCCCTTTTGCAAAGAAGCAATGCTCCATACCCTGCTAAATCATTCGAGGGACGTGTTCTGATCGTTGACCACCATCATCAACATCTGTTCCTGGATCGAAAGGCTGACCGGGAATCTTTATGATATTCAAAAGATTTCGCAATTTGTTTGAATTTGTTTTTCTTCTTTTTTTTCACGGCATATCTCTTCTTATTTCCTTCTTTTCCTTTCTTTCCCTTTCCCCCTTTTTTTCTCTTTTTTTTCTTTTTAATCCAATACCCAGGTCGGTAAAATAGGTAGCTCTTTGCCTGTCAGGGAGACCACTTTGCTTCATATTAGTAACCCGAAAATTATCACTGCAATCCAATTGAAATCGAGGTCAAACAATCAATGGAAATTCAACTGTAGTTTACTAACGAGTAGTTAATCTTGTTGGGAACAGGCGTGCTAAATAGGGGCTCTGTGGTATGGTAACGCTTGGTCTGAGCTTCTTTTCCCCCGGAGTTCCACTTCGCCTCCATCAAATGCCACCTGCCAGATCTTTCGAAGTTTCCATCTCCTACGGCTCCTGCCCCTTCCCTCCTCCCAACGACCGACGGGTTTCGCGCACAAGCGGCAATATTCATCAATCGCCATGTCGGAAAAACGGACTTCGATGGAGCTGGGCACCGTCCTGGTGGTGGGCGGCTGCGGGTTTCTAGGCTGGCACATCGTCGACCAGCTGCTCAACTTTCCCTCTGAGCACGACCCCAGTGCGGCGATTCCGACGATGGAGGGCAACGAGAAATTTGCCGTTCCTCGTCTGAGCGACAGGTACCCGACATACAAGGCCAAGGTGGCGGTGGTGGACCTTCGGACGAGCCAGAACCGACTGCCGGGCGCCAGCTACCATGATGGGGATATCACATCTACGGAACAGATGCTGGAGATCTTCCGGACAGTGAAACCGGATGTGGTGATCCATACAGCATCCCCGTCACCGATCGGCGCCACCAAAGAGCTGTTGCACAAGGTGAACGTTGAGGGAACGCGGACGCTCGTGGAGGTCGCTGCAGGCGAGCGCGGCGACTGGGGGGGCAAGTGCAAGGCCTTTGTCTACACGAGCTCCAGCTCTGTCGTGCATGATACTCAGAGTGATTTGATCCATGTCAACGAGGACTGGCCGTATATGCGTGGACCTTTGCAGCAGGAGTATTACTCGGAGACGAAGGTACGCTCACACTTGGTTTATTGAAGAAAAAAAATAAGAAATATTCGGTGTGTCGGTGCGGTACTAATTGAATAGGCCAACGCAGAAGAACTCGTCCTGAAGCACAACAAAGCCGAGGCGTCGACGATGCTGACCACCGCCATCCGCCCTGCAGGAATTTTCGGCGAGAAGGACACGACGATCACACAGAACATGCTTGACCACGTGTCGAAGGCGTCCCCGTTCGTGCTGCGGATGCAGCTGGGTGATAACGAGAACCTGTTCGATTTCACATATGTCGGAAACATCGCGTACTCGCACATGTTAGCGGCGTACTACCTGCTCTCGACCTACACCCGGCTCGAGTCCGGTCGTGGCCTCCCGCTGGACCACGAGCGCGTCGACGGCGAAGCGTTCAACATCACCAATGACTCGCCTATTTACTTCTGGGACATGACGAGCGCGATCTCGGCGCTCGCGGGCAAGCCGGTTGAGCCGGCACAGGTCATCTCCCTGCCGGAGTGGCTGCTACAGCCCATCGGAGGTATTGCTGAGACCGTCCTGGGTCTCTTTGGTAAGACTCCGCGTCTGACCCGGCGCGCCGTGCGTTACTCGTGCATGACTCGCTACTATTCTATTGAAAAGGCCCGCGCCCGCCTCGGATATCTGCCCATTGTCCCGCTCGACGAAGGTGTCCAACGGGCTGTCGGAAACTATATCGCGCGCAACCAGCTGGGCGAAAAGAAGGCCCAATAGTGTACTTATAGTTTGATTATGTTCTGTAGATATTTATTGTAATCGCTCTTCGGCTCATAATTCACTCAACGACTATGGATTGATTCACGGTTTCTCAAAAGGTCCATGACCTCATCATCCCCTAAATACATTTGACTCATGATCTTCGTATTGTCTTGCATTTATTAGCATGGTTTCTTGGTATGACCGGTAGCGTCAATATGCCATATGGATTTAGGTCAACACTGCTGCTTTTAATATATCGTTCTATCACTGGCTCAGATAACCGAACAGAATATGACAGGATATATTATATGCATTTTATATTATACTATCAGTAGACGTATCTGCTGTACTCAATGACCTGCTAATATAAGCAGATTTGCCGGCTCTGTTTATGCATAATTGGTGATGAGGTCCAAACGATGACGACAAAACGATATACCTGGTCATCCTAGAGTGATTCCCCTAGTAGCTGATTTTGATATAGTGGTTGATATCGGCATCTCTTCCCCATTACGCTTGATCCGAGTTTCGCGGGATTCCAGCCTTTCATGTAAGATTTAGACCTCTTGTTTAGGTTTATGAACGAGAATGATTTCTCTAGTCAAGATGGATGACAACGTCTGTACACCTGTACTGTCAGGAACTACCTAGGTCAAGCTAGATCTTCTTTGACCAGATCCGACACCTGGATCTGTGAGAAGTGCATACTCAATGTACAGCATGAATCAGCATACCGTGTTACTGAGAGGAAAACCCTATCTCTCCTAGGATAGAAGGGAGAAATAACGGTCTTACCCTTCTTGTCGCCGGGATATGTCCTTGTCCTTAAGTGATGCGTCTTGCTCGACGGCAGACAGACTGTCGATTTATCATCATTGCAACAGCTTCTCCCCTCCGAGCCTTCGCCCTGCATGTTATGCCCATTGAAAACTACTCCCACCCAAGCGCTGTGGCGGATGGCTACTTCCGATATCTCTCTCTGTCGTTATTCATCCCATTGTTTGCATAGACGGAGGTTGACACTGTCTCCGTATACTGTGTACAGTCAGGTAATGGATGCCCCACCTTGGCAGGGTATGTGGAGCGCCGATCGAGAGGTGGGGGGGGTCCCGTCAATGCTTTTTGATCCAGGATAGTCGAGGATTAATGCACATAAATTGACGTCGAGAAAGTCTTCAAACACAAGGTAGTTAGTTACAAGTCAGGTCTGCTGCTTGTTGAGGAAGTCGAGAGTTCCGCTTGCGGTTCACCGTGGATCACGTGTATCGGGGCGTTTACGTCATCGGCCCACCGAGTCTCTTTTTCATCTTCTGGAACTTGCTCTCTGCCTGCTTAGAAATACAGGCTACAGAGTGACTAAAGAGAAGTTTTTCTCCCTTTTCTCCCTTTTCTAATCTTCCAGGTACTATCTGAGTATTTTTTTTTTTGAGTTATCGGGAAGATGAGGGCTGTGGGAGTTCGCAATGGCAAGGGAGACGCCGACGCCCTCTTCATCGAGGAGAACGTGGCGGACCCTGTTCCCAAGGATGATCAGCTGCTGGTGCGCGTCAAGGCTTTTGGGCTGAACAGAATGGATACCATGCAGCGTGAGGGCAAGTATCCCTTTCTCCCGCCTGATGCCGGGCCTATCATCGGGGTTGAGTTCAGCGGTACAGTGGAATCCAAGGGGTCAGCCTGTGAGTACTTGGATCTATGACTAGGTAGTAACAGTCGTACTGGATGCTGAATAGATACCAGGCTCGGACAAGTTCTCAATTGGTGATGCCGTTTTTGGACTCATCTCAGGTGGTGCGGTGAGTGGCTGATCACGATGAATATACTATCTATATCCCGCTGACAGACGGACAGTACGCAGAAAAGGTCGTCATTAGCGAAGGAATGCTCATTCCGAAGCCCCCGCATCTGACGCACGAGGAAGCAGCCGGTACGACAGAGGTATTTGTTTCCTTCTATTCGTTGACGGATGAAATTGAAACTCTAGAAAAATGTCATTTGCTAAACTAGAGTGTTTTGTGACTCGTCTTCAGACCTGTTTCACTGCCTTCCAGGCTCTCTCGTTCGTCGGAGGATTCCAGTCTGGCCAGTCCGTCCTTGTCCATGCCGGTGCGTCCGGAGTTGGCCAGGCGGCCATCCAGATCGCCAAATTGCTTGGGGCATCCAAGGTTTTCACCACGGCAGGCAGTGATGCCAAGTGTAAGCAGAGTCTGGAGCTCGGGGCCGACGTGGCTGTCAACTACCGCACCGAGGATTTCTCGAAAGTCGTGGAAAAGGAGACCAACGGACGCGGCGTGGATCTCATCATTGACCTGATCGGCCGTGACTACTGGCACAAGAACATGGCATCGGCTGCCCCAGACGGCAAGCTCGTCCTGGTCTCCATGATGAGCGGGCCGATTGTCGACAACTTGGACCTGCGTGTCCTCCTCACCAAGCGATTGTCTATCATGGCCACCACGCTGCGCATCCGCGACAAAGAATACAAGTCACGTCTGTGCAATGCCTTTATCGAGCAGGTTCTGCCTCACTTTGAGGCCAGACGTATCCGAACGATCGTCGACTCGGTCTATCCCTGGACGCAGGTGGCTGACGCCCATAAGCGGATGGAACAGAACCTGAACTCGGGCAAGATCATCTGCGCAATCGACTGATAGATGGTACATTTATAAATATTGATATATATTGAACACTAGCTATATATGTATGACTGAATGTGTTTTGAAAGTGAATCTCAATTTCTCTCAAGGTTCCCTTCCCGTTTCTTTGCTTCAATCCCCTGATCAGATCCACCACATTTTCGGCACTTCCTAGTACCTGGCTTCTCTCCAAGCTATGGATCTGTCACGGCTTGAAATACTTACCCCGTAGACTCTGCTCATTACCTCTGGGTTAGTGGTCATTTCCCTCAAACAGATATACCAACAAGCAAAACGATGGAGTCGAGAGACTTCCGAGGAATACAGTATGTACAATCTCATGGAGGTGAAACTGGAAGGAAATTGCCACACGGTTCCTTCCCTTTTTGATCTGTTTGATTTTTGACCGCTTCAACTCAACTCATGATATCTTTTCCTTCTTCTGTAAGAAGCAACCTTTCCTGCTGCTTATTTTCTGGGACTTATTATCGGAATCCGCTTTGGCCTTTGTACATGCACGATGTTACGGGTCATCCAGTCTCTATTGCTTGTTCTACAGGCATGGACAGTTGCAACCAGTAGCATCCCGACAGGAAAGATACAGCAGGTCCTGGGCGTTCCAAATCCATTCCATGGGCCCATGCAAGGCATTCCTGGGATCAGTGCTACCTTCGACTATATTGTGATCGGTGGAGGCACGGGAGGGATCACACTCGCTTCACGGCTCGCTCTAAACAACTTCCGCGTGGCCCTGATAGAAGCAGGGGACTACTACGAGATGAAGTCCCTCGCTAATATACCGGGGGCGGTGGACATCGGGGTTGGGTCGGATCCTCACCAGACAACATTGATTGACTGGGGGTTCGTGGCAAAACAAGTCCCCGGAGCAAACGGGCGAGATATACACTATCCACGAGGGAAATGCTTGGGGGGATCGTAAGACGAACTCGCAATCTGTTCATGCAACGTGGTTGTGGTTGCCATGCTGATCTATATTCCATGCTAGGTCTGCGTTAAACTTTATGATATATCAAAGGTCAGAAAGGTGCCTGCCATAGCTACCTGGAATAATCGCTGATAACGTTTAGACCAACCAAAGGGACAATGGAGATGTGGGCGGATCAAGTCAACGATTCCTCATACAGCTTCGAGAATGTAATGCCCTTTTTCAAGAAGACTGTGCAATTCACTCCCCCAAATGCTGTAACCCGTTTTGCCAATGCTTCTGCGAGGTACAAGCCAGACGCGTTTGATCCAGCTGGTGGCCCTCTTCATGTTTCCTATTCGAACTATGCTCAGCCATTCTCGACCTGGATGGATCGTGGAGTAATTGCAGTAGGCATCAAGCGAACAGAAGATTTTAATAGTGGCACGTTGTTCGGTGCGCAGTACTGCTCATCGACCATTCGACCGTCTGATCAAACAAGAAGTAGCTCTGAACGAGCCTTCTTAAAATCATCCCTCCCTCTAGGGAGACTGACTATTTACAAAAACACAATGGCTAGAAAAATCATTTTCAATAAGTACAAAAAAGCGACAAAAGTGAGAGTAAGCTCGTTTTTGCTCCAGTTTACCCTGTACGCTGCCCGGGAAGTGATCATCTCGGCGGGTGCATTTCAATCGCCTCAGCTTCTTATGCTTTCGGGGATTGGTCCTGCTGATATCCTTCATCAACACGGAATTGACGTTGTCTCTGAGCTGCCCGGAGTTGGACAGAATATGTGGGATCATGTATTCTTTGGACCAACGTACAGAGTGAACGTTGAGACCTTGACCAAGCTGGCAAACGATGTCCCATACTTGGCCGAACAACTTCTCAAATACGAGGCAACACATACAGGCCCACTGACAAACCCAGTCGCCGACTATCTCGCCTGGGAGAAGCTTCCCAATACGTCTCGTTCGAGATTCTCTAGTGAAACGGAGCGTGAACTCTCCAAGTTCCCCAGTGACTGGCCCGAAGTTGAGGTAAGAGTTGAAGCCTTTTACCCTTCAAGTTTATGCTGACGAGGTATATCATGATTAGTATGTCTCTGGATCGGGATATGTTGGCAACTATTCGAACTTACTCACCACGCAACCGCGTGATGGTTATCAATATGCAACGATCTTGGGCACACTCGTTGCCCCGACATCTCGAGGAAATGTCACAATCGCCTCTGCTGATCCCTCACATCTTCCGATAATCAATCCCAACTGGCTGGCTACCAGGGCTGATCAAGAAGTCGCCGTTGCAACCTACAAACGTGTACGAGAAATTTTTCATAGCGAAGGGATGTCCCCCGTCGTCATAGGCGATGAATACTTCCCCGGTAGTCGACACAGCACAGACGAAGAGATCCTGGAGGTCATTAAGAATACAGTCATGACCATCTACCACGCTTCATGTACATGCAAGATGGGAATAAAAGATGATCTTATGGCCGTCGTTGACAGCAAGGCCAGAGTGTTTGGGGTACAGGGATTGAGAGTAGTGGATGCAAGCGCATTCCCATTGCTGGTCCCTGGGCATCCACAATCTGTGGTCTGTAAGTTTTTCCATTCTAGGGATCATAAACTACAGGTACTGTTCTTTCTCATGTGCGACTTTGTAGACATGCTCGCGGAGAAGATCGCCGCCGATATCATCACTTCATCATGACTTCACTTCTGCGGTCCAGGTCTCTTTTATCAGATCGGCGCACTTCTCACCAATAGCATACGCCGGCATTTGAGTATGGCCTCCGATCAGACCGGGCATGATGCTGCAGTCGGCAACGCGAAGACCCGAGACTCCCCGTACACGCAGTTTATTGTCGACGACGGCCTGGGGGTCATTGTCTTTACACATGACACAAGTTCCGGAAGAATGATAGCCTGCTTATCAGATTAGAAAATATAGATATATATAGATATGGGTGATCAAAAAAGAATAGTAATAACTTCCATGTCGTGGCTTCCTCCTTCACGAACGGAACCCATTGCTCTCGCGTAGTGAAAGTATGGTGCGCTAGATCTGGTGGTCATGAGCCACGGATGATATCCTTCGTCCCGGCACCCCTGACGACGATATCGTTTGCGAACCTACACGCTTCGCTCAAGACAAGGACATCCAGCTCGTCATCTAGGAACTTGCAGTTCACTATGGGGACCTGCAGGGGATCTCTCGAGGCGAGAGAGACGTAACCCCTAGACTTGGGAGCTAGGAGGTTCGCGATGATCGAAAATGCATGTTGGTGATCGTGTGGGAAGTCAGTGAACTGTAACGGGCCACCGTAACATTCGGTCATGAAGAACTCGATGTGCGGCTGGTCGGGGGTCAAGCCAAAGGGGTCTCTTCTGTGTCTTGTGTGTGTTTCTGATTCATCCTTTTGTTTCTGTTGCTGTGCTTCTTTCCAGATGGGTTCTTCGTTCAGCCTGTCATCAAGGCGAGAGAAAGCTATAGAGCCAAAGGGAAATGTCGAGAAGATACCCTGCTGCTGATCCTTCCATAGGGCGAGGGAATTGGCCATGTTTCCCTTGTGATAGAGTTTGTGATCTGTGGTTAGGCCGTGTTGGGTTGTTTCATAGAAGATAAAGACGATCTAAGAGAATTTGTCAAAAAAAAAAAGAAAGAAAAAAAGAGAGAGAGACATTTTATTTTGAATCTCTTCAAAGGGGTTCAAAGATTCACCACATGATCCATTAGGTTCCTGCCTACACCGTCAAGCTCCTTCAAGCATTCGATGCCGTGCTTCTCCTTTTCTTCACGCCGGCCGAGCCCCGAACGCATCAAGATGGGCGGACTGCAGTACGCACCGCTACTGACAATGACCTCCCTGCGAGCGAGGTAGGTCTCCGTCAAGCCGGAAGCAGTCACGACAGTCACCCCCGTTGCGCGGAGGAGTGGTTTCGTGGCTCCGTCGACGACGTCTCGCCATTGTTCTTTAGATTGTTCAAGAATCACCCGGTCGACAGTCATATCAGTTTTGATGGTGATGTTCTCACGGCGATGGTGGTCTGTGAGAAAGTCCGCCGCCGTGGACCGGACGCCCTTGTAGACGGTGCGCGGAGCGTGGCCACATCCGTTCGGAACGCCGCAGACGGTGCCTAGGTCGTTGTGGAATGGTAGGCCGGACGAGACGAAGGAGTCCAGCATCCGCTGCGAGATGGGTGCTAGGTCGTGCGGTTTGATGTCCAGGGGACCCGAGAAGCCGTGGTCGCTCGCGTCGGCGTTGTACCATGGTTTTGGATGGAATGTTTCCGCCTATCCGTTTGAGTTGGAAAGGACTTTCAATTCCTTGAGGGATGTTTATAAAGCTTACCCTGTTCATGTACTGGAACACTTCCTCGCCACTCCATCCGTCCAGATCCCAATTGTCGTAGTCTTGTTTACTTCCTCGGATGCACAGCGTGCCGTTAACGCCGCTGCTGCCACCGAGAAGCCTGCCTCGACTGAGATTGACGCGGCGGTTGTTCACGCCGGGCATGGGAGGAGTGACGATGTTCCAGTCGGTGGATTTGCCGAAGTTCTTGTTCCAGCTGTGTAGGGAAAGAAATCGAACTGATTAGAGCGGGGGGGGGTTCTTCTAGGAAAGAATGGCTTACCCGCCTGTCATATGGACGTTCTCGAGATCATTGCTGTCTGGGCCTGCTTCGATGACTAGGATCGTCAGGTCTAGGTTATCTGCTAGACGACGTGCGATGACGCAGCCGGAGGTGCCTCCTCTAGATAGACACTTGGTCAGTTGGAGTGTGATGGTTATCTCGGTGAGTGACTTGGGTGGTGGAAGACGAGGACAAGGACTCTACCCGCAAATAATATAATCATACGACTCGCAAGTGGAAGGCATTCTGACCATTTAGCATAAAACAGTTTGCTTTCTATTCTTCGATTTGATCAAAGACAAGACCGAGTCTGTGCGGAAATCAAATCCGATCGCTTGATATTGACGTCTTCATCTCGCAAGATTACTTTTTTCAACCATCCAAGCATGATGATTGGCAGTTTTATCAAATGCCTGGTCCTTGGGGTATGAGCGCTTCCAGGCTTGAACGCGAATTTCGAAAAGTATCAGCATACTATCAGCATGTGCTAAAGCCTATCTAAATCGCTTCATGAGTAGCCCTCCCCAGTCGTGAGCTTTCCATAGTGTTTTCCCCGCAATGAATTGTTTTCGTTTTGAATGCTTGCATGTCACTGTCATGGCGCAGTCGTATCCTTCACCGTCCCTAGATAAGCTGGATTTGAAGTCGATTGTTATCGTATGGAATGATATACTGGGGCAGAGTATCGGTTAAAGTTCGCCCTGCAGTTTATACTGTCAGATCTCATTCATAAAGCAAGCACTGGGGGCAGTGCTTAATATAGTCGCGAACCGTCTTGTCCGGCCGTAGTAGCTGCATTGTCGCTACTATTTCCATTTCAATCTTCTTCGGCTGCAGCAGCCCGACAGCACTGCCGGTATAATATTAGCATATGCTTACGACAGCTTAAACATTTACACATACTCCGAGCAACGCGTGGTGGAGCCACCACGCTCCCTTGCAAAGCGTCTTCGAGTCATAGGGGAGGATTGGTCCCCTAAAACGCTTCAACCTGAAGCTAGGCGAAGAAGGTACCCGGTCTCTGTGAAAGCGGTCTCTGAACTGCACCGCAAAGTCCTCGTCCACAGATGATTGTATATCAGAAACCCTTGACAAGTGTATTCGAATAATCCTACTACCCACCACCATGGGCTGTGAGCTCAGTCTTATCAAACTTCGCCTTTAGTTCCCTCCGATGGGGACTCCATACTGCCCTACCTGCTGTGAATGGAGGATCCAGGGCCGTCAAAAGTGAGACGGGGGTTGTGTTTACTAAGTCTTCATTGACTTTGGCTTGAAAACAATTAAACTCAAGAGCTTAGACACCGAGGTTGACGTTGTGAGGATGTTCCTTCGTCCCACAGTCTGATACCTGGTTCAGCGCGCTTTCAAAGCGACGCTCAGCTTTCTGGCGGCTTTCGTCCATTGTTTGTGGTTTTCAGGCACAAGTCCAAAGACTTTTGTCAGCTCGGTCTGTTAGTTCGCGATCTTTGAGGGGAAAGCTCTGTGTTTTCAAGCGAGAAATGAATCAGTCGACAATCGTAGTAAGGAGAAACGGGGGGAAGTCGTAGAGTGTTACTTGGGGTTTATCCCCTTAAATAGTTCAAAATTGAGTGACTGGAGAGGAAAGTGAAGGAGACCCTCACAGAATTCACTATCCCCTAATTGGATTAGGAGGAGCCTCTACAAGACAAGACAAGATAATATTCACTGTACAGCCTACAGGGTCACTTCTACAAATACCCTAGAATTTTTGTCTTCTTCATTCAATTCTGCTTTTCAGTAGCATTTTTGCAGCGTACAATGCCACATATCCAATCGAAGGTCTTGTCTTTCCAGAGAATATCTACAGCTGTGGCTACTACTTTTTCCTCTGCTTACTTCCTTTCCTCCACATTTCTATGCATATAAATCATACGCCTTGCAGATATGTTGCACAACACTTTGATGATGGAATCTAGTTCAATATGGAAGAAATTTATGATCATAATATATAGATATAGGTCTATCACTAGAACTCCAGGTAAGACAACCACTCTCATTAAGCTCCAACTATAACTAATCAAGTAAAGTGCCTAGTTTAGTGCCACCTCGCTTCACTCTCCACCACTATCTTGATTGGTTCCTTGAGAAGGTATCTAATCAAGCCTGAGGCATACTAAGGTACCTAAGTAAGTAACCTTGCATTGTGAGTATAAGTTGTTAAACCTCATCCTTCAAGCGCATGACCTTTTTTTTTTTTTTTTTTTTTATGTGAGTGGATTATCATTGGTATGGATTTCATTTCTGGCGGGAACATTTACCTTTACCTTCTTTCTACCCCGCAAAGACGATCCGCAATTCCTCCTGTGTGGGCCTTCCAATCATCGCGGTTCCTTGCCAGAAATGTCGAGCCAAAGTTTTTGTGGGTCGATCGTCTTTCTGCTGCTGCTGCTGCTGCTCCTCTGTCTCTCCCTTTGAGGTGGCGGGAAGATCGACGCCCGTGGCATTCTAGCTATTACATAAGATGACGACGGCTTCATACCCGCAAGAAAGAAGGGATGTGGCATTATGATCTTTTCTCCTGTGGTTGGACGAGGGTACTTTGTGAACGCCAGGAGCTAGCTTCCTACCTGCAGGCTGCAATCTTGTTGGTAATCGATATCGTTTATATTACTCATGTGGCCGTCATGGCGGGACAAGAGAAGGGGGGTGGGGGGAAGGAAGGAAAAAAAGGAAATAAGCCAATTCTTTCCTTTCGCATCCGAATGGATTTTGGGTACACTAGATGCTTTCGTTCTCATCGATTCGACCCATCTGGATGTGTTTGAGAAGAGGGGGGGAAAGGCGCCAAGGCCAAGGCCTGGGAAGTGAGATCCTAATGGGCAGCCCCCGGACGGCGTGCAGGACGATGTGCAGGGGACGAGATTGGTCTGATGACCCGTTGGAGACCTCCCGGAACCTGGAACGCAAGAGTCCTCTGCAGGTGCTGGATGGACATTCCCCCAATGACGACTCCAACGGCCTATCTAAATCCATTGAGATGAGAGTAGAGAGCGCACAACCCCCCCCCCCCCCTGGACCCTGATTTGGCGGCATCATGTTTCATCACATGGTTATCCTGAAAAATAAGACTTTGCCGCCATCAAATATACTATCCGAATATATACTCTTAGGCTAGACAATGACCGGGGGGGTTACAGGGAGGGGGGCGCAAAGTACGGAGTACCTAGAAGGGAATAATAAATATTAGCTTTGCTTCTGGTTGAATGCGAAACGCAGACAAGTACCAAGCCACCAGATGTATCATATATCTCTTTTTTATCATCAGCTCCTCGACCAGGGGTTTGGAGAAGTAGTGGTGGCATTTGGCTTTGCTAGGTAGTGGCTGTTCTGGCTGTTTTTGCCGAATGCCGTAAGCAGTCGTCTCATCACACACGATTGGAATCCAGCGATCTGAGCATCTAACAACCTGAGACCATATGTAGTATTCTGTACTCCGTATGTAGTAAGGACATTATCAATAGGAACGAAAGAACGAAGGGTGGGGAAAAGAAAGGACAGGGTCTCTCCTATGGTATGGCGTCTGGCATTTCGATTAGTATCCGTATATTTTTGGTACAGATGGGGAGATCCGAGCAACGTCATCAGACAGAGCGATAAGAAAACCCACCACGCAAAGGCTTCCAACGCTCTTGGAATGTCTAGCAGCCTTCAATTGACATTAAATCGACGGTGCTGCAATATCACCAGGGGTGTTCTGTTTTGGACGTCGCTGGTACGAGTCTAGATTGTCCTGCCTCCTCCCAAAAGAAAAAAAAAAAAAAAACCCACCACGCAACACCAACGTGGATACTGTCTTGTATTTTCTGCATCAATTGCAAGGAAAACGAGAGAAAACAAGACGGAGGAATAAAAAAAAAGACGCTCTGTACAACGTCCAGAGAGTCCTTTGTGCTAATCTCTCTCATCTGTTGTCTGCCTGCTGCTGCTGCTGTTTTGTGTTCCTTGCTTGGCCTGGCCTTACCGCCTTTCGCCCAGCCAAACGTGACTTGCCTTTCTCCCCCCTCCTCTGTTTCTGCTACTCTCTCCCAGTGAGCCCATCAAATCTACTGTACACTTTTCTTCTGGCATCCTTCTCTGGTCTGTCTCCTCCTCAGCTAGTGTACTTCTGCTGTACATTTTGCACTCTGCTTAATCTTACCCAGTGTCTTGCCTGTTGGCCTCCCTCGAGGTTGGCCCTCGTCAATCATCAGCCCTGGGCTTCGCGTTGACACTCTCTCCTCGTCGCGCCCATTCCCCGCATAAGACACGGCACCCGTCACTCACCGTCTCAGCGGTTTCCCGCCTCCCACCCCCCTGGTCAGTCCACGACGTTCGGCACCCCCCCCCAGGATTTTATCAGTGTTCTAACTCATCTGGGATAACGGTAGATAGAAGAGAAAAAGATAAGACGCTTCCTAGGTGCGTCGACGTGCATCGACGTGCGTTGTCAGGCCTCAAGTGAGATCGTCGCCCGTGCCTCGACAAACCCGCACGAGTCTCGTCATGGCCAGTTGATGCCTCGGATGAATCCATAAACTTTGAGAAGGGCATCTGCTCTGCCCGGCAGACGGTCCGGCTCGGCTCAGCTGAGTGACCATCTGTCCGTTGTGTGATCAACAATTGTCTCTGTCATCTGGTTTGCCTGGTTGCCATCCATCTATCCAGCATGGCGGGCAATGGCGCACCCAGCACCCAATACCTGGCCCCTCCGGCCGTCACGGCTCTGCGGCAGGAGGCCCGGAGCATCGATCCAAAAGTTTCTCCTCTCACCCGAACGCTGAGCGACGATATGCGGGAAGAACGCGAGGATTTGAAGGAAGCCGCTGAGCAGACCCTGAACATCATTGTCGATCTGGATCTCGACGGTCGTGTCAAATGGGTTAGCCCCTCATGGAAACAGGTCGTTGGCTATCCGGCAGAGTCGGTGGAGGGTCGAATGATCTCGGATCTGCTCGTCTCCAACACCGAGGTGTTCCATGACGCGATCGAAGCGATGAAGATCGACGACTCGCGGAGTCGCTTCATTCGATTTGCCGTGCAAATGGGCCCCGACTCCGTCTTGAAGTACTCCCCCGAACCGAAGCCTCCGTCTCCCGATTTGACGGCAGCGACCGAAGAGCCCGGAGAGGATGAATCCGCTGCAGCGCAAGAAACCCAGCCAGCGCAATCAGAAGATTATACTCATGACATTTTGACTATGGAGGGACAAGGAATCATGGTGTTTGACCGTTCGGCACAGGGTGCTGACCATGTGAGTTCCGTTCCAACTTGGGAAATTTAGCGATGCATTCATTGCAAGTCACTAATCAATCGCCAGACCATGTGGATGCTGCGTCCATTCACAGAGCCGCGCGAAGTGACAATTGATCTTCCCCCGCTTCTGGTCGAGTCGCTGGGCGTCGGAGCCGAAGTGTTGGCTAACTACTTGACTGTCCTGGCCGAGGCCGCCGCTCGAGAGCCCGATCCCGCGAAGCAACCTGCCCCCAACCCGGTGCTCTGCCGTATCTGCGAGCGTCAGATCACTCCCTGGTGGTTTGAAAAGCATTCAGACCTCTGTCTTCAGGAACACCAGGCCGAGATGGAGGTTCAGATAGCACAGGAAAACCTCAATGAACACCGCCACGCCATCGTCAAGGTCCTCGACGCCCTCGAAGCGCGTCAAAGCAGACCGCTGCCCGATGGAAATGTGGTTGTGATATCCCAGCCAGAGTACAAAGGCCTGCCCATTGGCCCATCCCCGCCCACTTCTGGTCAATCATCAGGCGCTGCATCAGGCGCCAGCTCTTCTCCCGGTACTCCACCGAGATCCAGAGAGCAATCGGTGTCCGGTCTCGCGCATAATCGAGCCCGCTCGTTCGCCGTGCGACGGCCGCTGGCTCGCATCGTCGAACTTATCCTCGACCTATGTGACACCGCTCTTGAGATCAGTACACCCGCGTTGAAGGAGTCTCGTGCGGATACCGGGGATGAGTTCCGCACCCTCTCTCCACAGTCTGAATCCCGGATTTCCCAGGTCCTTCAGTGGCAATCCCCCAGCTCGAACACCTTGGAACAAGAACAAGGCCTGGCCGCCCTGGCCGCCGATACTGAACAGGTGGCCAAAGTCAAAGTGGATGCAGTCGTGCGGCATCGCAAGATTGTCGAGTATGCCGAGCGGATCCGCATCGAGTATACCGTTCTAGTTGAAGAGTGCATCACAGCTGCTCTCAGCAAGGCGGAGCGCATCGCCGCCGGTCAACTTTCGGATTCTTCATCTTGCTCGTCAGATGAGGACGTTTCCGAAGATACCGCAAACCTGTCCAGAATCCCGAGCCATGAACCGTCTCTACCACCGACCACTTCGGCATTAACCATGTCCATGCGCAATTCTCCCGACCGATTCCTTCCTGGTCAGTTGGTGGAAGGCAGGTCCTCTTCTGTCGCCGTGTCGACTGGGTCCAACAGCCCAATGGAATGTCCCACCCCTCGGTCACATAAGAGCATTGCCGGCGTCCTCGGAACATCCCTGCCTTCGAGACGGGGCACCCTGCTCACAGACCTCGACACGGGAGAAAATAGTGATAGCAGCATTCTGTCATCGACCTTGCCCGGTGCCATCCGCACCGACTCTCCATCCTCCGAGAGAAGTGTGGACAGAAAGCGCCGGAGCCTGGTGCTCCCTGGCCTGTCTTCTTCTCCCCGGCGGCAGCACTCCCCTGCCAGAATGTCCGGGCCACACTCGCCGTTACGCATGCCAAAGCCCCGGCTCTCCAGCGGGGCCGAAAGCATGCCGTCTCCCATAGTGTCACCCTCGGTGCATGCTGGCGAACTGGCACATCATCACTTTCGTCATCATCGACGGCAATCATCTGCGACTTCATCTGACTTTCCTAAACCACCAATTTCTCCACGACTGACGTCTGTCAGCCAGCCCCAGCCTCGTCCGGCACCCCCATCCATCAAAGATTTTGAGATCATCAAGCCCATCAGCAAAGGTGCCTTCGGTAGTGTTTATCTCTCTAAGAAGAAGACCACCGGGGAATATTTTGCGATCAAAGTTTTAAAGAAGGCTGATATGATCGCGAAGAATCAGGTGACGAATGTCAAGGCTGAGAGAGCGATCATGATGTGGCAGGGAGAAAGTGATTTTGTCGCAAAGCTCTACTGGACATTCTCTAGCAAGGAGTATCTCTATCTGGTTATGGAATATCTCAACGGCGGTGATTGTGCGTCTCTGGTCAAGATCCTTGGCGGGCTCCCCGAAGATTGGGCCAAAAAGTATGTAGCCGAAGTCGTTCTCGGAGTCGAACATCTTCATAGCCGGGGTATCGTCCATCGCGATCTCAAACCCGACAATCTCCTCATCGATCATTCCGGTCATCTCAAATTGACCGACTTTGGACTGTCGCGCATGGGTCTTGTTGGGCGTCAGAAACGAGTGTTGAAGAGCCCCGAAGAGCCCGCCCCGGATCTTCTGAAGCAGGGCCCGTTCATGCGGGCGATGTCGATCGCGTCTTCGCGATCTGCCTCCTTCGACTTCCAGGGCGGTCAATCTCCCTGCTCAACGCCATTAATCACTCCCGACATTGCCGGCAGTATCAGCCAACCGTCGTACTTCAGCCTCAACCAGAGCGGCCTCAGCCGCCAGAACTCGCGTCGCGCTTCGGGCTACCGGAGTGACAGCGGCGGCAGTGATTCTTTAAATGCCATGTTCCGCACTTTCTCTCTCAATGAAGGCACGGAAACCCCGGCTCCCCTACCCATCGCCGGTGTGGAGGATGAGGTAACGAGCGAGCCAAGTGAATCCCCGTACTTGTTCCCCATGCAGCCATCGAGCAGCTACCCAACTCCATCCATCTTTTCACATCTAGGCACGCCGCCACAGCAATCGATGATGCCTCCGATTATGGCGCTCTTTGATCCAGATGACCACAACCGAAGATTTGTCGGCACACCAGATTACTTGGCCCCCGAGACGATTCATGGTATCGGTCAAGATGAAATGAGTGATTGGTGGTCTCTGGGATGTATCATGTTCGAGTTTCTGTTCGGCTACCCGCCCTTCAATGCCGACACCCCGGATGAGGTCTTTGAGAACATTCTGAACCGACGTATCAATTGGCCTGATGACCCGGAAGACTACGCTTCTGCCGAGGCCATCGATTTGATAAACAAATTGATGGCGATCGATCCTCAAGAGCGCATCGGCGCGAATGTGGGGGAGAAGTTCCCGAACGGCGGAGCCGAGATTCGTAATCACGCTTGGTTCTCGGACATTAACTGGGACACCTTGCTGGAGGATAAAGCCCAGTTCGTCCCCAACCTGGAGAACCCGGAAGATACCGAGTATTTTGATTCCCGCGGTGCCACCCTGCAAGCCTTCACCGAGGAGCTAGAAGATCACACCTCGCCGCAACCCGCCTTGGCCGCTGGGCCTTACGTTGATCGACCGCACGATGCACTGTTCAAGGTCCGGTCACAAGTGAACGCGATCAAACGGCCGTTGATGCCCCTGCATATTCCACCTCATGTCCGCGACTCCCGCAGCAGACGTCTTAGCGAACCGGTGCTGGCAGATGACTTTGGAAACTTCACCTTCAAGAATCTTCCGATGCTGGAAAAGGCGAACAAAGACGTGATAAACAAACTACGGCAAGAGGCCCTACAGGCACAGCAACGCCAGCCTGCATCCACTGCGCCGCCTCCGCCTGTTCCTCCGTCAGGGCCTTCGCTTGATGGCAGCCCCTTACCCATGTCACTCCAGCGGACCTTGTCGCAGACTAAAGGCAGCAACCGGCCATCGTCCCCCTCGAGTATGAGTCAAGCAAACTCCTCGCCCAGTCGCCCCTCACAACCGTCTTCGCCGCTTCTCGTCCAATTCAGCACTGGTCAGAACCATGAGCGACGGAAGACGTCTGGCTCCTCGTCTGCCAACTCCCATCAATCCAGTGGCTCATTCCCAGTAGGCAATTCGGAGCAGGGCCGTGTGTCAAACCTCAAGCTCGGTGGGTCTGCAGCCTCCTCGCCCATCAAACATAGCAGGATCACGACACACTCGCCTGAAAAAACCACCCCGGGCAGCCAAACGAAAGTGACTACGCCAGTAACGACTAGAGCACGCTCGCAGACGATCGGCTCCCAGGATGGTGATGCCGGATCGGTCAAGGAATCGTATTTTGCCGGTCACTACAAGCGCCGTAGCCAGTTGTTGCTTGATATCTCACCCTCCTCGTCGGACAACGAAGACCCTCGCACCAAGGCACTCCTCAAGGTACAGCGTCGCCGACAAAGCTCGCGGCGCCTATCCCAAATCGGCCTCATGGACGGACCATTCTTCCGGCCCTTGGACGTGCTTATTTGCGAAGATCACCCTGTGTCGAGACTGGTCATGGAACATCTTTTTGAAAAGCTCCGCTGTCGCACAATCACGGCTCTCAACGGGGCAGAGGCGATGCGCTATGCCTTTAGCGAAGTGCAGTTTGATATTATAATGACTGAGGTGAAGTTGCCGCAGGTGAACGGGGCTGATTTTGCGCGCATGGTCCGAGAGAGCCGCAGCGTCAACCGACACACGCCCATCATTGCCGTGACCGGGTACTTGAAGGATCTTCCGGAAACCCATCACTTTGATGCGCTGATTGAGAAACCCCCGACTCTCTCCAAGCTTACCGAGGCGCTGTGCAAGTTTTGCCAGTGGAAACCGCCACCGAAAGACTTCACTCCAACTCAACCACTGGCGGTCTCTTCATCGGGTCTCCGCCAGACGCCTCTGCGGGCTGAAGATAGCCCCAGTTCCACCTCGTCCGGGTTTGCACCTCTCCCGCCCAGCTCGTATCAGGGGTCCAGCCGTGCCGATTCTGTGGGCAGCAGCTACTTTGGAGACATGGAGTCCATCAAGGCGGAGGATATCCCTGTGATTATCAGTCGCCATAACGATGAATGGGGCGGAAGCCAAAGCGGATTGGGCATCTCAGAGGACACTGTCACCGCCGTTCAGTCTGGTCCGGAACCTCCCAAGTCCAGTAGTACTCCAAACTCGGTCCCCTTTCCAAGTCTCCTTCACACCACCTCTGCACCTGCGGCGATGGATCCAGCCGGCACCCTTACTCCTCGAAAGCAGCGTTCAAGCGAGGCGATCCGGGCCAAACGCGAGTCGCTGGAAAAGAAACGCTACGAGTGCGCCGAGTCTGGTGATGACGAGGATGAAGAACTGGGGAATGCGCATGTACGGAACCACAGCCCTAATACCAAGGCGCCGCGCCCCGGATCGAAGCTCGGCATCGAAATGATGAGAACCAACAGCCGTGGCAGCGTGGTCAGTGGTAGCGAGGAGATTCTCAAGAAGGAACGAGAGGCGCTGGAAAAGTTCCGCACGGGCGAGGACGACAATGCATCATCGGCAGGAGGCTCGCCGCTAGGGAACAGCCCGTCTCTGGCCGAGCGATTCGATCGGCTATTCATACCTGAGGAGGCGATTGAAACCGTGCCCGAAGAAGATGAGACTCGACCATCGTCGGCGGAGGAAAAGTCAGAGGTTAAGCCCCGGTTCACACCCTTCCACAGTCAACGACCGACTCTATCCCAATACGAGACGGAGATCTACTCTGGTTCTCGCCCCAAATCATTCGTCTCTGGCAAGGGCCAGCTTACTCCTCCCGTTTTGTTTCCCCGGTCTGCCAGACCTGGTGATATCAGCTCCGAGAATGCATCAAACCTCGACCCCGAGGCGATCTCGACCCCCGACTCTGAAGCGACTCCTCGGCCTCCGCAGTCGTCGTCGCCTAGCCTGGATATTGAGCGGACACCAAGCCGAACCGCACGAGGGCGATTCAGCTTCTACAAGTAAATTCCGAGAAAGACTTGGTACTTTGTTTTTTTTTTTTTTTCTTTTGTTCATTTCTTGTCCAAATAGTTTTCTTTCCTCTTTTCCCCACTCCATTCTGTGAGCCTACTGCCTCTTTTTTTTCTTTTTCTTTTTTCCTTGTCTCTACTATTTCATTCAACCACGTTGATTATTTCTTTGCGTCAGGACAACTATTTCAGCGGGTGTTTCGGTGAACTTCAACAGCGCTGTCAAGTCTAGGGTTTTTTTGCAACTCTTCTTCTCTTTCTCTTTTTTTTTTTTTCTTCTCTTTTCATGATTATCCCTACTCTGAGAGTCTTCTATCTTCTTCTCGTTGGGTTGTATGTATGATGACAGACAAAAGCAAAGGCGGGAAAAAAAGAATGGAATGGTCTTTGTGGAGTCATGAATGATGACAGTACTCGAGCTCCTTTTAAAACTTCCAAATAGTTGTGGCAGTACAAAGAATAGAAGTAGTTCTATACCAATCAGATCTGTATAAATAAAGCCTTGATATATATTCCTTGATACTACTGATTCAAGGCAGGCAAGTCCCCGATATCACGGAGGACCCAAGGATTACGCCGTGACTTCAACCTCTGCTGCATGGTAGCCATGGTCATCAACTGCCGTCTGGCCAGTTTGGACCACCTAACTGAGCCCATCACTCTCTTCAACCAGTCCTTTCGGGGTGATCTGCGAGCAGCCACCGGTACTGCTCCCGTCACGTTGCAGCATCATTTTCGCCCACTCACTCCATGATCAGGAAGTCCACCTGCTCGAGGGTATTGTTGGCATGTCATTCTCCAGTACTTCATTGAAACCTGTCAGTTTCAGATTACTCTTATCAGTCTGAATGTCATGATGATCCTTACCATGGTCAATAACTAACCACCATCTAGTTACTCAATAGTTACTAACTACATCAAAAGTTTCCGTACCCCCCCGGCATCAAACCAAATATATATATTTAAAATGCCACCACACCACCCATGTTTCATTACATTTATCAAAAATTCAATGCTACATAGCCGAATGCCAGGGGAGCCGAAATCTATATAAAAAAATAAGGCCTCATACTTTTCAATGTAGTTCTACGCAATAGTTGTTTGTGTACAAGAATTTACCTAGTTAGTTATGTTGTAGCTGCAGAGTACTAATTGATACTTATCTTTTAAAGATATAATATGAACATTTACTCCACCATAATATATTATTATATTTAACACCTCAGTATATAGAAACATATAAAGTTCATGGTTGTCAGCACAGATTTAGATGCCTCAGGCATTAATGGGCTGCCAGCAGGGCTTGGCATTCACCTCCAACAACTACCTCACACCTACTTGACGATTCTTCAATCTTGTCCCAGCCTCTCTCCTTGAAATAAAAGGTGAATATGTCCGGTACCAGCTCACCAGATTATAAAGCTCTCTTCTTGAAGGAGGTGGAACGACGAAAACAAGCGGAATACCAACAGCATCTAGCAGAAGATCAGCATAGACAGGAAAAGCGTCGCAATCAGCCCACAACTTTTGGGGAATTCATCCGTGCCTGCCACACCCTCCTCTCAAGACCCTTGAAAGTTGGAACGCTGTCTCAATCTACACAGGGAACAATACCACCACCAACAGGGAAATACTGTCCAACACGGCTTCGCTTATGGGAAGATTGCCCGGCCAGACAACAGGCAATCTACGACCGAGTTTGCACCTACCTGAACCCAACAGGACAGGATAAGCCACGGGCATTCCCGTCTTTGGCAGAGCTGGAAGGTCTTGGTCGCCGTCTCGGTCGCCGTCTCGGTCGCCGTCCGCTCAGCAGTGAGCAAGATTTAGAGAGTTATGAAAGATTTGCCGTCGAAGACCACGTCCATGATGTGATCGCACAGCTCTGTGAGATACCTGAAGCTCGTCACGAGTTTCAACTAGGAAGCGGCGTGCGCTTTGATAATCATGCGAATGCCCTAGATGAAGTTGGTTCATTCAAAGATCAATCATCTTATTCACGCAAGTCCCGGCCTGACCAGTTCTGTATCCATCAAGTCAACGACAGTACCACTACTCTCCTCACAACTGTCGAGTATAAGCCACCCCGTAAGCTTTCTGTTGAGAATCTACGAGTGGGACTTCGGCCGATGGACTTTTGGGAGACAGTGGTAAATTCGGACACAATACCAGTAGATACGGTAGGGAAATTGAAATATAATGCTGAGCGACTTGTGGGGTCAGCATTGGTCCAAGAATACCATGTGATGATTCAAGAGGGACTTCAATATTCATATCTAACCAATGGGTTAGCTATAGTGCTTCTGCACGTCCCTAGCCATGATCCAAGTACACTCTTCTATTATCTCTGTGAACCTAACTTGGATCTAAATGCAGAGAACGACCAAAGCTTCCAGCAGCCAAAGACCTCCATTGCAAGGGTATTATGCCTCTGCCTAATGAGCTTTGGCTCACCAATCCGAAACCAGGAATGGCGAAATAGTGCGCGGGGTCGTTTGCATGTATGGAAGACGAGTTTCGATCACACCCGCTCACAGATCCCTGAGGAAGAACTCCAACGAACACCTCCAGATTCCGGATATCCAGGCTCTGAGGTTACCAATTCAGAGTACGCCAGTTCTGAGTATCTGCCATCATCACCTCTAGATCCTTCGACGACCAAGGGCCGTCGAATCCCCACTCGGTCTCAGCCAGGCTGTTCACCATCGGACACAGTTAACCGTGCCGAAAGGAGGGACTCCCCAGACTCTGATTCAAATCCTGGGGCACCGGTACGAAAGCGAAAAATCAGCAAAGTTATGTCCTCTCCACCATCGCATCGGTCAATGCGTCAGAGTCCTCACAATACTGATCGCAGTCAGTATCATCAACATACGGTGCCGTTTTGCACACAGCGATGTTTGCTCGGCCTTAAGGAGAGCGGCACGTTGGATCCCAACTGCCCCAATGTATCTCTACATCGCCGCATCAAACATGGCAACCACCATCCCGTTGATTCCAAGCGCCTGATAGAACTCCTTAATCGGCAATTGGATGAAGACCTCGATCATAATTGCACGCCGTTCGGCAGCTGTGGGGCGTCCGGGGCGCCATTCAAGATTACTTGTGCTTCATACGGATATACTATAGTGGGAAAGGGGACTACCTCTCGTCTCTGGGAAGAAGTTTCCCGTGAAGCTCACGTCTATCGTGTCCTGCAAAAAGTGCAAGGGTCAGCAGTCCCTGTCTTTCTTGGCGCAATTGACCTCGCAAAAATTTATTTTTTACATGGAGCGGGTGAGATCTCTCATATGCTACTCATGGCCTGGGCTGGCGAGAACACAAGCAAGCTCAAGCAACAACCGGGGCTGGAGCAACAGATTTTGCGATCCAAGAATGAAATTCGTCGCCTGGGAGTTGTCCATCAAGATCTTAGGCCAGAGAATATTCTGTGGAATCCTGAATTGGGTCGAGCCATGATCATTGACTTCCATCGCTCCACTCTAGATTACCGGCTGGTGAAGAAGCGTCTAGCCGGCGTCAAGAGATCATTGTGCAGTACTGAATCCCCGGACCCAAAGCGATTACATCTGTAATGGTATACTACTTTACTGAGGAGCAAGACAGATTAGGCAACTTATCAGTCAGCCTGGCTTTGACCACTGTGATTTCGACAGCTCGAGGGTGATATCTATATACTTGAGATCAAGATTCTCCATGAATTGTCCCGCTAATGTCCGGGGCCTCACCTTGTCACTTCTTTCTTTATGTCGCCGTCTTCAATGTTTTCGTTATAAGTGTGGATACACAGGTACGTTAAATGACAGTCGTGCTGTTCAGACATGAGATCTCAGGGAAGACTATAAATCGTTCTGCAATGCGGAAACAGTCAACATCACCAGACACCATCTGCCCTCCTGTGGTAGATAGCCACCGCTATCTTTTAACCAGCCTTCTAAAACCACTAATACTGGCTGCTTGGCCAGTACCCGACGATCAACATGGAATATACTGAATATTTCATATTAATAGGGTTGACTATACTCCTACAGACTGACTATACCCTACTCGCCAAGGCATTTATAAAGGAGTTGAGCGAAGGAGGCAACTTAATCTAATTATCTATAAGAGGCTTTCTCCCGCTGGCTCTCTATGTGGTACTGAGGGAGAATCTAGAGCATAACTGAATGTGGTTATACAAAGCAACATTTGTGAACTTAAAAAAAGACATCAGGAGTGCCTTAAATTGCCAATATACCTAGGTATATGCTATTATATTTATATGTAGTTAAAGCTTTATCTTTACAGTTAACTTTTAAGGTCTACAAAAGGGAGATTTAGCATATTTATAGTGAAGAGACAGTTTCTTCCCTAGTCTTAACAACTGGTTATGTACATCTTAGTAGTTACACCCAGGGGCTATATATATAATCTAAAGGCATATTTGAAGAAGCGGCATTTGATTTCAGCCCTGTTATATTAATTTTCTCTTCCAGATGGGCAGGATTTATGTCTCATAAAAAATAATTCTTTTTTGATGATGAATAGACCTTTAGAAAGGATAAATCAAGACTTCCTTTTTCTTGCTGGGCGGCTTGGCTATGTATAAGAAGAATGGGAATTAGGGACTTGCAGCAGTTTTATACTGATTCTTTTGGTGGCGGTTAGATGCGTAATGCCAATATGATCTGAATATATTTCTTCAACATGTCTCCTATATTATGTATCTATCAATCATCCTGGATGGCAGCCGGGGAAACCATTCCCGTCCGTGGATCCATCGCCCTACCAGTTGCATCACCGGTACTCTCCAGGGACGCCCGTCCTTGCTCCATAAGGTTATGGTCATCGTCTGCTCGGCCTGGCGTCGCACGGTGGTGTCGAGTACGGAAGAAGCGGTTGTGGTGGATGGAAGTGGACCCGCTGCGTCGCGGTTGGGAGTCGACTGATCGACGCGAGGAGGAAGCACCCCCGCTGCTGAGATGTGAATGGCGACGAGAGGAGGAGAAAGAGATACGGTGATGGGCCTCCTCTGCTGCTGCTGCTGCTGCTGCTTCCTCTTCTTCTTCTTTTGCTTCTTGAATGCGGCGTTCGGCGGATTCGCGGTTCGCAGAGCGGACGACCTCGTCGATGCGAATCCGGTTCGCGCTACCACCACTGTGGTTGTTGCCTCTACGGTCGTCAAAAACGTCGCCCATCACGTCGTCTGAGGCTAGGTCACGCATGCCGAGTGAAAAGTCGACGTGTTTATGCGAGGTGGACTCGCCGCGCGCGCGTGCAGCAACGGTGTTCATCCCCTTGCGCAGGATGGACGGTTGCTGGCGCAGAACACCGCTACTGGTTGCCGTGGTGGTTTCGGGGATGGTTGGCGTGTCGCTGTGGATCGGGGTGATGGGGCTTCGGGCGTCGTGGAAACCATTGCCAGGGTGGTGTTGTTGATTGTTGTTATTGCCAAAGTAGGACACATGGAAAGGGATGTCGACTTTGGCACCCTGGAGGTTCATGCGTGGGCCCTCGATGCCGATCTCCTGCAGGGCGATCATGAGCATGCAGATGAACTTGTTACGGCGCTGTAGGCGTAAACCCTCGTTCTGCCAGTTGGATTTGTAAAAAAAGACGACGTTGAGGGTCAGCGAGAAGTTCTCCGTGACGGCACGGAGCTCTGTCAGGATGTTGCTCTGGTATTCTCGTTTCTCACTGCGGACAAACTCGAGTAGTCGTTGGCGTAGGGCGTCGATTTGCTCGAGGGTCGTACCATACCGGATGACAATAGGGATCGCTTCAGCGAGAGCCCCCGAGCGGCGCTGGTTGAGGATGAACAGGCCATTCAGGTAACTGTTAGGCGCCTGGACAACGTGGCCCTGCATCTTCTTGAACTCGGTATATAGCAGCGAGATCTGCTTGACAAAGTAGTCATCTCCAAGCCCTGAATCGCCCGAGTTGCCGTACACGGTTACGCGGTCGCCGACATCAAACGGATGCTTCACGAAGACGAAGATGACCGACTGGAGAAACTCCTGGGCGGTAGCGGAAAATAGCCACGAGAGCGCGAGGATGCTCGATCCGGCCGAGGTGAGAACCCCTGCAGTGGATGTAGAGATGAGGGAGAGAAAGACAATCAGAGTAATGATCAGTACAATGAACGCAAAGACGTCGTCCAGTTTGGACACGACTGAGTCCAGATCCTTGAGCGAGGCGGTGATTGACTTGCGCTCCCGGCCAATCTCCACACATACCGACTCGAGCTCCTCCATGGAAATGTCACCGTTCATGTCCTTGTCGAACATGATGAAGGCCGCCTCGGCCTCGTCGTTGTTGTCAAAGGCCTCCTTCAGGTCACCAGAGAAAACAGTGTCGAACCCGTGACGGACGAAGGTCCGGTACAACCGACGAGCCAGAACCTGACTGCCGCTGGTGGTGGCCAACAGGGCCAGAATGACCTGGTACGGGTGGCTGCTCTTGTTTACTTTGCGGCCGGTGAAATCGGCAGCGACGGCGCCCGCAACATCGCCAACCTTGTTCAGCGCACCCTTTGCCACCTTCTGAGCGCGGCCGGCATACTGCAAGGGTGTTCTCACTCCAGAAGCAGGCTTTTCGCCTCTTTCTTCGAACTCCTCGTCGGCCATGGCGATTCGGTCCTTGGAGAAGGCATAGAGCTTAGTCAAGCTGCCGATTTGGAACTTGTTGATCTCGATCCGGTCGGCATAGGTGCGCATGTGGAAACTCATGGCGATCAACTGAATAATGAACTTTTCGATCAGGTTCAATATCGTCCAGACAAAGATGACAATGATGATTTTGTTGAGGGTCGTCTCCCAGCTACCGGGACTGCCACTGCCCGGAACGCGGTGGTTCCTCATGATGGGCAAGAATGAGATCTCCACGCTGAGCCACCAGAAGAAGAGGGCGGCATGTAGCTCTAATTGCTTCGCCAGATCCCGCCACTTCTTTGCATTGTTGGTGAAGATGCTCGCGAATAAGGATACAATGGCGGGAATGCATTTTGAGACAATCTAGGATATGAGAACTTAGCAAGGGTAAAGACAATCGACAAGGAAATGAGGCTCAATTTATTTAACGTACCCGTCCAGCCCAGAGAGTAAGCCACACAATTTCCAACCAAATGGAAAACCAGAGCAGGTGAACGCCGCCTACATTCGCCCTGGGGTATACCAATGCACCCAAAAGAAGCGGGATCAACAGTAACACAACGAGCGGAGTGATGTAGGTGGCGTAACGAACGAGAAAGCTGGAATTGTGGATCCTCTTGACGAACTTTGACAAGTTGGTATTGGGGTTCTCTGGCGGGTTGTAAATAGCCGCCTTCTCATGTAGAGGGTTGGTAGCTTCGTCGAACTCGTCAATGGCGGGCTGTGAGCGAGCTCGAGAGATGGATTCGCCGTAGCTGCGCGAGTCGTCATTCTCCTCGTGGGTCGACCGTGAGGCTACCCTCTCGGCTTGGAGAAGGGCCAGGTCGTCCTCGAGCCGCATCGCCTGTTCGCGTGCCTGGGAGGGTGAGCGTATTGTATCCTCATGGCTGTCGTGGTAGTCTGTATCGACCTTTGGCCTGCTGTAGTCGTTGTCATCTTCCGGAGAGTTTTCGTTGGTGACGGTATCGTTCTCGGACGTGGGCGAGGTGCTGTCGCCGCCATGTCGAGCAGTTCTCTCATCGGGATGCACGTCCAACGAGGGAAATTCGGTCACAGGCGTTGACATGCCGGCTCCAGGCCAGTTGATACTAGTAAGCAAGGTCTTGCTGGAAAAAGGCGTGTCTGTCAACCGGGTCCGCTGTCAGAGGAGGAAAGACGCAACTCATTCAGACAGAGACGCCCAACGTCAAAAGACGAAAAGATGAAGATTAAAAATTAAAAAAAGAGGCGAGGAGAAGAATGGTAGTTGACTATTAAAAGAACAAGGTTGTCTGGCCAGACTCAGACCTCCCAGCGGCAAGGGAGAGAGGGTCTCTGGCCGTGGATCAGCAAGTTCTGGAACCAGGATTTCATGGTTATGACGGGTTGCAACGACCAGAATTCATGGAACGCGGTGGAGATTTGCCATTCGGACAGAGGCTGATCCCCTGTGCCAAGATCAGGTGGAAAGTCAATGCAAAAGAGCCTGAGACAGGCTGAGTTTGAAGTGGAGAGAGAGTCTTGGTGTGCTATCGCCATCTGAGGTTGAGATATGCATAATCCGCCACTGGCTAGTGCTTTTGCTTATCCACATAGACAGGATAGAATGACAGGTGAGGTTTATTGAGATTTATAATTGAAAATCAATGAAAGTAATCCTATTTTAATCGTTAATAGCTAAATACTAGTAGATAACAGGCAATAATTGAGTACTATCTGAGTGGTTTTAATCCTTGGTCTACCTAGAGCAAACCAGAGGCTCGAGGCTGTTGCTCTTATTCTAGAGCAAGGTAAGCTGGTGAGGTGAGTAGATATAACTAAATAGTTATGTGAAGAATGGGTTGTATGTAAGTAGCCATAGTGATGTTGGTGTTCATAAACAAAAGTAATTCCTTGGGTGGTTCGATTCTTAAGGATATTCTCAACGAATATAAATATAAAAATAGGATAGGGACCATCAATAGAGACGAATCGTCTGATTCCCTTGACATGACATCGAGAATACATAAGTTATAACCATATTTTAAAAATCCCCAGGTTAGTTAAGTAAGTCTTTTAGTCATAAATCGAGACTGAGTGTGTTGTATTGTCGCCATTGGAGGGGGTTCTATTTCCTACTAACCGCCCAGGTCGTCCACTTGCATCAACAACCCCTCATCTTCGGACTCACAGCCTCGCTGAAGTGACCACGATAACGCCGCTAAGTCTATCTTTCTGAAGAATAGACCACACTAGTAAGGAAGCTGAAGTGATTGCACTTGCAGAGTCGCTACTCATGTTCTAAAATGGAATGGTGTTCACTGTTGACCCCTCATGGCTGCAGCGCCTATCAGACACTGGGAATAACGCCACGCGAAGACGCTGGTTCACGCATGTCAGACTGTGCCTAAATGATAACCATTCAGAAGGCTAGATTAGCCGTAGGCTATCACTAGGTGCCTATAGAGTAAGTAAATCTCCCGCCGTGAACCGGTCTAGCGCAGATGGGTCGAGGAGCTAATAGCATGTATTGTGCCCAGATCGGATAGAGAACAGCACCATGGAGGTGTCTTCGGATAGTGGCTGGCTGAGAAAACCCTCTAGAATGCATTGGATAGGCTCACTAGGGGGGCAAACCGAGTGTATAACCAGCTGAACTATCAGCCAGCCATGAGATGGCGTATTCAACACTAGAGAGAGTTGAACCTCTATTATTTTGCCCCTCTAGAATCGAAGTATTTAAGCATTTCTCAATCCTATACTAGCTAGGGACAGAAGAAACCTCACCGGCATTATATTTGAGTCCAAATTTTCAATCCTATCGAGGCTATATCGTATACCCATCCACCATGCCGACTGTCGAGTGGAGCCGGGCCAACAAAACCGACCCCAGCCCGTACGACCAGATTTTTGTCCTGAGCGAGGACCTCATCAACCAGGCGTTTCGGGATGGGTTCAAGAAGGAGATATTCCAACGCTATGACAAAGAAGCAGTTCAAACAGGCCTAGTATCAGGCCAGTGGATCGAGCAAGGCACGGAAGTTGGGGCGCCCCAAATCTCTATCAACGTTGAAGAGTACAATCCTGTATATCCTGTCTTCTTTACCTTGAACTTCAACAGTGGAAACATCTATCTGCGCACCACGCCTCCAGGAACTGTACATCCTCCTCCCCAAAAATTTTCTCTCTATAGGTGGAAGCTGGTGTTCAAGACCAAAATTGGTAAGGACAAGCCCTTTTCGCGTATATTTATTGACGAGAGACTAATATAACCCGCTACGGATGATTAGCTAGCAAGCTGCTCGGCAAGGATGACCCCAAGTACAACGCTTACAAAACTCCTGCTGGCATTGCTTCGCCCGGCTTTCGCGACACCGTATTCGGGGTGAAACGACTTTACCTTGATACCTCAGGCAAGATACCATTGTACCCTTCTATTCAAGGGAGCAACTGCTAACTCTTGAGTCAAAAACAACAGATGTTGGTGGTGGAGGTGGTCTCGATATCTCACGTAGTAGAGGATGGAAGGACAACAAGGAGGTCAAACTTGAGGAAATACTCACCACTGACACACTTAACAATCTCAAACTATTCGCCAACGAGTGGCTTAATACCGCTGACGAGAGAGAGCTGAATGTGATTGGACATTCATTGACCAAGGATGATTCAACTCCGCGTGAGTCGGCAGTCTAATCCTGGACTTTCCTTCCTTGGTATTTTGCTGACCTTTCTGGCTATCAGAACAACGCAGCATGACCGGTACCTTTATCCCGTGGATAATCAATTACTCGCCCTATCCGTGGCTTGACCCCAATAACAACACCGTCGCGACGAATGGCTTGGGACAGAACGCGTTGGCTATCCTAACCTACACACAGAGCAGTCGCCACAGCAACTATGTGGCTGCACCTTTGGCGTACAGCGGTGTCTTTACTCAGGGCGGCGCAGCATTCTGTATGAGTCGTGACCTATTCTGGAATGACTTCCTTCTCCCCATTCTGAGAGAGATGAACCAGAGAACGGAAGTCATCCCACAGAACGCACCTAATCTTCAGGGTACCATCAGATATATCCTCGGCAGGAACTCTAAACATCTGAAGGCGTCGGACCGGTACTTTGACTGGAAGCCACAAATGCAAAATGGACAATTGCACTGGATCTGGAAAGGGGACTCCCAGAAGATCGTGACCGCATTTCGCGGCCAAAATGGATCCCTAGCATATCGTTACGGTCAGGAAGGTAAGATTGTTAATTGTTGATGGATCAATTGATCGATTGATAGTACTATTTGGCTGATATATTTGCGATCCTGTATAGCCCGGTCCTCGACAGAGCTGTCATTTGCCGCTGGTGGTCGACAGATCAATATCAAGGGGACGATTATTTACGATGTACACCTCGTCACTGTTGGAAATCCATGGTATTCCTCTTATCCTTGGGCCTTTCTTTTCTTGTTAAGGGCAATCTTTGTATCTCGGTTGCTCATGCAGGCTCTATTCTAATGCTTTTTTTTATAGGACGGCGGGCGACCACAGCGAGATCGAATGGAATATTCCTCTTCGCATCGATGCTGTCCGTGGTGGAGGCCTTCAAATTGTTCCTGCGAGCAAGCCTACTGTTCGCGCGATTGCAAACAAATTCCGGACCTACGGCTGGAAAATGGATCCCAAGAAGGTGGCACAATTCCATCAGGGCGTGATCACGAAATACCTTACGTCCGGGTTGGGTAGCATCACCAACCGACTTGCCCAGGATATGAGAAACCTACACATGCTGTTCCTCCCTGGCCGTGGAGTGTTCCGCTTTGGCGTACCGGTCTTGAATAAGCGCGGCGACCTTCTGGCGCCTTTGGATTTCATCGGGTAGGGACTTTCGCCTCAACCGTTATTCATTCAAGTGACCATTACTGACCGAGAGATAACAGTCTCGTAGATTTGACTAAGGTCAACAAGTTGGTCATCGACCCTGCGAACACAACAGAAGAAGACCTGGGCGCTCAGTTTGAGACCATCCCCAATCTACCTTCATCTGAGCAGTATCCAGAGGATGTGCCTGTATTCGACCACCACGTCGAGTCTAGTGGCGAGCCCGAAGAAGTGTCGCACCCCTTTGTTGATCTGGATGATATTGACCACAACCAGCACTTTGATGCCAGCGAGCCTTCCTTCCCTGGGCCCGGACCTGGTCCGCTTGCCCATTTTGATCGGGATGCCATTCACGAGGAACCTCCCCATAAGCCAATTGAGCAGCCTCCAGCCCAACCTCCAACTCAACCTCCAACTCAACCTCCAACTCAACCTCCAACTCAGCCCCCAACCCATAATCTCCCAATTTTTGGACCATTGGATGGTTAGAGTGCCTGGAAGACTTCTCTATCTCTTGCGTTCAATGTCAACAGATAGAGCTATTCTGGATGGAAGATGCTGGTACTTTTTTTCTGGTTTCAGTTTTTGTTGATATCTGTAGCAATTCATATTCACTGCACATGAGCTTTAAGGAAAGGAGTAAGAATGTGAACCGCAGGAAATACCATAAGACTAGTTCATAATAGGTATCTTTGTAGCTGTCATTTTAGTCCTTACTCCTTGCGTAGACGGGACTGCGGTACTTTGCATATGACTGTCTCATATACTCCGTAGTGGTCCGTACTCAACGTCAACTCTCACAAATAAATAAGTAGCAGCTGCTTACTTATTTCCTCCCATCTGCATTCTATTCTTAGACACATAACTAGTCATTAAATCGACATTCCCCTGCTGTAATAGAATTTCAGTAGATGGAAGTACCTAGGTACTTACTGAATCAAATCTGGTCATATTGCATTGATTGCATTGATTGCATTGATTGCACTGTTTGTCTATAGTTCTTTGTTGACAAAAAGCCCGGCGAACTCACTACTAATTATCGGATGCTCCTCGCCCAGGACTTGGTAGCATGCCTTAGATGAGCCAATTTTCCTCTAGATAAATCAAAATATCCAGATTAGTCATCCTGTTAGCTGAAATTTCTCGCTATTCAATAGCTAGATGCTCTTAGACCAGGAATCATGAATGAATGGCTGCTGAACTGAAAGAACAGCAGATCGCTCAGGGGCCGCTCACCGCCCGTTCTGATTGGCTGCCGGGTGTTTACGTGACTACTCCGGCGTGTCCCTCAGCCAGACCGAACTTCTTCTCTCCCCATTTCTGCGTCTTCTTCCCCTCCTCCTTCCATCATCCACTCGTCTCCTCTTCATCCTCTATTTCTCCTCGTCCGGTTGATTGCCGGGCTTCTCCCTTCCTTAATTTCCTTCAGATTGAACTGCCACAATGAGAGGCGAGGTGTGTTCTCTCCAACGGATCCCGTTTATTTACCGCTCCCCACACGTTCCCCCCTCCCCTGAGCCTCACGGATCACGACGCTCAGTCCAGTCTGTTGAAGGGCTAATAGCCTTTTCTTTTTTCGCGAGATTATTGTGGTGGATTCTGCATTTCTAACACGAGGTTTCAAATATTTTAGATTCTTCACCTTCACATCGGCCAGGCTGGTACCCAGCTGGGTAACAGCGCCTGGGAGCTGTATGTCTCACCGCTTTTTTCGCTCTCAACGATTTGTCGTCGACAGTGCTAATTGTCAACACAGCTACCTCCTCGAACACGGCCTGAACCCCGAAGGCCGCATCGACCCCGAGGCCAAGGACGTTGCTGAGGGCGGTTCCCATGACACTTTCTTCACCGAGACCCAGGGCGGCAAATACGTGCCTCGTTCCATCTTCGTCGATTTGGACCCCTCTGTGAGTGATGGATCTATGGAACACACACAACGATGGGAAAGAACAGTCTGGCTAATGGCGACAGCCCATTGATGAGATTCGCACCGGCGCTTACCGCCAGCTTTTCCACCCCGAATACTTGATCAGCGGAAAGGAAGATGCCGCCAACAACTGTATGCCCCGGAAACGTGTCGCTCGCTACTTGTCACTGCGCAAGAAACTGACTTTTTTTTCTTTCCTCTTTTTTTTCAGATGCCCGTGGTCACTACACTATTGGAAAGGAATTAGTGGACAACGTGGTTGACCGCATCCGCCGTGTCGCCGGTCTGTGCACCTTTTGATACTCAAAGGGCTATTTAGCTATAGTTACAACAGACACTAACGGTCGGCAGACAACTGCTCCTCTCTCCAGGGCTTCTTGGTCTTCCACTCGTTCGGTGGTGGTACTGGTTCCGGTTTCGGTGCTCTCCTCCTCGAGCGTATTGCGACTGAGTACGGCAAGAAGTCCAAGCTTGAGTTCTCCATCTACCCTTCCCCTCGCGTGTCTACCGCCGTCGTCGAGCCCTACAATGCCGTCCTGTCTACCCACAGCACTATTGAGAACTCCGACTGCACCTTCCTGGTTGACAATGAGGCCGTCTATGACATTTGCCGCCGCAACCTGGACATTCCTCGCCCCGGCTTTGAACACCTCAACCGCCTGATTGCCCAGGTTGTCAGCTCCATCACTACCAGTCTGCGGTTCGATGGAGCCCTTAACGTCGATCTGAACGAGTTCCAGACCAACCTGGTTCCTTACCCTCGTATCCACTACCCTCTCATCTCCTACGCTCCCGTCGTGTCCAGCAACCGCAGCTCCCACGAGAGCTTCAAGGTTCAAGACCTGACCTTCCAGTGTAAGTAACGGTTTTGAATTTATCTTTGTTGGAAAAAGCATGACTAACCATTTCCCACCCAGGCTTCGAGCCCAACAACCAGATGGTCGTCTGCGATCCTCGCAACGGCAAGTACATGGCGGTTGCGCTCCTTTACCGTGGTGACGTCGTTCCTCGCGACTGCAACGATGCCATCGCTCAGCTCAAGGCCAAGGCCTCCTTCAACCTGGTCGAGTGGTGCCCGACCGGTTTCAAGCTGGGTATCAACTACCAGAAGCCCATGCGCGTGCCCGGTGGCGAGCTGGCCCCTGTCGACCGCTCCGTCAGCATGCTCTCCAACACCACCGCCATCGCCGAGGCGTGGGCTCGTCTGGACCACAAGTTCGACCTCATGTACTCCAAGCGTGCCTTCGTCCACTGGTACGTCGGCGAGGGTATGGAGGAAGGCGAGTTTTCCGAGGCCCGCGAGGATCTGGCTGCGCTTGAGAAGGATTATGAGGAGGTGGCCAGCGACGGCCTGGACGAGGTCGAGGAGGGCGAGTACTAGAACATGCGCCGGTGATGCCTTTTTGCAACCGTTCGTGTTTACATATTGCTCCTTCGTGTGTCTGTTTCCGCGTCTGAATATATCCAATCGCGCCCCCCTTTTTTATGACAGCCTGTCCATCTCTCCCGCGGGACTAGTTTAATCAATCACAGAGAATTGATTCATTTTAATCAAGCCACATTTGATTATCATTAAAACCCTTAAATTAGAAAAATTATGTCTAGTCTAGGGAATGTACAAGCCATTTAGAGGAATGAAAAGGGGGGAAAAAAGGGAGAGTTAAGACGCGATCTCTGCCTCCCGCAGAACTCTCAACGTCTGCTCATACGTCCACATGGTGACTGCACTAGCCGGGGCGGCCTTGAGCAAGCTGACGGTCAAGCCGCGGTAGAGGCCGCGCACGCCCTGCGTGCGCATGATGGAAGCGAGTGTGTGAAGGACGCCCGTCGACTCGGGAATATTGCGGTGGACGTAGCGCGTGCGGGTTGGGCCCTGGACCTGCAGGCGCTTGCGGACGAGGTCGAGCGGAAAGACGCCCGTCTTGGCGATGATGCTGGCACAGACACCTGCGGCGGCGTCGCTGGAGCTTAAGGGCAGATAGTGCTCGATAAAGGCGAGGTGGGCGATCTGCGGGCGGAGGGTTTCATACGAGGCAAAGAAGAGGCCCATGTAGGGAACTATCTGGCCGACTGCCGCGCTGCAGCCGCGGAAGAGGCCCGCGGTGCCTTCGTGGGCGATGATCTCCTGCACCGACGCGCTCAGCGAGGTGTACACGCGCTCCGTGCCCTGGGCGGCAAATCGCGTGCGCAGCAGGTCCAGCGGGTAGGTCACTGCTGTAGCAAAGCCACCGGCCGCAGCGCCGGCCACGAACGATTCCAGTTGTAAGGGGAGCCGGTGCTGGGTGGGGAGCTGGGCCAGCAGCTGCGTCGTGGAGCGGTACGTCGTGAATTGCAAAGCGCCGTAGCAGACGTACAACAGTTCGGCGGGGACGTTTCCTTTCCAGAGGCCCTACACGCGTATATATCAGAATCCCTCTCTTCATCCATTATGAAACCTCTTGCAGTCTTCCATTTCATTAACGTACCCTTATGCCTTCCTGCTGTATGATCGCTTTCATCGTTGAGATGGTACCCTTGTATACCGGGCCCGTCACTTCCCGGTGCGAAGCCGGGTCCGACAGCGAGTGGACCTGCAGCTGAAGACGGATTTTGACGACATCGAGCGGCGCAATGCAAAAACTATCGAAACCGTATCAGTATCATCCGTATGCCATATGCTGACGATTGATTTCCTCTTACCGTGAGACGAGACCTGCCACGCCGCCCGCGATCACGACCTGTTGTTTTGTGCCCTGGCGTCGATCAGCTACCGACTACCACTAATAAAGCTGGACTGTGCGACCTACCTCATCTTTGAGGTGCTCTCCCCCGGCCGACATGCACGTGGTCAGCTTGAAGCTGCTTAGAGATGAATCATTGAATTGGGTAATGCTGTGTAGAAGGGGTAGAAAGCACACACTGCCAGTGTTGAAGTCAGTGATCTTAAGGCAAGCCGAAGCTTCCTTCGAAAAAAAAAAAAAAAACCGCTGACGTCGTATCAGACAGATTAGGCTAGTTAGTCCGACGTAAGATAACGTATTTATGGTACGGTACTTTTGTCATGAAAATACGTCGTACGGTCCACCGCTGTCTGGGGAAGGAAGGAACCTCGGCTTCCCTGGCGACTCAGCAAGGCTATAGTTAAAAGCCCCTCGGCTCGTCCTCAATAAGAGACAGTGCGGGGTCTTTACATCTCCTTTATCCTTCCTGCACCTGAGAGATTGTATAAATCATGGCTCAGTCTCTCGGACTGGCTCTTCGATCGTCACGTAGAGCGTTGCCGTCTCTCTATCGTCGGAGTTTTTCTGTTTACAGTCGCCAAGTAGCTGTTGGTCAGGGCGACGCCGCGACATCAACAACTGCAGAGGTTGAGAATCGATCGCTGGAATGGGAGCTGAATCATTGGAAGGCTAGCAAAAAACAGGAAAGCAAGAGAGCGAGCCTTCGGCTGCCTGACAGCTATCTTCAACAGCTCGAACAGACGATTGCCCAGGTGCTGCCTGTCAAGCTGCAAGACTCATACCTGAAGTGGGAGGACAACTACGGACCACTGGCCAAAGATGAGAGAATCCACTACGTGCAGCTGCGCGATGCCTGCAAGTGTCCGACATGTGTGGACCAGCACTCAAAGCAGCGAAACTTCCGCACAACCGATATCCCGTCTTGGATCCAGCCGCGGACGTTGGAGTGGAAAGATGGATCGTTGACGGTGCAGTGGCACAACGATATCAAGAGCTACCCACCGACACACACATCTACTTATAGCATCGATGATCTCAGGGCTCTCACGATGGGGATCAAACACCAGGATATGCAGCGGATAGACCGGAACCGCCGCTTCTGGACGCGCCAGATCATGCGCAAGAGACAGCACTGGATCTCGTACGATGATTACATGAATGACGAGCTCAAGTTTGCTGTCGCCATGCGTTCTCTGGCCGTATACGGAATTCTTTTTGTCAAAGACATCCCGGAGTCACGCGAGATGGTCGAAAAAATCGCTACCCGCATGGGACCCCTGCGCAATACCTTCTACGGGCCGACGTGGGATGTGCGCTCGGTGCCGAAAGCCAAGAACGTGGCGTACACGAACCAGTTTCTGGGATTCCACATGGACCTCTTGTACATGAATGAGCCTCCGGGCTACCAGCTGCTGCACTGCTTGCAGAACTCATGCGAAGGCGGAGAATCGCTCTTCTCGGACGCGCTGTACGCTGCGTACGTAGTCCGGCTCGTGGCGCCGGAGTACTACAAGGCGCTGTGCTCCTTCCGTCTAGGCTATGAGTACAGGCACGAAAATCATGTGTACAGCAACCGGTGGCCTGTCGTGCAGGCCTCGTGGGATGCGCGGGCCCAGCCATACCGGGTCAACTACTCGCCACCCTTCCAGAGCCCGCTGTATCTTGACCAAAGAGACCAGGAAAACTTTGAGAAGTTCAAGGATGCGCTTGAATTCTTCACACGCATTATGGAAAACAAGAAGAGCAGCTTTGAGTTGAAGCTTAACCCAGGCGAATGCGTCATCTTCGAGAACCGCCGGATTGTTCATGCACGCCGCCAGTTCAACACGGAATCTGGCCATCGTTGGCTTGCAGGTGCGTATGTCGACGATGACGCTGTACGGTCCACCATTCATGTCTGCCAAAAGAAATATCCCAGCGCGTTTCCGCCAACAAGAGGGCCGTCTAAGGAGCCAGAATCAGAGTAAACTCCATGTACCTACGATCCATCATTTGCTAAGGTTTTCAAGACCGCAATAAGGATTACATAGTCGGAAGTTACATGCTATTCCACTAAATTGAACAGAATCATATTGATACTTTATGCATGCTACAAAAAAAGAAGTAAAAGGTGTAAAACCGACTTGGTGGAATCAAAACACGTTGTATATACTTTTAAGCCGCCCTGTTGACCGAAAACTCGGCCATGAAACTGGGATCATTTTCAAGTTCTTCCTTGACCTAGAATTTGTTAATATGTATATCACCGAGAAGAAGAAAAAAAACAAGTGGAAACAGGATATGAGAACAAGATGACGTACAATGTCTAGACCACCCACAAGTTCACCTTTTACCCACAACTGAGGAAACGTGGGCCAGTCGGCAAACTCCTTGAGCCCCTGCCTGACGTCCTCGTCGGCCAAGATATTGAAGAAGCCGTACTTGATGCTGTTCTCACGCAGGATGCCGACAAGCTGCCGACTGAACCCGCACTGCGGCACGCTGGGGGTGCCCTTCATGAAGAGCATGACGGGGGCGGCCTTGACGAGCTGCGCCAGACGAGCAAACAGAGCCTCCTTGTTCTGTTCGGGGGTCAATGCCGGGGTTGTCGTCGACGAAGCCGAGGCGGCACCCAGGGGCGCCTGAGTGGCGGGCATGGCGGGGGCGTTGTCGCGCGGAACGGCCGTCAGGGCGGGCGGGATGGAGGCGGCAGCAGCAGCAGCAGCAGCATTATTGGAGGCCCTGCCGGCGTGTCGCTCGACGGCGTCACGCACCTTGGCGGCGTCGGTGCCGCTCACGGACTCGAGGATGGACCCGTTGCGCGCGAGGACGGTGTACGGCACGGCGCTGACGTCGTACTCCTCCGAGATGTCTGGTAACTCCTCCGCGTTGATGCTTAGGAAGGCGATGGCTGCGGGGGTGGTGACGGGGTATTGCGAGGCGAGGGTGGCCAGCACGGTGCGCATATGGGCGCACGGCGCGGCCCAGGGCGTGTGGAAGTAGAGGACGAGGAGGGCGGAGGGAGGGAGCGCGTTCAGCTGAGCCGAGAAGTCGGCCTCGCTGGTGATCTCGTTCAGAGTCGACATCTTGGCTTCCGGCGGCTGCGTCCTGTTGCTGGTTCTGAATCCCTTTTGTCTCTTTTAGTGGGGGAGGGGTACTCTGGTAATCCGGAGGAAAATCGATCTATCGCGGAGGGGGGGGAGCCGGCAGAATGATGAGTCCTCTCGGGTGGAGACGGGAGTGGAAGAGGTGGGATTTATAAAAGTCGTACAATGAAAAACAACACAGGGCCCTGTGGCCTCTTGTCTCCAATTGCGTGGTCTTGCACCGACTCAATAAGACCAGGACTGGCAGGAGGGGGGATGGCGAATTTCGGGCCTGTTACGGAGTATGGATTAGTCACGGGACCCTGCCTTATCAGATGGACCGCGGAGAAATCTGATCGGCGCCGGGTCAACTTTGAAGCGATGACGCCGCAGAGATGGTCACGTGCACGTGTTGACATTTGTAATTTTGTATATTAATTACAACAGGGAAAATTAATCCCTGGACGCTGGCTGCTCCTGCTGCTGCTTGGCCCAGAGCTGGGTAAAAGCCCCCCCTCTTCTTTGAATCAGCTCCGCAAACGATCCCTTCTCTACCACTACACCCTTGTCCAGTACTATGATCATATCACAGTGCTTGATGGTCGCCAGCCGATGGGCTACTGTCAAGACGGTCCATCCATGAAACTCGGTATCGACGAGATCCATCATGAGTTTCTCGGTGACGGGGTCGGAGCTGCTGCTCGGTTCATCGAGGACTAAGATTCCATGCGGCATGTTCCCCAGTGACGCCTTTCGCAGCAATGCCAGTGCCAATGAGAAGAGTTGTTGTTGTCCCTGGCTGAGAGAAGGAGCTTTGTTCGCTGGACTGTGCAAATTCCCGGCGAGGATGTCCCAGAGCCCAACTTTCTGAAGAGTTTCCTGAACGTAGAGAGCGTAGCCATCGGACACAGATGTGATAAGATCGATATTTTCTTGTAGGGTCAGACCGGCGATAAAGACAGGCTCTTGTGGAATTGCTATGAAGGACGATCGGACAGCTTGCCGCTGAAGAGTCGACAGGGAGATTCCATCCACTCGGACATTGCCCGTGGTGACATCAAGCATTGAGAAGAGTGTCATGAGCAAAGAGGATTTGCCACTATTGATTCCAGCGATTGGTTAGATATGTGACCTGTAGAGGCACGGGCTGTGATCTCAATTACCTTCCGGTTCTCCCCACGACACCAACCTTTTGGCCTGGTTCTATCGTAAGGGAGATGTTGCGTAGAATCGGCTCATTCGTAGAGGAAGCACTGCATCTCGATTTCAGCATTGGCTAGATGAGATTGCCCTTGGACGATTCTTACCTGTAAACAGATGTAACGCCGTCAAACTCAATCTTCCCATGAGTAGGCCAGTTGACAGGTGGGATGTTCGATTCCATCTCGGTATTTTCGTCTGGCGTGTTAGACTCAAAGCTTTTCACCCGAGACACTGCTCCAAGTGACGTTTCAAGTTCGGTCCATCGGGGGATCAGGAAGCCCAAGGTGGTGCTGAAATTCAAGGTGTTGAATAGAGCAACCCCCAACGCGCCACTGCTTGTACTATCACGCATCTGTGTGGCAAGAGCAATGAGCAAAGTTGCTATACCGGCCACGATCAGATTCAAAACAAGGGTCAGCCATCGCTGCACACAATAGAGGAGGTAGTATGGCTTCTGAGATTCGTCCAGCACGGTATGGTTACGACGAACAAACTCTTCTTGCCAGCCAAAGGCGCGGACCGTCATCAGTCCACTGAGGGTTTCTGTGAAATGAGTATATAGCGGCGATTTGGCTTCGAGATCCAACAGCCTCAATTGTCGAGATGTACGTAGATAATATTTTTGCAAAAGATAGAGAGCCCCAAGAATGAACGGCACAGCCACGGCGACATAGGTTGCTCCAATGACTATCAAAACCAGTTCGGCTATTGCCATGAAGGAGCCGGCAAATGTGTCCACGAGGCTGATCAGCAAGTCCATATCAATCAGGCTCATATCTTGGCTAAATCTAGAAAAGCGTTAGTTACACTATAACTTGCAGATTGGTTGGTATAAAGAAGGCACCTGTTAAGAGTTATCCCACTGTCTGTCGAGACAAACCAAGCATAGGGCGCCTTCATGACGGTAGTAAGTAGTATCGAGTGAAGCTTTATGGATGCCTGGGGCCCAGCAACCAGAAGGGTGACTGAGATCATACTGACAATGCCCACGACAGCAAGGACCGCCAGCATCGCATATAGACCCATGTACATGTCAGTTTGCGCTCCTGGGTCAGAAGACTCAGAACTGGACCACCAATCCAGCATGACAGCCTGGAAATCGTTACCAAATGCGTAGAGACCAACTGTTAACAAGAAGGCGGTTAAATTTAACCAGCCCATGGATTTCCCAAAGTAGAGATAAAGACTGAGGTCCCCATGTTGACGAGTCAGATCCGCTCGAGCTTCATCTTGCTGAGATCCAGCGTTTGCGGGACGGGTGCCTTCGCTCGATATTCCATTTTTGTCTTCTGTCGTGCCATCATTATATTCCGCAATCTTAGAGTAGTCGCGTTTGGTACGATTCTCCTGTGTGGGTTCATCCTCTGAGATTGTACCGTCGTCATTCAGTATCCAGATCTTCTGGGCCGACCGAAGATGCTGGACTATAGGAGGTTATATCAGTCCTGTATACCGGAATAAAATCAATCGTTCTTCTCACCCGAATGAGTGGCCAGAATGACGGTCATTCCATGTTGAGTGCAGAGGCCTTCAGGGCCTAGCACATTCTGAAACACAGCTCGGTCAGTCTGGGAATCCAGGCCGCTCAGGACGTCATCTAATAGCATCAACTGTCTTCGAGCGTACACTGCACGTGCCAATGCCTGATTTATATAATTAGAGTAGTCAAGTCTATGATGAAGGGATACTGACCAGCCGTTGCTTTTGTCCCCCGCTTAGAGACGCCCCCTTACTACCAATAGTTGTGAGGTCGTAGTCAGGGAGTCGGCCTACATCCTGGTCTAGCATGCATGATCTCAAGACTTTCTCATACCATTCCGGCTCATACGGAGATGTTCCAAGAATGATTTGACGAAGAGTAGTATTAGGCAACCATGTATCTTGAGCACAAAAGGCAATCTGTGTCCCGAAGGAGTAGACAAAGCCTCTCGTGCAGTGTAATTCGCCCAAAAGTGCTTTTAGCAGTGCTGATTTACCACTACCGACTCGTCCAATTACCATGGTCAATGTTCCTCGTTTAACCTCCAAATTGAGATCCTGTAGAATGATCGGACCCTGGTCAGAGAACCTGAATGATGCATCTTTGACAACAAGGAGGGGGTGACTGGAGATGTCTGCCGATGAAGAGATTTGAGAAGTGGGAAAGTCCTGCAGCTCAACACCAAGCGAAAAATCATCGATTGGTCCGAAAAGAGTATCAAGACGTGGCTCAATGGTTGAAATTCGGCAATCTACATGATCTGCAGCCTCAACATATGACTGGATCCGCTCGATACATGCCAGAGCCGCCGTAAACCTGGAAGAGGTCAGCCAACGACGCGATTAGGGAGCATCACACTGACATCGGTATAGCTTGGACAATTGCTGAGACTGGAGTACTCAGAAGGGAAATGAGAGATAGACTAGTAAATGCCTGGACAACATTGAGAGACATCCCCGAGGTCTTGACATATAGAATGAAGGTGATTGCCGGGCCACAGAGTGCAGATACGTTAGAGACCCCGGCAGTGAAGAGGATATTTCGTCGGAAAGGCAGCGCATATCGCAATTCATCGCATCTAAGGTTGTGTAGAATGGTGGATATGCGTTCGGTGAGACCTAACATTTTGACTGCCTTGATCGAGCTCAGTGAAGAGGATGTGATAGCCACTCTTCTTTGGATAGCTCCAATGAACTCTTTCTGCGAGTCCTTCGCCCATTTTCCTATCAGAAAAGATACCAGAGTGCAACCTTTAGAGTTTCAGTAAGGAGTCTTGCATGGTAATGGGGGCACAAACCAAGTGCAATGACCACCGGGGCAACACACGATGCTCCAATTTGCCATTCCAAAAAGCATATTGCAAGCACTATCTCGATAGGGCCTGCCCAAAGGTATCCAATGAATTTGAACCCAGCATTGATACGGTCGATATCGGTGCTCATTAGAGTTACTGCAGCTGAGTCCGCAACAGAGCTAGCGTTGATGTGGAAAGTGGCTCTGTAGACAAAAGAAACTAATCCACCACGGACCATAGTCATCAAACGGTACGTCTGACGCTCATGCTGAGCTGTGGAGACGGCGTATCCAATATATATCAAGGCTGTAGCACCAACCAAGGCATAACCCACCTTTCGGCTTTCAGGTGTCTCTGGCGTTTCCATCAGCGATACAGCTCGACGTATTAACAGAGGCTGCGAGAATTTGAAAGCAATTGCGAAAATCCTGGGAGGGATACTGGTCAGCAAAGGTCTCCTGAAACAGGAGAAGATAGTCCAGAGGAGCGGACGCCGATATCCTTTGCTCTTCACGTGTTTCCATTTCTCCTGAATCTGTTGATCTATCACTGCAGATGACAGGGTATTGTCAGTCTGGAATAGTTCATGGACTTCTAAGACACGAAGGTATCCCTTTCGCATCAACGAGTTTATCCACCAGAAGACACCTGTATTCAGCACACCTCCAAGCTCCTCTGGCGAATATGTAGAATAGGGCTGCGATAGGAAAGCTCGCTTCTCCCGTGCCTCTAGCGATAATAAGAGGAATTTATATCCAACACTAGCTGTGAAAAGCGCTGCAAGACCCGTGTTCTGGTTTAACAACCAGAGGGTACGAGCTTGAGCAAGATCCAACAGCGCCGAGAAAAGCAAGAAGACATTGATAAGAAAAGACGGACGGATAGACCGTCTATGCTCGAGAGTCGATAATACCAGGAGGGCCAATGCGCTCGCAAACGACAAAGCCGCCGATGGGACTGACGCGCGTGTTTTGCGGGTTGTCGGAAGGCTCCAGAGGATCAACAGGGCCAACTGCAGGCATCCATATAGCAAAATGGCAATCTTTGCAAACAGTGAGCTCGGAAAGTTGTGCAATCCTCTATAGAATTCACCAGATACATACTAGCTTGGTTTTATGGAGGAGCGTCGGCAGGGTTTTGGCGCTTTGTTGCCATAGCTGTCTGATGCGGATTGGGAAGACCAGCAGCAACAACGCAGATGGGCCAATTGTCAAGATACTCTGCTCAAATAGCAGCGTGAAATCAAAATCTCCTCGGCACCCATCATTGACTTGAGGGCCAAACCGGTCATCTGCGCCTGGTAGGCACGTTCTGTTGGCATACATGTCCAGTCAGTAACGGCGGTCAGACACGGAGGGCGTCCCAAACGTGCTCGATGGGAAACCCAAAACTGAGCAAAGAGCAAAGGATTTATACAGCTCCTACCTCTCAAATAGTTGGCGCCTAGCCAAGCGTCATCAATTCCTGCAGCTATCGCGCCAGTAAGCATGCTAAGTTGGTATCTGAGGTAAGACCTGACCAAACGCGTGAGGGGGTATTGGTTACAGGGGTACCTTAACGGACTCCGTCGCGACCAGATTAGAGCAATATTATCGTAGTGTCTTGGAGATCCGGTGATTGCGAGCTTTCTTAGACACTTATATCGTTAATATGAAGTCCTAACATCAACTCAGCTGAAGATTCTGGTATTACCTATAGTGCCAGTAGTTGCCAACGGTCGGGGTAGAATAATAAGTGGCTTATCGATAACGAGCGATAAATGAGATATGCTTATCTCCACGTGATATGAAAGGTCCGTCTCAGCGAGAAAGAGGCAGGAAGGGAAAAGGAAAGGCAGGAATTCGAGGCCACGTTCAGGGACATTCGACCGATTCGACCTTTCTTGTAAGTATAATAACCCAGGAATTGAAGGAGAATTGCACACTCATATTGTTCGTATAGCTTCTCATGGCCACCGCCGCGGATATGGGAAAAAATCGGAAGCGGAAGCGTGAGGAGGGCGACGACTCCGGCGATGAACCCCCTGTTCGAGCTATGTCTCCGGGAAAGAATGGATTTGGGATAGCCCAGACATTGTCTCTGTTGCAGGCTGCGAGTACCTCTGCTGCGACCCCGAACGGGGTGGCCAACGGAAGCGAGCAACCGCAGCAGCCGCCAACCGGCGCCGTGAACAAATCGAAGAAAAAGAAACGAGCCGATGGAGAGAAGACCAAATACCCAGTGTTGACGTATGTGGAGGGTCGGCTGCAGTCGTCCATCCGGATTGCGGATCTGCAGGGTCTCTTGCTATATTGCTTTGCAGATGGGATTGCTCCGCAATGGATATCTGTCAAACACTCCGGCCACGTCCGCAAAGTCGTTGTCTTGATGGTTCCAGGGCTCGAGATCGGCATGTTTGATGGCACCATTCCGTTGGGACCGCAACCGAGTCACATGGAGCTAGATGATGGTCCTGAGGAGGCAAAGCCGGAGAAAACCAGTGGTGACGCGGTCGAGTCTGAGCAGAAAGAAGAGGATGATGACCGAAAAGCGGACTTCCTGCGCTGGAAACAGGGTCTTCCCCCGGAGGATAAATCCCATCGCTTCAATCCGAGAGCCTTGTCGCGCGAGAGCCTTCCTGAGCCGCTACAGCCTCTGGCAGATGTGTTCCCCCATATCTGGCCGGTCAAGGCACCCGGTGATACGAAATACAACAAAGTTCATTCTCCGCTTCAGGCGATTCTACTGTCTTCGCTACCGAAATCTAAGGATACTGATGCCCATGGGAAAGGACCTCGACCGCCGAGAGTCGACAAGTCTCACACACCGAAGCGAACTCCCATCACAGCTTTCATTAGCTCCCAAGACGATCTTCAGGACAACGACTACGTTCTGCACCCGGCATTCTTTGCAACAGAACAGGAGAAGGAAATGGCAAGAGAAGGCCGTAAACGTGCGGGCCAATCTCTGGAGGATGGCTGGCTGGATACCAATGTCCCCAGCCTAGAATCCGGAACTGTTCCTGAAGAAGAGATCCAACAAGGCAGCATGACAGCGGGTCGTGACGTCTTATCCTTGGATTGCGAGATGTGTATCACGGAGGGTGGAAAATCCGAGCTCACGCGTATTAGCTTGGTCAGTTGGGACGGGGAGGTCGTTCTGGACGAACTCGTCAAGCCGCATCTGCCAGTCATCGATTATCTGACCCGCTTCTCTGGCATCACCAAGGAGAAGCTTGACCCAGTCACGACTACTCTTGCCGACATCCAAGAGAAGCTGCTCACGATCCTTACTCCTCGCACAATCCTTGTGGGCCATTCCCTCAACTCAGACATGACCGCGCTCAAACTCACTCATCCATTTATTGTCGATACCACCCTTATCTATCCACATCCGCGTGGACCCCCTCTCAAATGCAGCCTCAAATGGCTTACTCAGAAGTATCTGAGCAAGGAGATTCAAAAAGGCCAATCTGGCCACGATTCCATCGAAGATGCCCGCGCCGTGCTTGAACTGGTCAAATTGAAATGTGAGAAGGGTGAACACTGGGGTACCGGTGAAGCCTCGAATGAGAGTATCTTCCGCCGTCTCGCTCGCTCGACGCGGGCCGGCAAGGCCTCTACGCCTGGCGATGGCCGGACCGGCGCCGTGGTCGACTGGGGCAGTCCAGAGCGCGGATTCGGATCGCAGGCGACCGTTGCGATCGGGTGCACCAACGATGACGGCGTTGTGAAAGGCGTCGCTGCAGCCATCAGTGGCGACGCCAGCATCCCGACAATCCCTGGCGGTGGTGTAGATTTTACCTGGGCAAGACTCCGCGAACTGGAGGTCCTTCGGGGCTGGTGCAAACGTATTCCAGACCCAAATAGTGCAAACGAGTCCACGGCATTGGTTCCTCCGCCTGAAGAAGCCACCCCGACCACCACCACCACCACCACCACCACTACTACAGAGAACGAACAGACACTCGCCACCGCGGTCTCAAAGACTGTCTCGCACATCACCCGGATCTACGACTCTCTGCCCGCCTGCACCTTGTTCATCGTGTATTCAGGTACTGGCGACCCGCGAGAGGTCAGCCGTCTGCAAGACATGCACAAGCAGTACCGCGCAGAGTTCCAGGCGCGCAAGCCGTGGGATGAACTCAGCGTGAAATGGACTGATACCGAAGAGCAGGCGTTGAAGAAGGCCTGTGAGAGAGCGAGAGAAGGGTGTGGATTCATGTGTGTAAAATAGCAACCTTCTGACGACTTCATAGGTTGCGAGAATCAAGCGCGGTAAGCTAGTGTATGTATGTAGTTACCGAGTTTCAAGAAGATGACAAGATATATCCAGCCTAGATTAATAAGGGTCTATATTAAATAGCATAGAATACCAGAATAGAAGTAATCCAACAAGCTACGCTCTGTTCATCGCGCTTCTTCCATCTCCATGGCTTCCTCGCGCTGCATGGCTAGCTTCGCCAATAGATCCCGCGCATTGATCTGCGCCTTGCGCTTCTCCCGCACCGTTTCGTTTTCAACGTTCTCCATCTTCTGGCTGGGAGGAGGCTCGATGGCTTGCGGCACCGGGAGACTCTCGTTTTGCAGAGTGGCTATATTGCTTACCCCCACGGATGGGCCGGAGGGGAGCGTAGAAGGGCTTGTAGTTGTATCTAGTGGGTTCTGGTCGGGTAAAGTCAGGTTAGGTGGGTTCGTTTCCGTGGAAGTCTGCTCTGGTTGTTGCTGCTCTAATTGAATCTGTTCCGGTTCTCGCTGTTCTGTTTGTTGCTGCTCCGGTTGTTGCTGCTCCGGAGCAGTGTCTTCTCCGTCTTCAAAGGCTCGAGATGCGAGAGATGAGACTGACTGCTTCCTGCGACCGCGCAGGCTTCTCGGTCGTCCTGGCCCTTGTCCCTTGGCGTTCAGGGGCGTGTTTGGGGTCTCGTTCGCCACTGAAGAGTAGCTTTTGCTAGTGCTAGCATTTGTGTTCCCAGTCTGCTCACTAAGCGGGGTGGCTTTGGGTGTCTGTACAACAACCGGTCTTGGAGCCTGGCTGAAGGACTTCCGAGGGCGCCCTGGTCTTCTCTTTTCTGGGGCTGCAGCTCCATACGAGACATCTGCCGCGTCATCGAGACGAGGTCGCTTTGCCGTAGGTTGTTCAGAGTGATCCCTTTGCGTCTGTGGCGTACCTCTGTCCAGACGACGCGACACGTCTCGAGATTGGCTGATTTCGATGCGCAACGCTGCTGAACCCGACCTTGACCGCCCCATACTCGTGGAGTCCGTCATTGTAGAGCCCGTAGCTGGTTCTTTCAGTGGGATTCTGATAGGCTGGGACGGGTAATCGGCCACAGACAGGTCGTCAAGCACCTCGTCCGAATCGTCGAAGGAATCCATGATCTGATGGGTGCGACCTCCGAGAAGGGAGTCTTGTCTCCCGCGTTTCCGGGTTGCTTGGAGCAGGCCATGGCCCTGCATTTCGGGCAAGAGTCCCCGCATGGCAGATGGTATCTTCCCCGCTTGTTCCTCCATAACCCGGTTCTTGAGCTTCAGCGCCTCAATCTCCAGCTTGAGTCTCTCGATCTCCTCTGACTTGGATTTGAGTTCCCGTAAAACAGTGGCAATCATGTCAAAGTCGATGTTTGTACTCTCCATCTCCGTCGATGACCGGCTCCCAGGACCGTTCAGTTCAAGGCGCAAAGCCGTGAAAGCATGTTTCAGCTCGCTCATGGTATCATGGAGATTGCTGACAGAACTGGAGATATGGTTTATGCTCGCTCCCTGGTGTTGGATCTGCTGCTCGACCGAGATATTGCTGTCCTGCATGTCCAGCGATCGTAGCGGCACCAATGCCCCGGATGGGCCAGTGGATTGCGGGTATAGAAACTGCTCGGGCGATCCAGCTTTGAAAATCGGTTCTACCGTTCGCATCGTCACAATCTCCCTAAATGATACCTTTCCCAGCTTCCAGAATATATTCGGGCTAGAGTGGCCAGTCAGTTTCGCGCAGACGAAGCTTGCCAGGTATTTTACACATACCCACTATCCAGCAGACACAACACGCCTAATTTCTGCTGGCATAACTTGCACGTCACCTCCTGGAGGATGCGACCGCGCAACAGACTCAAGTCAGAGCTCTGAGGAACCTGCTTCTTCTGCAGGGATATCGACACCCGGTTCAGGTCCAGGCTGAGCCACCCCGTCACAAACGAGTAGGAGTTCGACAGCTTCGCCCACTCGTTCTCGAGCGCGGCCAGCGAACTGGAACACCGTGAACATTGGCATAGGATTGCCGGGCGCGTGAGAGCTGAGAGATCCATCCTGGACAACCGCAGAGCTGCCGTCCAGAGCTTGCAGACTGTGCACTGACTTGCTGTTCTCTTCCGATGCGAGAGATCAGGGACGGCGTTGCTGACTCAGCCGGAGTTAGCCACCGTCTTGTTCGGGGATGCTTAGTTATCTATAACGCTGCTTTCGCGTCCCCGCTCGAGTTTCGGTCCTTTGGATTGAGGTGCTCTTCCCTATACTATATACCCTTGCTCTCCTTGCAACCGCGCTGATCTTCATGAGGAGGATTGTTTTGTCCCGCTTCGGATCTCTTGCCTCGCCTGGTCTAAAGTTTCGAAACTACAGAGGGTTCAGTATGACAAGCTTATCTCTGGCATCAAATGGTGCCAACGGCAGACTGAGTACCTGGCAAGGTGCAGGCGCTGCGGAGTCTGACTTGCGTAGTAGGTGGCTGTAGAAATCGAGTGTCTTGGTATGGTATTGATGAATCTAACACTGCCATTGTTCTCAGGCGATACGATGACGAAGCCGACAATGTCCATGCTCGAGGCAATCGCACAAACTACTCTGCTGGACGATGTCTTCAACGAAGACCCCGTGACAAACGAGCTGCAGGATTATGTCGCGCAGCGTACAAAACACGAGGCTGCCTTGCTCGTCATGTCCGGTACCATGGGAAACCAGGTTGCGATTCGCACTCATCTGGTGCAACCGCCGTATTCGGTACTGTGCGACCACCGATCTCACATTTTCTGCTACGAAGCTGGAGGTGTCAGTACATGGACCGGCGCCACAATGCAGCCAGTTATACCGGAGAACGGGATCCATCTTACGCTGGAGGATATTCAGAAACATGCGGTCGTGGGCACTAACATCCACTACTGTCCCACGAAGCTGATCAGTTTGGAGAACACACTCGATGGATTGGTCATGCCTTTGAGCGAGGCCCGCCGGATCACGGAATGGGCGCATTCACAGGGGATCAAGGTGCACCTTGACGGTGCCAGGCTGTGGGAAGCGGTGGTATCAGGTGCTGGCAGTCTGTCGGACTACGCCAGTGTGTTTGACAGCGTGAGCCTGTGTTTCTCCAAAGGCTTGGGTGCGCCCATTGGCAGTATCATCGTTGGCTCTCAGGAATTCATCGAAAGAGCTCGCTGGTTTCGCAAATCCATCGGTGGTGGTGTCCGCCAGGCTGGTGTCATCTCGGCAGCTGCCAAGGTTGCCGTCGAGGAGACGTTTGGCCCGGATCAGGATGGCAAAGGAGGTAAGCTGCATGAGACGCACCTCAAAGCCAAAAAGGTCGCCGAGCTTTGGACCAGCCGAGGCGGAAAGCTGCTTCATCCCGTGCACACCAACATGGTCTGGCTCGACCTGAATGCCTCTGGCGTGGGCCCCAATGACCTTACCGACATCGGCAAAGAGAAGGGCCTGCAGCTCCTCGGAAACCGTGTTGTCGTGCACTACCGTAAGTTCGGGCCGTCAATCCCATCAGTAAAAGCGATAGAAAATGCTCTAACCAATCTCTAGAGGTCTCCAACGAAACGATTAACCGGCTCGAAGAGGTGTTTGATATCGCCATCAAAGGGCAATACCAACGCAGCGATGACCACAGTAAAGCGTATGGCAGTCGGTAATCGATAGAGAATCAGCTGTATATAATTCTGTGCATAAGATAGATTATATTCGACATTTCAAAGTCATCTCGCACTGTGCTAATGCCCTTCGTAGCAGTCCCTTAGCTCTCTGGCTAAGGTATTCGGTTCTCCCCGAGAGAATCCATGGATGCCTCCCGCTGCCAGGCCTGGACGAAAGACATAAAAACAGGGTCCGTACCATGCGGTACATACAATACACCTTATCACAAAGGCATTGTGCAGACAACACAAGGCGGTGTCTGTATTGTCCTGTAATTGGTGCACAGACCACTATATCGGTGCCTGGGGCCTCAAGGCAGACAGCCATTATATAATCTTCCCCATCCTCAGAGCTGAACTTAGCTTGCCTTCCCTTGTTTCTCGGACGACCGCCCTGCCAGAAAATCTGCCTGTCGTGTCTTTACTCTCGGTGCTTTTCCCCATCGCCGAGTAGAGAGCGACTTGTAGAGACTAGCCTGGAAAAAGGGGAAAGCAGATGCGCGGAGGACTGGCAGGGAAACCCCCCCCACTGTGTAAGTCAGCCTTGCTATAAAAGCACCCTCAACCCCCAATCTTTCCTATTTGTGATTGCTCTTTTTCTTTTCACTGACTCTTCCTTACTCCTCTCAGAAATAGGTCTCTCGTCTTCGTACATTGTCTCGTTTCATTGCATCCTGTCACTCGTTCGTTTGATGACTACAAGCAACAACCCGGAGCAGCATTTAAGGCTTGAGGTCGCACTTGAGCTGGATGGGATTGAAAATACTCTGTCTCTGAAAAGCAATTCTCGGGAGAAACCCAATTTTAAGTGAACAATACTACCTAGGCCTTCGATTCGGTTCCCGGGTGCTTGAAAGCCACATAACTTTACTGGCTGAGACATTGTCCCTCTACTCGAGTCAATCCTGCTTCAAACAGACCAGAACGCGAGAGACCTGGCTTGATTTCAGCGTCAACCTTGCATCTGGGTGATGGGTACATATTGAAGTAAAGACTTGGTGTTTGTTTCTGGACATTGGCAACCAAGCAAGGGCTTTCCGCCGACCTTGGGTTCAGCCAGCAGCTGGAAGGTAAGGCGGCAGTTTACTGTATACTGTAAACCCAACGTCGACAGAGAAGTCCTTGAACCGCTGACACAGTCAAGTTCAGTTGATGAACCTGCCCTAAATACTGCCTTGTTAGGCAGCATATTCCCAATCCATCAAGTACTTGGACAAGTTCTCCAGAGGCCTGAGTTCCGGAGCATTTTCGCTCATTTTTTAGTTCCCCATCCTATTATACCTGTCTTTATCGTGACAATATACAATGGAGGCCACTCAAGAGTCCACGCAACCATGCACAGATCGCTGGGCTATGGGTGTGAAGAACTCAGGGCTACATGAGGAGGATGTTGCTGATATCATCTGTATTCTGCATCCTAATTCTCACGCTGCGCATGATGCTATTGCTGCCACTGCGGATTTCGCGCCCCAGCATATCTTGCAGCAAGACGAGCTAGGATATCATAGCACACCTACCCTCGACGTCGCCCTACGACTATCCTCGGTATCCTGTGAACCAGCAATGGGATTCATTTTCGGTCGCAATCGCCATCGGTGCGATGTTCTTCTTGCCCGAGATGACAGGGCTAAGAGGGTCTCTAACACGCACTTTCGCATATATCTTACGGTGGATGGAATTCTCATGCTGCAGGATACTTCCACTAACGGCACCCTTGTAGACAACTGCCGACTCCAAAAAAGACACAAGGACAGGAACAGCAGAATGCTAGCCAACGGGTCTGTCATTCATGTCGTCAGTGGGGCCGACTCAGTGGATGAAATTCGGTTCATTGTTCGGATACCAAATCGAGATGGAGTTGCGGGACAATATACAGAAAACTTCAATCGATACATCGAGCGCACACAACCAAAGGGAAACGCCGTCACTCAACCAAGGACATTTCAGTACCCTCCCCAATGGACTGTTGGCAATACCTACGGTATGCACTGGTCAGGAGGTGACCTGTACAATGTCACCGGCCTGATTGGAAAAGGTGCTTTTGCAACGGTTTACAAGGTCGCAGATCCACAGGATGGCCACGTATTCGCGTGCAAGGAACTTGATAAACGACGTTTCATGAAGAACGGGATCTTGGATCAGAAAGTGGACAATGAGATGAATATTATGAAAGATCTGAAGCATGTACGAAGCCCCCTCCCGTTTAATAAGCCCCAATCATATACACTAATATCAAATTCAGCCCAATATTGTGCAGTTTGTCAGCCACCATGACTACGAGCGATGGTTGTACATTATCATGGAATATGTCCCTTGTGGGGAGCTGTCTACATACCTACAGTCGCAAGGAAAGATCCCAGAGGAGATGGTCAGGACCATCGCTCGCCAGCTATTGCATGCCCTTCAGTATCTGCATCGGCGGAAGATCACGCACCGAGACATCAAGCCAGATAACATACTAATCCATTCATTGGATCCCTTGAAGATCAAGCTTTCGGACTTCGGCCTCTCCAAGGTCGTACAGGAGGAAACGTTCCTCAAAACATTTTGTGGCACACTTCTGTACTGCGCTCCGGAGGTTTATCCTGACTATGACACGTATCGTCGCGGCGAGCCCAGAAAACGACGTAGAGCAGGTGATCCGTGAGTAAAAATTCTCGTTGATTATTATATTCCTTTTTTTTTCTTCTTGATCTCAGTCAAGTGACTGATAAGCAGGCCTCCAAAAACATCTCCGTACGATCAGTCGGTGGACATGTGGTCACTCGGTGCTGTTCTGTTCCACATTCTCTCCGGCACTCCGCCCTTCATGGGTCGTGCAGAAGACCGAGGCGCGACGATGCTGACGGCCATCATGACGGGTGAAGCCGACTACAATGTTCTACGTGAGGCAGGCGTTTCGGAAGCCGGCATTGACTTTGTCTCGCATCTGCTCAACCGAGATCCCCACAGGCGTCCAAAGGAGCGAGAGTGCTTCAAACACCCTTGGATCGCCACTGTTCCCGACGAGGACGTGTATGAGGACGACGGCTTCACTTCGGATGCCTTGGATGGGCTGCCAGCCATTGGTGAGGACGAAGAAGAGGAGGAACTCGACGCCTCGCAGCTGTCCCTGAATGATCGGTTAGGCGCGGGTCTTGTCGATAGCCAAGAAGAAGTGTTGGCAAAGAAGATGAGGATCGATTGCCCACCAGGGGAGATCCTCTATCCGTCCCTGCCTCAGATTGAGAGCCTGCAAGACTTTCAACCGTCCGCGACGCCTAATACCCGACGGCTTTTCGGTGAAATCACCAATTCTGTCCTGCGAAGCTCCGATGTCATGGGCGAAGGGCTTAAGGCTTTCGATGGGGACTTTAGCCTCCGTGACTTCGTGTCCTCAAATGGTGAGTCGATGAGCGATAGCAACAGCCTGAACTCCGTCCTCTCCCTTCCGGACAACCCTTTCGGTGGATCCGCACCAAGCTTAATGGGCGCTGAGAACCTCGTCGGACAGCTGAACATGAACTCGTCGTACCCGGCTCTACCGAACCCTTGGAACCCAGTGGCCGGACGGCCAAGACAACCGAGTAGTCCAGGATCGGCCCAGGAACCAGAATCCGCCGTGCACCCGTCCGTGTCCGGAAAGCCTTCAGTATCTCATAGGAAAGATACGACTCCCAAAGCAGCCAAGATCAGCGGTCGGATCGGATTAGACTTGCCCGAGACTTCCAGCGAGCATTCCAGTTACGACAACATTGCCTCCGAATTTTCTGATAATGCAGAGCCTGGAAGCGTAGGTGAGGCACTCTTTGACATCGAACTGGCAACCACACTTGATGCCCGCACCGGCCAAGAAGTCAGCAAGTCTCCCGCCGCACCCCCGGCTCAGGAGAATGAGAATGCCGCTTATCGAAAGCCCACGACTCCCTCGCTTGACCTCGGTTCCGTTCCCCCCTCTCTGGAATTCGCCAAACCCCGACCGTTGCTGGGAAGGCTGGTGACATTGCCCGGGTCCATCTTCGATCTGACACTGCGGCTGGAAGACCGGATGACCTCGTGGGGCCGGGGCCCGAAGGCGACGATCAGCCATCCAGACCCGATGGACACGCGGATCCCGGCCTACGCGCTCGAGGTGACGTTCTGGACGGAGGGGATGGAAGCGCGACTCGCGGCGGGGGAAGACTGGATGCATGTGCCGGGAGTGACGGCGATCCTGTCGACCAAGACCCGCAGTCGCATCTGGGTGAACGACATCGAGCTGCGTCGCGGACCCAACACGGACAGCGAGGGGTTCTACTTTGGCAAATTGTACACCGGCGACATCATCACTGTCTACCGATACCAGCGCCAGTTCCTCAAGTTCCGCTGCGAGTTCTACCACGGTGATAGTGTGCGAGTCCGGCCGGAGAAGGAGAAGGGGTTCTCGATTCGCGTGGGATTGCATCGCACCAAACCACTTGGGGCGGTTAATCGGCTCCCAGAATCACGCACCGAAACAGGGAAGCAGCATTAGATTTCCTATCTCTTCCCTTTTTCCTCGCTTGCTAGCTTTCTCTGTCTCTCTCTCTCTCTCTCATTCGTCTCTTTTTTTTGCGGTACTATTCAGACTCTCCGCTCAGTTTACGACTTGGGGGCCGTTAGTTGTTTCATCATGGATCATGTGTCGAAAGGAGGAACTTGGGTATCGTGATGGCATTGGGTGTCATAGGCGTCATTGGGATTACATTCAAGAATAGATGTCATTGATATATCCGATGGTGGAGTGAGTAAAGTGCAGTCATAGCTTCAACTAGGCATTCGAGTATTTACTATTTTGACTACCAGATACTATTCACAGTTAGATAATGACTTGAACAACCATCTTCAAGTTCTTGACAGTAATCTAGCTATTAATTCTGCTCTATGTCTGACATAGTACACTAAGGGCCTATACATCTCAGATTAAACGGCGAAAGCTGCAGGTTAATGCAGGTAACTCAATACTAAGGAGTACCAGTTGATTGGGGGATTTACTAGTCAGTTACTTATGATTTAGTCAGGAACAGGGATATCATGAATAAACTGTTCCTGTCAATAGAGGTTTTCATAACTGTTTCTACTCCATATATGAGTACACCTACCTACCACCTACTACTAACTACCTACCACGTACTATACCACACCGTAGCTACTCCATAGATTATTTCCTAGTAACAGAACAGGAACTATTCCGTACTCATTCCTATCGTCAATCTTCATTAATCTAACGTCAAGTCCCACCTCATTTCCTTCGACAACGATAACTGGCTCGCCCTGCAACACGGACCAAGTCGCGACCCTCTCTCTGCAACGTTTGCAGCCAGATCACGATGGAGGGAAATATTAATATACAGAGCGCAATTAAAACGCCGAGAGAAATAGAACAGGAGCACCCGGAAATGGACTCGAGAGCCAAGATGTGCTGCACTGCAACCTTGTCTCAGTCTGCTCCGCCGTCATTTGCTGCTCCAGGGGAACCTATCCAGGGTAACTGAAGGGTAACACTTACACCAACCCCAACGGCCTGCACCAGTTTTGGGTCCATCCAGAGATTAAGCAAGAGTGTCTTCTTTGGGCTGATCCCCCCCCCGCCTTTTTTCCTCCTTCGAAATCACTGCTGAACGCGAACGGCGAGTCTAATAGTACTCTGTGTACGTGTCGGAACACTTGACGTTGCACACTGTCACCCCGTTCTTCTTGGCTGGAGACGGAGTACTACAGAGTACGGAGTAAATACCTGTTAACTACGTTATTAACTAACTAGTTAACTAGTTACCTCCCAGCAACGACTCACTAGATCATCCTCTATCCTCCACGGTGGCTTCCCGACCGCCTCCCTCCTCCCATCACCGTCGTCGTTCCTCATCCGTGAGACCTTCGCTCCGACTGCAACGCCCCTCATCCGATCCTGAAGAGCCGCTTGGAAGCACCTCGAGCCTTGCTGGCCGCACCTATACCCGTCTGCCGTTGCCCGTCTTACCCGGTACTCCCGTGGGTGGCGACAACATGTCCCTGTCTCGATCACCCTCGCCCCGGCCGGGCGGGGGGTGGTCCAGCCCAGGCCTGACAGCTGGCGGCGGCGGCGGCGGCAGCAGCAGCGGGACATCGACGCCGCGCAGTCCCAACGGGCCTGGTGGCCTCTCGTGGGCAGCGGCCAAGGCCAAAAGCGACGAGGTCAGAAGCTACCCGTCCTTTGCTACGCGTAATAATGGCTTCTTCTCCCGCCAGAAACGCAAGATCTCCGCCAGCCTGCCGCGGTTTCGCATCACCCCGACGACAACGTATAATGATTATCACGAGAAGAACAAGAGGAAGCACCAGCAGGGCAGGTACGGACACGAGCCCTGGCGCCAGGAAAACCAGCGCGGTCCGATGCGGTTCTTACGCTCGATCACACGTCTAAAACGGACACGCTTTTTGCTGGGGCTGATCGTGGTGTGGATTGGATACCTGCTGCTCTGGACTTTCTTTGTAGAAACGTACCGACGCTCGGCGCTCGGGGGAGGACGCAAATTCGTTATCGTGCTGGCCTCGAACGTCGAAGGAGGTGTGATGGAGTGGAAGGGTGCGCGTGAGTGGGCTGTCGAGCGGAATAGCATTCGGAACAAGAAGAAATACGCCCAGAGATGGGGCTACGAGCTCGAGATCGTCAACATGCTCGCTCGTAAGAAGTACTCGCATGAGTGGCGCGAGAGCTGGGAGAAGGTCGATGTGCTCCGGGAAACGATGCGCAAGTACCCGGATGCAGAGTGGTAAGTCCCCCCCCCATTTATCGGTGGTGTTTTTTTTTTTTTGGCTAATTCATGGATGAAGGTTCTGGTGGCTGGATCTAGATACATGGATCATGGAGTACTCGTACTCGTTACAGGACCATATATTCGACCATCTCGAGACGAAGAGCTATCGCGACATCAACGTGTACAACCCGCTGAACATCACCCACCCACGGACAGACTTCTACCTGGACGCGCTGGCGCGGTCTTCCACGGCAGACCACGACCCACGCTCCATCGAGATTCTCCTCTCGCAAGACTGCGGCGGCTTCAATCTCGGCTCTTTTTTCATCCGCCGCTCCATCTGGACGGACCGTCTCCTGGATGCCTGGTGGGACCCGGTCATGTACGAGCAGAAACACATGGAATGGGAGCACAAGGAGCAGGACTCGCTGGAATACCTGTACGCCAGCCAGCCGTGGATCCGGTCACGCCTCGCCTTCGCGCCCCAGCGACTGCTCAACTCCTTCCCCCCTGGCGCGTGCGGCGACGGCTTCGACCCCGCCGTGCACTACCAGGAGAAGAACCGGGACTTCCTCGTCAACATGGCCGGCTGTCAGTTCGGCCGTGACTGCTGGGGCGAGATGTATCAGTACCGCGAGCTTAGCAACTGGCTGAACCGCACCCGGTGGGAACGCTTCAAGGAGGGTCTCTGGGCCATCTACTTGACCCTCACGGGCCAACCGTCACTACCGCGCCCTCGACAACCTCCACCGATACGACACGAAGAGATTCAGGAGATAAAATAGTCTCATCCTTTTCGTCCTTTTTTTTTCTCTTTTTACTTTTCGTGGACATGATTGATGACATGTCAGTAGAGTTTTTTTCTTCCTCTTTTGTTGTTCCTATTCTTTCTTCCGGCATTGGGGATGCCTGTACCATAGCGCTCTGCGATTGCTTGATACCTTGTATATGTGGCTTTGATCAGTGTTGCCATTGCTATGATAGATTATATATTTTCTTCTTTTGCGAATAGCCAGTATTCTATAATTCATTAATCGCAAGCAGATTAATTTTACTATTGGCAGAACCGCACTTGGTGGTATATTTCGTGGTAGTATGGCCCTTATTAGGCCACAGCAGTAACTTAAGCCTGCACCTCCTCTCCAACCTTCCATCTTTATTCTTCACAACCACTCTATAATTCTCTAGAGATGACAAAATTGCAGGAATCACACCTCCGAGGACTCGCCTGGGTTCAAAAGACTTTCGGCCTGGAGCCTCGATGGACTCTTGGGCCTGAGATTGAGGCTATTTAGCAGACCATACAGTCACTCTGGCCGTCAAGCACAGCTACAGTGACTTTCCTAGGCCAGGGCGCCTTCAACAAGATCTACGATGTGAAAATAGACAACCGAATCTTCATCATGCGGATCTCATTGCCCGTCGACCCGTACCACAAAACTATGAGCGAAGTTGCGACACTGGACTGGATCTCCCGCACTACAAGTATCCCTGTTCCACAAGTGATCACTTACCAATCTTCTCGAGATAACCCGATCGGATTTGAATGGATTCTAATGACCAAAATGCCTGGGAAGACCCTGGGAGACAGCTGGAAGTCTCTCTCTTTTTTATGCTAAATCAAATTTGGTCAGAGAGATTGCGGCATACTCCGCTTGTCTTTTCCGAAACCAACTACGAGGAATCGGAAATATCTACGGGGCATCATCTGGCGTGGGCAGGATTGTTTCCATGCACTTCTTCTGGGGCCCGCATATCCTTCAGGATGTTCATCGAGCTCCATTTCGCTCTAACAAGGACTGGATCACATCTCGCCTCTTGCTTAGTGAAAGCGACTGCCATGCGGTTTTGGGAGATCTCAACAGCAACGATGAAGACGAAGTCGATGATGCAACGAGAACATTACAAATCATCGAGAAACTTCAATCCCTCCTTCCACTGTTTTTTCCATCCGGTGATGAGCATGCAGAGTCATCAATCGTATTCCATGACGACCTCTCCCGAGAAAATATCCTTGTTCAGAGTGGCGGAGAGCTGGCAGGCGTTCTAGACTGGGAGTGCGTTTCTGCCCTTCCGTTATGGAAGGCCTGTGACTACCCTGCCTTCCTTCAGGAGTCGCCACGACGCCTGGAGCCCGACCCGAGAAGATATGACCGTGAAGCGAATGGGGAACTTGCCGACCTCTACTGGGAGCATCGATGGGAGTATGAGGTCACTCTCCTTCGCGAGATATTTGTTGATGAGATGAAACGACTTGAGCCCGGGTGGGTGGATGTCTTCAACAAGAGCCATCGTCAGAGAGACTTTGACATTGCAGTAGAGAACTGCGACAATGAATTCGTTGCCCGCCATATACTTGCATGGATCAGTGATATCATTGCTGGCGTGAGCCATCTTCGGAGCCTGCAAAATCGGATTGATGAAGACTAAACAACGGGTTGACTGGCTAATGATTAATTCCTAGGGAGATACTATTGTTAGCACTTTCCAGTGCTACACTGCATTCAGCCATGCCTATCCATAACCTCCATATGAAGAGCGCATAAGTGCCCTCATGGCAACACCAACCATAAGCTTTCTCAAATACTAACTATAATAGCTATGGCTATATATATATAGTCTATATCCTAACTTATATATCAAGCTTATTAAATGGGTGAGTTATATGCCTGGCCACTCGGTGCAGATCTATATTCTCGTACATACTACAGTACCTATAGTATTCAACCACCAAACGGGTCAACCAAATGGGTCAGCAATAACTCTCATCTCTCCGGTTAAAAACAATTTTTTATATGGATAAATATGCTAATATCACATGGAATAGTCCATGTACTTGATTTTACATTATAACCTCTTATATTTGTTGAGATAATTGACTTGAGAGGTCTCTTTACAGGAACATCCTGACCCGTCTGGTGGTGACCCATTCAGTGGTTAGAGAGGTACATTTAATAACCATCAAATGGGTCACCACTGGACGGGTCAGCGTGTATAAGTCTCATCTTCAAGTCTAATATCTTAGGCACCTTTGTATATTAGATCTTTTCTGTTATAACTATATTTTATATAGAGATCCTAGTAGAATATCTATTCAGTGAATATATTTTCACCTTCACTTTTAGAAAGAATAGTTACATGCAGACCTGTCCGGTGGTGACCTGTTCAGCGGCTAAAGAGATACATTTAATGTATTAACCGCTGAATGGGTCACCACCATTGAGAGACCAGCTGCTAGGATATCGCACCTCTCGTACAATATGAACTGTAGCTGTATTGAATCTACTTTTGAACATCCCCTAGGGCATGGTTCATTTGTAGGGACTGATTCTCTCAATGGTTGAATACATCTAGTTATTAATACAGTACTGGTAATTACGTATGGCTTTGGAATCACGTATTTCATTCTAACTATATGGTATTGGATTTTTTTTTAGATTTTTACCTACAATAGCTATTATACTATATATATTGAATAATGAATTAGAATATAAGATTCGTTGACATAGTATAGGTATCCTACAAGGCCACTCGGTGCGGAGTACACAATACATACCTAGTAGTTAACTAGAGGTAGGTAAGTATTCATGTAATTACTTAGTAAGCAATCATAAATAACCTAGGTACCTAAGTTAAGCCTGAGGTATCCAATTACATAATATCTCACCGCCAACCAACCACCAATTGCAACTCGCTCAAATCTAACCTCAACCGTCACAGGAACGTCTGGACGACCACTCAATCGAACATCTTGGGCTCGATCTCGACTTAATCCCCAACCTACTCCTCCTCAAATCCTAATAACGAAACCAAGAGACGATTCGAAATGCCCACCCCCGAGTCCGCGGCGTTCCTCGCCAAGAAACCCACCGTCCCCCCGACGTACGAGGGCGTCGACTTTGACGACAACGTCGCGGTGCACAACGCCCGCGACGCGATCATCCGCGAGCAATGGGTGCGCAGCATGATGTCACGGCTTGTCGGAGAGGAATTGGGCAAGTGTTATGCGCGGGAGGGGGTGAATCATTTCGAAAAGTGTGGTGTGTTAAGAGGTAGGAAAACGCCGGTTCTCCCGAACTTCGATCGAGACTCGAATCTGATTATTGTCTGTTTAGAAAAATACTTTGAGCTCCTCAAGGAACGGAAAGTCAAGGGTTACCTCTTTGAAGAGAAGAATTACTTCGCAAAGGATAAGTCGGCATAGATGGTTCCGGTTCTATGGTGGACGAGATGGGAAAGAATCTCTGAATCGTTTTTTTTTGTTTCTTTTGTACATGTACATATACTGTACTTGATGTTCTCAATTTTCATCAATGGTTAAAAAGGTTAAAAGAGTTACTGAATGGCTCGGTTTGAACCCTCCTACAGATGCGATTTACTACTAATATAAGTGGTATGATGGAGGTACTAATAATAAGTGCTGTGTTCGCCTACCGCCTCTTCTTCGCTGTCTTCGCTCTCTGGCCGGATATTGTCTTCCTCGGGCGGAGCACGCATGCGAACCAGTTGGTCTTCATCGAGCAAGGGTGGCTTGTACGGGCCTGGGGGCGAGTGGATGTCTCGGCCGGACGGCAAGTTGGCGAGTAAAGGTCCCGACGGGGGGATTATTTGCGTGTTGATCTGTGAAAGCATTAGCACGGCAGTCCGAGTCCAAGTCCAAGTCCAAGTCCAAGTCGCAGAAAAACATACTGTGTCATTCATCTTGACCCATTTCGTCTCCAACATTTCAATCACCCGCACCTCCTCGTCCCTCCCGGCATTGTCGCCCGGCTCAAGCTCGCCTTTACTCTTGTCACCTGCGTCTCGGTCCATCCGGCGCTCCTCGCGGCGTTCCGCCCATTCTTTCTTCCACTTTGAGAAACCTTTGCTCTTGCTATTCGTCGTGGTCGTCGCTGTTGTTGCATCCGCCTCGCCCGCGGGTAACCCCAATGCCCCCCTAGCAGCCCGGAGCCAGGCAATCGCCTCGCCCACTTTCCCGGCCAGCTCGGCATCAATACCGAAGAAGCGACAGGCTCGCGCGCGCGCCACCCGCCCCAACACCCGTACGTACCGGACCAGATCGGCATCGCCGCCGCCCACGGCGCCCAGCCCCGCGGCCGCCTGCTCCGCATACTCGGCTGCGCGCACGCACAGCCGCGCAAACAGCAGCGCGCGGACCTTTGGGATCGTCGGCGCGCGCACCATCCACTCCCGGTCGTGCGGGTTGCGCGCCTGGATGCTCGCCGCCACGTACGAGTCGTCTTTCAGCACCGCCAGGAGCGTTGCTTCCGCCAGCGCCAGCGATGACAGCGCAGAGTGCGTCCCCGGGTTGACATCCGGGACGCCACTAGAAGATGTTGACGTAGATGTTGTAATTGTAGTACTGCTCCCCACATCTGTAAATGTCGATAGTAGATAATGCACCGACGCTGCCTGTAGTAGCTGCCGCGTCGCCGTCTGTACGGCCGCCGTGCGCTGCTCCGCACTCGGAGTCACAGCTGCGTACAGCGTGGTCACCACGCCAGACCGCGCGAGCCCGGCCAGCACGTACCCCAGCGTGGCGAGCACGAAGACGATTTCGAAATCGATCCCACGGCCGTGGATCCGACCCGATCGGCCGCCTTTGCTGTGCGCTAATGCCTTGAGGGACAGACCTGTCTCGCTGAGCGTGGGCAGCCATTCGGCCTCGATCTCGGCGTGCAGCGCGATATCAACCTCCTCGCAGGCATGGCGGGCGTTTCCTGTGCCCCCTGCTGCTGCTGCTGCTGCTGCTGATAATTCAACCGCCCTTCCACTCAAGCCGTGTGAGATGGCAAACAGGTATGGCAGGTACTCGGTCAGCGCGGCCAGGACGGCGGGCAGGTGGGCGTCCTGCCGGGGCCCGCGTGGGAGTCGGCGGTGGGCTTTGAGGGCAAGACGCAGCGCATGGCGGGCGGTAGACGCAGCCTGGGGCAGCGACGGATGCGTGCTGGAGGATAGGGAGGCCTGGAAGGAAAGATGCGAGGTGGTTGGCAGGGCAAAGGCGTAGACCATTGTTGGCAGTGATGATTCGCAGCTTAGAATGTTGGAAATCGGGTGATGTCACGGTCGGGATGTGTTACTATTTATTTACTCTTGGGTCGAGCGGGGCACTTTTATAAGAAAAATTACTCTGGCTTTTCAAGAGTATACAGTTTATTATCCATTTATTTGTGTTGGTATTAGGTGGAAGAGATGATCCTTTAACCGCTAACTAATCGGTTAAAATATCAAGTCGGAGCCAGCAGATCCAAATGACTACACAGTTCTGTCGACTGTGAAGTAGGCTCTCCATCGCGTCATCTATCCGATGCTTCTGTGACCCTTCTGCTATGCCCTTATCCCTCGAGGTATCGTCTACCGTTGCCGTCTGGCCCTGTTCACCGGACGTCTGTACGTATCCCCGGGAGCGCAGGCGACCGGGCCAATCTGCACTTGGCAAAGTCTGTGTGCGGCGGTGATTCCGGTCGAGGTAACTGTTGTAATAGCAGCCTTTTGTCTTGAAAGGTGGTGTCGGTCGCCTTGTAGTGTGTCTGCATTCTCTCCTGTCGATTCTAAGAGATAGCGTAGTCGTCCGCTCCTCACCCCTCCATCGCATCGTCCGACAGATTGCTCGGTGCACTGCTGACGCCCGAAGAGTCGCTTTCCGCCGAGTATCGCTCGCGTGTGCGGACTTGTTGCCCCCATTCGCGTATGCTAGGCACCCCTCCCTCGATGATGATCGGATGCTCCTCGGCGTTCTTCCCCAGTATCGTCCCGGCGTACCGTGACTCCTCGCCCGTCTTGCTGTGTTTTTTCTTCAGCGAGGTCAGGTAGTCTTCCTTCTCGAGCGCGTCCGGGTCGATCATGTCGCCCTCGCTGGGCAGAAAACCGGCAATCCGCCGGATCTCGCGATTCGCAGGACCCGTAAACCATCCAAGGAAGGACTCTAGCCCTCGTAGGTCTTCTTCCCCTGCAAAATCCTCCTCCCACTCTCTCAACTGTGGTCGCAAGGCACCCACATCTTGCAAGGCCTGGTAGATGTCTTCGAGCACGACGTTCGGGTCTTCCGGGTGCGCGTTGGCGGCGTGGGATGCGGCAGAGGAGCCTAGAAGCAGCAGATACCGCGCTGTTAGGTCGGCTAGTGTGTCTAGCACCGACGGTCTCGTTGCATGGAACCCTGCAGCACGCAGAATCTGGATAATGGGCGGTCGTAGCAGGGCGTTGTGTAGGTTGGCGCCGGACATGGTGGACGCGGAAAGACTTGGGAGATTCAACCTGTTGAACAGGATACGTGAAGAGTGTTGAGTAGGACAAGAACAGACGAGATTGAAGAAAATATAAATATTATAGAAATTATTAATTGGAAGATAGAATAAACAATAGAATCGACTCGAGCTCAATAGACAGGCAACTGGTAAGTGAGTGAATGAGAATGTCAGATAGAACGGCTCGGCGGACAACTTCTGCTTCTCCACCTGCGCTCTCACTTCCTGCCTCCAACGCACTCGTTGCACTCGTTCTTTTGGCTCGTCTACGACACAGAAACCACTCTTCTTCTCTATTCTCTTCCGTATCGGCACTGTTGAGAAGATCCCATCAAGAAAGAACATGGCTGATCCGCCACGGCCGATGCTGAAGCTCTCCTTTGGCAAGAAAAAGGCGCCAGAAGCTCCGCCCGTGCCAGCAGCACCGCCAGTACCTGCTGCTCAGACGCCCTCGGAAACCCCTCAGCGCAAGATCACACTAAAGATCGGTCCGAAGAAACCTCCTGCTGGCGATGAAGATGATAGCAAACCAAAGAAGAAGAAACCGTCGAAGAAACGACCTGCTGAGGCAGCTGCCTTGCCAGTTCACGACAGTGCTCCTGCGCCCGACGCGTTAACGGTGGCCCCCGCGGGGCCGAAACGGTTGAAGCTCAATCCCTCGAAGAAACCGGGGTTGCAGTCGATTCGGATCAAGAACAAGGGGCTGGTGCCGAATCGACCGGTCGGGGTGGGCTACGACTCGGAGGCGTCGGACACAGAGCTCGACCCGACGATCGAGGAGCAGTTTATTCTACGGATGATGCCTGGGGAGGATTGTGAATATATTCGCCAGGCAATCAACGAGAGACGGTTCGACCGGTCGGATATTTCTTTCAAACCGCTAAGTCGTGAAGGGCGACGCTCCGTCATCCGGGTCCGAGATAAGCAATACGCTGCTACGCTGGTCGATCTACCGTGTATCTTGGAAGGTATGAAGAGCTGGGACCGGCGTGGATGGTACAAGTCGGCGGATATTTGTCAGATGCTATTGGTGCTAGGACCCGTCGCCAACGAACAGGAAGCTTTGGAATTCCCTCTGCCGCCGGAAATCGAGACGACAGACGAGAAGACGCTGCAGTATCCGCACGGCATCACACCCCCACTGCGGTGGGTGAAAAGACGGCGATTCCGGGAGCGCGTCAGCACGCGGACCATCGAGCAGGTCGAGCGGGCGGTGGAAGATCTGATCGCGCAGGATGAGGCCTGCATCATGCCCCCGCGGTATGAGCTGCTGGACAGCGCCTCTCTCGCCCGGGCCGAAGGGTTGGTGCAGACCGGGCTCTATGACGACGAATACGACGACGAACAGGATGCCGAGGGTGAGGCCGATGAAGAGCTCCAGGATGGAGAGGACCACGACGACGACCTTCTGGCGGAGATGGAGGCGGCGCTGGCCGGCGACTTTGACGACGAGTTTACCCCTGCTACCACCTCTGCTGCTACCAAACCGGTCTCGACCGCACCCCAGCTGTACCAGGCGGGCACGCCAATAGCCACGAAACCCTCAACGCCTGCCGAGATTGCCGAGTCGTCAGGCGACGAAAGCGAGTCCGACAGAGACGAGGAGCAGGAAGAAGAGGACTTGGATGAGGAGCAGCTGGAGCGGCAGCGGCAGATTCAGCAGCAGCGCGAGGAGATTGCCGAGCTGGAGGCGCTCATCCGCACCGAAACCGTGAAATGGGAGATGATGCAGAACCAGATTCTCAAGGGCAAGCTGGGCAAGCGCATCCAGAGTCTCAAACAGGATCTTGCTCTGAAGAAAGTCTCGATTGGCGAGGGGGACGATGCTTCTTAATGTACTTATTGATACCCTCTCTATTACCTACACTTTTATCTATACTTTTACCCTCACCATTTAATCCAGTATTCCATATTCATATATATCGCACCAATCATTGTAAGAAGAGTGTAGTTTACACCACCGGATCGCCCGTTCCCTGCCCAACCGCCCTCTTGACATCAATCTCCTCGTCCCTCCTCAACTTCTCCCTTCGCACCATCTCCCCCGGATCTCGCGTTACCCCTACCATTCCCTCCCCCAACACACGTTCATGCTCCGCCATCTTCCGATCCATCTCCGCCATCAGATCCGGCTGTTCACCCGCCGTGCCCGGCGAACCCATCAAGCCAGATGTACCAGCTGTCGCCTCAGTCTCCCCCCCTGGCGCCCCCGGACCAGCCATACTCCCCACCGGACCGGCATGGGCGCCTGGCTGCGCGCGTCTCGCCTTCCGAGCTGAATCCGTGGCCCCCTGCACGGCCGCGGCGATCTTCCCTTCCTTGGGCTGCTGCTCGACGCCGTACTCTGTGTCCACGTCTGGAGCGGCCTGGAGACGACACCGTTCCCGTTCCCGTTCCGCTTGGAGGGATGCAAGGGCTTCGTCGGAGGAAGGGCGAGACGAAGCCCCTCTTGTGATGAGGGGGGTGGCGTCGCCGTGCTGGCGGGTGAGAGTGCGCTGTTCTTGTTCTTGTTCTGCGGCAGTTCGAGAGACGGGGTTCTTGGGTTGGGTGTACGAGGCTTGTTTGGGAGGTTGAGCGGTTTCCATTTTAAATTATCTTTAGTATCAACGACGAGGGTTACTATTGATGGTTTATGGCAGTAGCAAGGTTGTACTCTAGGTGGAAGACTGCGTATAAAACTGGTTGTGTTTATACTTGGATGACGTCAGTTATAGCAGCGTTTAAATAAAGTTATTCCATGTATGGAATAAAGAGGAAATAATCTATTGGTGTGTTATTAAGGAATCTAAATAAGTAAGACATGCTATATTCCAGGGTATATTAATTGTTTCGCAGTCGTTGCTTTATATATGTAGTATAGTCGTTGCTTATATATACTTTGAGGTTATTGACTTTAGATATTGCATTGGCATTGTAGCAGAGTAGCAATAGATTAGTTCTATACTACCAGAACAGCAACTCATTTCATAGGAAGTTGTGAGAAGAGACGAACTGAGGAGGAAGAAGCGAAAGCAAAAGTGCCCAAGGCCGGCGCTGAACATGTGACACCGATGCAGCCGAAAGTAGAAATGCCGCGGTCATAAATACAAAGGATTACAAGGGACGACACCGAGTGTCTATTCCACCTCATTCCTCCACACTGCCGTGAGTGTTGTGTGTGTTGTTCCTTATTTATAAGTTGCTGAATAATTCTAACACAAATATAGAGCTATGACGACTCTCTTTAATATTCCCGTCGCGTCCACTGGCGGGAGTATCGGCTGCTCGAATCCGTCCAGCGACGATAAGGACAAAACCATCTACCTTCTCACCTTCCACTCACCCAAAGACAACCGCCTGACGCCGACGTTTATTGACGCCCTCCTGCTGGCCCTGGATGTGATCGAGCACAAATTCCCCAAAGGCGTGGTGGTGACCACCAGCGACATCCCTAAATTCTACAGCAACGGACTCGACCTCGAGCTAGCGTTAAGCACGGAGAATTTCCTCGAGAAATGGCTGTGGAAGCTTTTCCGGCGATTCCTCACGTAATTTTTTCCCCCATATTCATTTCGTTCAAACTACAATTCTGACACTGCCAGATACCCGATGCCAACCGTCTGTCTGTTGAATGGACACGCGTTTGCCGGCGGCTTGATGCTGGCCATGTATCATGACTACCGCATCCAGAATCCCAGCCGGGGATTCTTGTGCGTCAACGAGATCGATTTTGGCGTGCCTCTGCAGACCCCCATGATGAGCATCTTCAGGCAGAAACTGACCCCCGCGACGTTTCGGGATCTGGTCCTGGAAGCGAAGCGGTTCGGCGGGCCTGCTTCCCTGCAGGCTGGCCTCGTCGATGGCCTTGGAGGGCTGGAGGAGACTCTAGCCTTCATCCGGGAGAGGGGGCTGCAGACCAAAGCAGCCACGGGAATCTATGGGACGATGAAGGAGGAGATGTGGCGTGAGAGCCTGGGATACCTTGACAACCACTCTGGAAACCTTGCGTGGAGGGATGAGATCGAGCATAAAAAGGAAATTGCCCATAGTGAGAGCAAGGACAAGGTCCAGAAATGGGCGACGAGGGGGAATAAGCTATAATGTTATCTTCACCTTATATATATCATTGACTATACAAGATATGAATTCAATAAATAGTAAAGATCAATTTAGAATTGTTTGCTTAATTCTACTATAAGTTAATAAGAAGGATACAAAGCATTCACTGAGTATCTACAACTCTCACTTAAGAACCTTTAGTCTCAGTGATAGGATAGAATTACCTTAAAGTCTCAGACCTTTCCTTCTATTAGTATACCTAGTAGAATAACAGTTAGAACTAAAAAGATGTTTCCTATATAACCACTTATTATAGTGATAGAAAGATCACTTCTATAAAGGTTAAGTGAATAAGGATTTTTGTTCTTATAGAAGCCTTTTTCTAGAATACTATAAGTCCTAGTCTACACTGCTCTCTTGTTCTTCCTATTCCACCATCGCTCTCATCACCAGGGAGAACTCCCCAGCATAAATAGACACACCAGCATCGAGACAAGCCTAAAATGGATCCCCAGACCCCTCCACCCAGAAGAAAAGAGAGAAAGGTGCTAGGCTCTCCCATCAGACTCAGAAGGTAACCCTCTCTCTTCTCTCTTCTTCTCCTCTTCTCCTTGAGTTATCTTCTTCCTTACCTACCTCCCAACACAAGATCTCCAAATACCTCCAGTCCACTCCTGCTCGACTCATAAACGCAGACAGACGCTCAAGCCCTCCCTGCCCTTTCCCCAAACCTAACCTCGCACCTCGAGCTCAAGAACAAGAACAAGAACAAGATGAAGCGCACCGCCGTTTCCAGTGTGTCCCCCGCTGACCCGCGCAGTGAAGCCGAGAGAATCGCCGCCGGAAAAGAAGAGCAGGCCATCCGGCCCAGCAGAGCGAGCTGGGGCCAGGCAGATCAGATCGACGCCGAGACGGAGATGGATGACTCGCGGGTCGCGCTGGCGAAGATCCAGAAGCGGATCCGGGAGTTGGAGCTTCTGGGTGCTGTCAAGAAGGAAGAGAAGGGGGAAGCCGTCGACAGAGCGGAGAAGAACAAGGCGGACGACACTACTAGGAAAGGCAGGAAGAACAAGAAGATGAAACTGGATGATGGAGTGGCTGACAAGGTAAGTGTTTTAGTACCTATATGAGTATGCGCATGTACATGAATGTTTTCCTTTTTGACTAATTGTACTTTCCCAGGAATCCGGTTCTGCCTCTGCGTCTGCCTCTGATTCCTCGAATACCCCCAAGACCAGAACTCCTGTTCCGCTCTCCAATGAGGCCATCGCTCGGATTCTCATGATGGCCAAACCCGACTGTCCTCAAGCCCGGGCCTGGATTCGCGAGAACGTCGACCAAGCAAAGGACCAGAAAGAGACAGAGAATGAGGGAACGCCCGCCGCGGCCGCCGTCGCTGATACCAACAAGAGTAAGAAGACCGGGATGGCGCCCCCAAACTGGAATCCGAACCTGTTGAGAAGCCGTGCCGCACTGGAGGACCCGGAGACCGACCCGTTCCAGCGCGTGATTAACGCCCACAAACGTCTGCAGGACGCCATGGAGCGGGCCTCCCGTGGCGACTTCAGTTAAATTCATGGATACATAGTGGGTTCTTGGCCAGCATGTTATCATTATCAGTCATTGCTGTAGCAGGAGATGCGAGTGGTGACAGATGATGTCGGGGATGATCTGTAGTTAGCTGGACATTACTCTGTACTAGTCTATGCTTTTTCCCCTCTTCTTGAAAAAAAACTCCTGTTAAGCCTTTTTCCTCTTGACTTGCTTCGATTTACTCGGCGACTCTAATTTATCCACCAGCGGCCGATACGGCGACGCAAGGACATACTCCTCGGCTCGCTGGGACGGGTCACCGCGTCTGGGTTCCCCTAAAGAGGGACGTAGTCGTTGTTCCTCGTGCATTTTGTCCAGCGGGTCGCCGACAATCTGGTATTTGGCCCAGTTGATGGGAGGCATGCGCACCACGTTCTGCGGGGTAGGCAATTTGCCAAGGGTAGGAGTAGAAGTAGTAGTGTTTTGTAAAGTCTGTTGTTGACCAGCATTCGGTTCAGTAGAGGCTTCGGCGGATTCAGCATCCCCCATCACGATATCTTCAGTATCTTCTCTCTCATCCGAGAAACCGATGAATGACCCCGTCGACGCACTGAGCTTCCCCGCGGCGAGTTCCTGCGCAAACCGTTCCGGGTCCACTGCGGCAGCCATCTTCAGTCGATCGAGGGTCTGCAAATCGCGCAGACTCTGCTGTTTCTGCAGCTGGAGGATGGATATGGCGGAGCGCAGCGCGATGGCATCGGGATTCTCGCTCTCCGAGATAGGCACGGGCTGCGGCTCGGCGGCGAACAATGGGCCTAGGGGACCTCTCGGCGATGCATATTCACGGGCGGGTTCTGCCCTCGGGGTACCGGACTGGGGAGGGGGAAACGAGGAAGGGAGCAGGGAGGTCGGCGAGGGCGACGAGGCTGGAGGCACAATCGACGTCGTGCCGGGAGACGCTGGGGCGAGATGGGCGAGCACAGGAGTCACGGGCGAGTACGGCGGGCGCGGCGGGGTGCCTGGTCGGTCATCGGGAGGTGTATTTGTCTCTGAGGGCTGCATGGTGCATACTGAGGGTACAATATTCCCTCTATGTTGAAGATGTGATGAGAGTTTGAGTGTGTTCTAAGAAGCTCGTCAGGAACATTCGGTGGCCAGGACAATGACGACAGTCCCCGCCACGGTATCAGATACGAGCAACAACTGTGTTTTTGATTGAGTTCTCTATCTATCTATTTAATTTATTCTATTAACCTAGCTTTCCCTAATTTCCCTTATTTTATCTTATCTATTTAAATGTATTCTCTATACTATACTGAAGTAGATCTGTTTAGTTCATTTAGTCAGTCTAACATAAGGCCCTCATTGATAGAAGCATCAACCAGATCTACTCATAGAAGATATAATAAAATCACCAGCTAAATGCAACTAATTGTACTAATTATACCTAGAAGAATCACCCTATGTGTAGGAAAGATGTGAGATATTCCAAGGTATGGGTTGAGGTAGAACTCCATATATATGGAGTATAAGACAGATGATAGTTACTACATACTGAACAACAATAAATTCCATATTATATCTAACTACCTAATAATATAAAGCTCTTATTCTACTACTATATAATTTACTACACACTCTCTCTGTATGCTATGGATAAATTCAGCCCGGATCAGGCCATACACTAATTTTCCCAAGGATTTTATGCTGCAAATTCTCACCGCCAAAGAAAAAGTCTTACTCTCCCAACAACTCCAAGATATAATTATTGTTAATCCCAATTGCCGAGGAGATTCTGGCCAGATGAAGCGCAAAACGGACGGACGGGACTCGCTCGATGCCAACGGGCAGCCCGAGAGCAAGAAACGCGCGCTGTCGAGCGAGGAAGTCGCTGCACGGTTTCGCGAGGGGCTTTTCGACGCTGCGGAGCTGCGCAAGTATACCAAGCAATACGCTGGATCGTCGCCGTACGTATTCTCTCTGTTTCTGTCTTCCATATAGAAGAGGAGTATTAATTGATTTATAGATACCTTCATGGCGTGATTTGCCCCCTGATCGAGCCCTCGCTCCTGCGGTCGGTACGCAGCGAAATCCAAGAGCACCTGTCCTTCACCGAGAAGGAGACGGACATCTACAAGATTGTGCAGTCGGGCGACCTGGCGAACCTGGACGGACTGGACGATGCCTCGTTGTCCAAGCTGCCGTCGCTGCTAAAGCTGCGCGACGCGATGTACTCGGCGCGGTTCCGCGAGTACCTGTCCTCGGTGACGGGGTCGGGCCCGCTCAGCGGCCGCAAGACCGACATGGCTATCAACGTCTACAACGAGGGTTGTCATCTGCTGTGCCACGACGATGTCATCGGTAGCCGTCGTGTCAGCTACATTCTCTACCTGACTGATCCGGATACCCCCTGGCAGGCGGAATGGGGTGGTGCCCTGCGCCTATTCCCGACCAGGGACGAGAAAGACGCCCAGGGCGAGCCGATCAAGATACCCGAGCCGGACACTGTGCTATCCATCCCGCCTGCTTTTAACCAGCTCAGCTTCTTTACCGTCCAGCCGGGTGAGAGCTTCCACGACGTCGAGGAGGTGTACCACCCGACGGATAAGTCGGCACCGAAGCGTGTGCGCATGGCCATCAGTGGCTGGTTCCACATCCCGCAGGAAGGTGAGGAGGGCTACGAGGAAGGGTTAGAGGAGAAGCTGGCCCAACGGAGCAGTCTCTCCCAGCTAGAGGGGCGTGGCGATATCTACGACCGGCCGCAGGAACAGGTCGTGCCATATGCAGGAAACGACGACGATGATGAAACCGACAAAATTATCGACAATGAATTTACAGAAGAGGATCTCGACTTGCTAGTGAAATACATCGCCCCCTCGTACCTGACGCCCGACATTGCCGAGGAGCTGTCGGACACGTTTTCAAGCGAGTCGTCGCTGAGCCTGGAACGGTTCCTGTCCGACAAATTCGCCGCGCGCGTGCGGGCGTACATCGAGGCGCAGGAGCAGCAGCGGCTGCCCACCTCGTCGGCCGAGATCGAGGCCCAGACAGAGTGGAAGGTGGCCTGCCCGCCACACAAGCACCGATACCTGTTCCAGCAGGTTTCTGCAGAAAACAAAAACAAAAACAGAAACAAAAACCCCCTTCAAGAGCTACTGAACGATCTGCTCCCCTCGCAGGCGTTCCGCAAGTGGCTGTCGGCCATCACGGGAGTGGACCAGCTGACAAGCCACAATCTCCTGGCGCGTCGGTTCCGACGCGGGGAGGATTACACGTTGGCGAGCGGGTACGATGCCGCGCAGCCCCGGCTGGAATTCACCATCTGCCTGACGCCGAGTGGTGGGTGGGAGAGCGAGGAGGGCAAGGAGAACGAGAACGAAGTGTCGGTGGGCGGCTACGAGATCTACATGGCCGGTGATGAAGACGACGAAGAAGATGAAGATGAAGAAGAAGATGATGGGGAGAATGCCGATCAGGTGCTACGGCCGAAAGACAAGGCCAAGATTAAAGGCAAGACGAAGCTGGACCCGGCGATTTACCGGTCGGCGGGCGCGGACGAGGATGACGGGATCCTATTCAGCACGGCGGCGGGGTGGAACCGGCTCAGCGTTGTGTTACGTGACAGTGGCACGCTGCGGTTCGTCAAGTATGTCAGTGCGGCGGCGAGGGGGGATCGGTGGGATATCACGGGGGAGATTGGAGTGGAATTTGACGATGAAGAGGGAGATGAAGAGGATGATGAAGAGAATGATGATGAGGATGATGATGATGATGATGATGATGATGATGAAGGGGATGATGAGGAAGAAGAAGAAGAAGACGAAGAGATGGAAGAGTAAGGATCTTCTTAGCAAACTTGATCTACATTTGTGTAACGTGAAATCCTGCTGCCTGGGAGTCCTCCGAGTCTCTGGACGGAGTACCTCTAGTTGGAGATATCCCAACCTGTAGAGTGCTAATAGGTACCTACCTAAAGATGGCCAGGATGTATTAGGTACCTAGGTACTTGCAGGTAGGCACTTAGTTACCTACCCAGGTAGCAAATGAAGTACCTGTAAGTCTGTATATTAATAGAAAATAAGTATCTATCGATCTACAGATAGATATCTATTTATTACTATTTACTATTCAATCAAACAAATACATGTACTCAGAGCACTCCGTACTCCGTCCATCCATACTCAACCTACTCAATATCTCGTATCTGTCCACGGGTCACCGCATGGCTGGAGCATGGAGTCCATGCGACGTTGTACAGATCAGCATCCCTTGCTGTGTCACATACCAGATACAATGCAACGTACGAAAACGTAGTTCGGAGTAGGTACTCTCTGAGTCGAGGCATGTCCACTAGATATGGACTATAGAATGTAGTAGTAACCCTAGGTAGGAAGGGTAGTACTATACCTACTGTATCGTATTGTAACGTACTATACTGTCTGTAGTACTCTGTAGTACTGCCACGCACTGATCGCCAAGCCCATGTGTTGCCCCGCCCACTCAATATCCAGACTTTTTTCAACCGCAACCGGCGGTATCCTGCAGAAGCCCTGGTCGGGGGTGCATGAGGAATGTATGCAAGGGTTAGCAACTTATTATAGTGACCATCCAGCCAAGGGAGTAAGTTTATGTACAGAGTAGCTACTCTCGAGTAAAACACCGGTGGTTAGTTGACTCGATATGTAGTATACAAGGTATCTATCTCTATCTTTCTATTACCACCAAGAGTGAATACTCTGCTCTTTATGCCGAGGACCCCTGAAGCGATCTGCCACGTGAACGAGTGGTGGATACAGCGCCACTGTTGATCCATTCCGGTACCAGTATTACCAGTATGATACGGGTACAAAGTACCTACTAGGGTACCTACCTTACTACTAGGACTGTGATAACTACTACCTAACTAACTACCTAGTAACTAGTACATATATTGTAGTACTATAACTAGTATATGGAGTATACTATATGCACTACGGGTGATAGAATGGCTAGTTACATGAATCAAGTACTAAATCTACTAATGAAGAATCAATCACTAATAGAATCCAGTACTATATTAGTCTTATTTATTAGTTAGCTTCTACTGTCATACACTAGAACAAACTACTCGAGACTATGACCGATCTGGAAAAAGCACCAGTACCAGTCATGTGTGCCTGCAGCCCTCGTGGCACTCTAACTGTATTACAGGGAGAGAGTACAGAATACCTTAGGTACCTAGGTATACTAGGTAGTTAGGTAGAGTATGAGGTACTGGGTATGTATTCGAGAGACAAGCACACTTGAGTATCAATAGCTACTAGTATGCTATGTAGTAAATAGCATGAGAAAATAATATAGAACAAGAATAAATAGATAATATAGAATTAATCAATGAATACTTAATGTTCAAGCAACTAATAAATACTTGATCCACTGCCACGCGTGATAGTCAAAGCCGGGGCCTTTTTCTGCTGCGGCCCTCGCGTCTTCTTAGTGCAAAGCACCACCCATACAGTAAAGAACCCCTCGCTCCTCCCGGCCGCTCGACCACCTCCGCCCGTCCCAGACTCGACCGACTCGACCGACTCGACCGACTCGACTTGACTCGACTTGACTCGACGACGGCCTCGGTCTGTCTCTGGTCGCCTCGTGTCTCCTACCGCCCATCCTCTTGTCTTCTTGTCTTTCCTTTGGCATCCTGTCAGTCCATACTATTCCCTCTTCTCCTCCACCTGTCTCTCCGCTGCAAAACTAAACTTCAAGCTCGATCGATCCCAGACAGCCGAGGATAAATCGAGGCGAATAATTTCAAAGTCAACGCATCGAGGTTCGAATCGTCGACCAGCCGTCGAAAAAAAAAAATACACTCCCATAGCGCGTGTTTCGCTCTTCTTGCGTCGATACCCTCCCCATAATCGTTTGTTCGCGGCTGTCTGTCTGTCTCTTGGCGCCTGAGGCCTTTCCCGGCCTTCCAACCTCTCTCCTTGTATCACCACCACGACACCGTTCTCTCTCTTCCCCCCAGCCATTGTTCAGCTCTCGGTCGACCTCCCCTCCCTTCTACTTTCCTTGAACTTTGACTGTTCAATCTCACCGCTCGATTTTACCCTTCCTGCGTCGTCCGATTATGTTATGACCGCTGCGGCCTATTCCGGAGGACACCTGTAGCATCCCAAGCTGAACATCGCGAGAAAACGAACCTCGCGAAAAGGAACGTCCATATATCCTGTCACGGAAAATCGCCACTTCTTTCGCAGCCAACTCGCTCGTCCCGCTTATTTGTGACAGTCCGTCTCTATACCACCGTTTTTTTCATCCCTGGTGGCGGAATATGAGATAGGGTGAATTTGATTTCCATAAGAAACACACCCACTCACCACCGATATATATACGCTCCTCGTTGATCATGGAGACCTCCATCGCTCATCGCCCCTGGGAGCCCGCCAGGTCGGCGCCGCATACGCCGCCAGTCCCCACGCCGCAAACGCTGCCCTCCATCTCCACATTGACGGCCAACATGGGCGGCGCCCCGGCCGTCCACCCGTCAGAGAAGTCGCCAGGCAACTCGTCATTGAATACCATCGAGCGCGACTCGGGCAATTGGTCCATGCCTCAGAGTACGAGTAGGTCGAGCCTCAATCCTGCGGCGTCGCGCCGCGTCTCCGTCGCGCTTGCTGACCAGCCAGGGTCGTCAACCTATTCCACCGCCACCAACGGCACTGGCAACTATCCCACCCTCTCCTTCTTGACCACCTCGCAACCGTCTCCGAATCGCATCTCCTCCCTCCCCGACCGCTCTCCTTTCCCCCACGACCAGTCCACCACCCCGTCCTCCGCCGGCGCCCAGCCTTCCCCCAGCTTCGGCTCCACCCAGCCTACCACCGCCTCCACCCTCCCCTCCATCAACCAGAACCATGAAGCCGTTGTGCTCCCGCCCTCACATCATCATCATCACCACCACCATCAGCAGCAGCAGCAGCAGCAGCAACACTACCAACCGCATCAACCGCCGCTCCCCCTGTCTCAACGCGCCAGTGTGGCTGACCCGCCCGAGTCGCGCCGGAGCAGCATCGACAGCCGTATGAACCAAGGGATTAGTTCGCTCGCCATCAACCCAGCTTCCCCGTACCACAGCACCAACGCCTCCCAAACCTCGATAGTCTCGAGTCTACAACGCGAACGCGGTATTTCCACGGATATGGGCATGGGCAATGCCTACCGCGGACCCCGCTATTCCACCGGCCAGGCGCTGTCGCCCCTGGGACCCCGCGCCGGAGAGCAGCGCAGCTTCGCCGCCGGCCGCACTGCCCCCGCCATTTCCTCCAACCCGCGCTCCGAAATCTACAATGCCGAAGCCCCCACCGCGGGTTTGGCCTATGCCTTTCCCGATCCAGACGTCGCGCGCTCCAACTCCATGTCCTCCGCCACCGAGACGTCTCAGTTCTCGCGCAAGGGCAGCACCGCCGAGTCGCTTGCTAGCAGCATCTATTCCATGGACACGCGGTTGCCGCGGGGACAGCACGGTAAATTCTTTTTCTTTCTCGCTCGCACTCTTTGCTTGTGGTTATAATATTTGGATCAAGCTGACCATTTAGAACTTCCGTCCGGTGTTCACCACCATTCGATGCAGCACAAACAGGTCCGTGGCCTGATCGGAGAAGCCGAGCAACAAAGTGGCAGCACCCCCTACAGCCGAACACCCGAGCTCCGCGTCACCCACAAACTAGCGGAGAGAAAGCGCCGAAGTGAAATGAAGGACTGTTTCGAGGCTTTGCGATTACGGCTCCCTCAAAGTCAGAACAACAAGTCGAGCAAGTGGGAGACTTTGACACGAGGTGTGTTGTTCCCTCCCTACTGTCTTTTGTTTTTCTCCCCTCTACTTCTATGTAACCCTGCTAATTTTTTTTTCTTTTTCAGCTATCGAATACATCACCCAGCTTGAAAAGTCGGTCGGCCAGGTCCGCGGCGAAAACTCCATGTTGCGGACAGAAGTAGACGAACTGCGCGCCCAACTCAACCAGCAGCAGCAACAGGCCAACGGGCAGGTCCGCCCATCGCCCATGTTCGACCATCATATGACGGGAGGCCCCCAACAGCCCAACGGCCAGCCGCAAGGGCCCATGTTTTCCGGTTATGGGCCAGGCATGTCGCAGGAGCAGCCACGGACCCTCCCGCCGTTGATGAACGGGTCTGTTGCCCCCATGCAGGGGATCCAGTATACCGACGAGCGGCGCTAGATACCCTTTCTTCTTCTTCTTCTTCTTTTGAACTATTCATTTTTTGTATCGGAACGTTTTGGATGAATGACGGGATGCCGAATTCTCTAGAGGCCATCATCCGCCATGGCGCATCTATCTGTACTCTCACGCAGACATCGTTTCTCTCTCTCTCCTATTCCTCCTCTCCTCTTTTTGACGCGATGATGTCCACGACCCTGTGCGATAACCCGTTAACTTACTTGATTCCCACTGTTTCTGTTTTCTGTCTTCTGTTCTTTTCTATTTTTATGTTTTCTCTCTCTCTTTTCTTTTTGTACCCTCAAGGAGGTATTTTACTTGGGTCCATGTTGGATTGATGTGTTTCATGTATGCCCTGGGAACGGTCTGGTTTTTGCCCTATACCTATGGATCTGGATAGGCTTTGCATCTTGAGTGTACCAAAAGCTGGTCGGTGTTTGTTGGTATCAGATTCTGACAGTACAATATAGTTACTAGTGACTATACATTTGTAGTTCTAGTTACACTGTTTAAACAGTCTAGCTTGTTGTTAGTGAGATTCAAGTCATCGAGTCACTATGATGTCTCTGATGTCTCTGATGTCTCCTTGATCTATTGTGCCTATGCAGTAGTCAATGCATGACTCCTATTAACTCTTGTTTACCATGGTATCAGTCACAGCTGCCTATTTCTTCTCCCACCAGGAGCACCGCCATCTACCAAGATTCATACCCCTCTCTCTTCACCTGTGTTAGAACTGAACTTCCTCTAGCAAATATCAAAAATGTTCCATCCGTTCTTCCCTCTCCGCCCACCGCAGCCAGATGACAGTCACTTGCAGACCCCCCCGGAGTCCCCTCGAAAGAGGCGACGCGAGCTGAGAGAATCCGACGAGACGGACGGAGAGTTCTCTATAGAGACCTACATTTATCGTTCGGATCCTTACCGGTCGACCTCCATCGACGACCCGCTCCCGTATCCCATCCTTGCAGAAGATGCGCCTCAAGATGTGGCCGAACAGGTCCTGCAACACCGGGAACGGATCTGGGGGATCCTTGTCCAGCACGGGTTTCCTACAGATGTTGGGGGTCTGGGTGTGCACCGCATCTCGAAGCCAGGCTATCCAGGTGGCGAAGTTTTGATCACCGTCCTCAGAATCGTGTATGAGGGAGCGGCTCTCCCCCGTGTCCTGGGGGATGCAAAGAGCGCAATCTACCGCTTTCTCATCGATAATGGTGTTCATGGAGTCGAGGTGGAAATCGTGGATTGGAAGAACTGCTTCCGGCCATCTCTTTTCCCTATCTCACAGCACGACTTGACCGTCCCGGTCTATGAAGCTTCGAAACAAAGTATCCTTGGCATACTTCAAGACCAAATCCCAAGCCTGTGGCAATCTGCCTGTCTGTACAGAGTTGGCGTCAATGAAGAAAAGGCAGTCCCCACGATTGTCATCACGGTCTCACCTCGAGGAACCGCAGACTGGTCGGCGCTTCGCAATCGTGTGCTTCGATCTTTTGGGTCCGGATATATCACAATCGGCCTTGAGTTTTTACCCGGGAGTGTGGACATGCTTGTGGATGAACGGGGTGTGAATTCCATAATCAGACATATGGATTGCGACGGCGAACTGAAAATGGGATATTCGATTGGCATTCCCGGCGAAGATGGCGGAGGTACCCTCGGTGGATTTTTCACCCTCAGCCATGATGGTTCTACCCATCATGGCTTCCTCACTAATTACCACGTCGTACGCCCTCCAACCAGTGCAAACGAATCTGTTAAAGAGAAATACGACCGGGTTGGGACCTTTTTCTCAGAGAACTCGGAGTTTTCCGAGGTCATCTGTTTTTCGCCAAGGGACTGTCGTGCTGTATCACGTCATCTAAGCAAGTATCATGAGGAATTGCAGGCAAGCTGGAACAATTTCAAAGATGAGATCGCCATACGCCAGGAGGCAGGGGCAAGAGTATCGACTGGCCTACAAATGAGGCATGACTGCGCGAGGGAGGATATTGAAATCTGCGGAAAAAAACAAGATATCGTCTCCAAAATGCCACGAACTCTTGGAAAGGTCCTCATTTCCAGTGGAAAGGGCACTTCGCGAGGTCGGATCGTGGATTGGGCGTTCATCTCTCTCGATCAAAGTGACTTCCAACGCAATATTATGCCAGATACTCGGCACTTCAATGGTCCCTTTGAGGGGGATTCACATCCAAGGTTCCAAATCAAATCAGGTTATCCTTTGACCGACTTTGGCGATTTGGTCAAGAATGAGCCCGTCTTCAAGGTTGGCCGAACGACAGATCTCACCGGGGGAATATGTAATGGCGTCAAGCAACTGTGCCACTGGAAAGCGGCAGATAGGCGGCGCTATGAGAACGGCGAGGAAGTTCAACTAGGCGATATTACGGAGGAGTTCGTCATCGTCGGCCAGCGCAAATCAGCAGGGAGGATGGAGCAAGAAATCTTCGCTGAGAACGGCGACTCTGGATCGATTCTGGTTGATGCGTCGGGAAGTGTTTGTGGTCTGCTCTACGCAGGCACGGCCATCCATGCAGGCTCGTTGTACCAGGGGTCTGTTGGACTCGCAATGACTATGTCGGATGTGCGTGCTTCAATCAAGGCCAAAGGCTGTGAGCTCGGCCTTGAACAATGAACACCAGACCGAAATTTGTTTCAATAAGCTTGGGACGTTGTCATTAACCCCGAGGCCATGTCTTTTTCTTCTTTTCACCCTTGATTTATTGATGAAAATCGTGGGCTTCAGTGGTCTAGTTCTTAATAGCTTTGCCTTTGCTAGAAAAGAGAATCATTTTTAGTTGTGAGAATAAAGATGTATTTAATTAAATCTAAATCCGTCTTTTAGAGGGAAGCAAACACCGATCTATTCAACAATAGAGAGAGACACCAGATTAGACAAGTCTGATCTGAATTCCTTCATGAGAAGTCTTGTCGTGGAACCATTCTCCCTGCATGAGCCCGTGGATATAGCACTCGCCAATCAGGTTGTATTCCGAGGTATGCTCGTTAGATTGCCGAATGATGAAAGGAACCCGACTGCCGTAGAAAAGGGCGATGAGGTCCCCCTCTTTCGCGGTGGTAGGCACAAGGCCGACCCGGCCTTGCTTTGTTGCGCAGACGACCGCCGTGGAGAGGAGCTCTGCAAAGTCTAGTGCGGTGACGAGGAAGGGCCACAGCTCTCTGCGAATGTGATTTGGCACGGTTGGAGAGTCGAGCACCTGGTTGGCAGAGCGTAGCTTCAGCGGTTCTGTCCGTTTATCGAGCGGTTCTTGGACCTCGGGCTTGAGATAGTTGAGGAGAGCCTGATATGCGTTCAAACGATCATCGCCAGGCCATTTTTCCCTCGATGGGTTGCTGGCTCCGCCAATTGGTAGGCTAGCCTTGACAATTTCCTGCTCGACATGGTCCGGGATCTTGTCGGTGATGAACTGGAAGATTTCACGGATGTAGTCCATGGTATCGTTGGTACTCGAATCACAATCACCACGCTCAATAATCGTGTCGACAACGGCGCCTTGAACGTACAAAAGCCCGCCCGCTTTCACCTTGGCCTCCACCCCGAAACGTGTTGCCGCCTTGAAGCAGCCGCTGTGGGCGCTGCAGCGTCGTCCACTCTTTGCAAATTCGCAGTTCCCATCCCCAGTTCGACAGCCCCAGGTGGAGATTGTTTCAGGGTATGGACCGGTGGTCCAGTCAGGAATCCAAGAGGGGAAACGCTCGCCAGAGGTGGAAACCCTTGCTCGATATAGGAGATCCATGGCTTGACCTCGTTTCACAAATACGCGGGCGTATCGTTCGACAACCTCCCTCAGACTGACTTTATAGTCGGGGTTGAGTTCTTCCTCATCGGCATCATTAGCTAGGCTGAGCAATGCGAAAAGTTTATCTCGGTACTTCGTAGACTTCGCAAGATTGAAGACCTCAAGGAGATTTAGCAGAGTGTCCTGAGCCACGAATTCTCCATTTTTACGGCTGAGGCTTCGAAACTTGCCCAGCTCCAGGGCAACTGATGCGGTGCTTTTCATTGAAAGCAAGTATTCAAACCCAGGCATCTTGGCATGCTCGAAGCAGAGCTCAATCGCTGCATAGAATGTCTCCCAGGGGATCTTTCGATCACCACAGACCAGGGTCACTTCTCGTGCTAGAACTAGCTCCTGAATGATCCAGACTCGCCGAAACCACGTTCGTTCTAAAATCTTGATGATCGCATCCCATATTGGGTCCTCAACGGGGGGGATTTTCATTCCCTGTCCGGACCGACGCGCCGAACCATCCTCTTTATCCGCCGTGTCTTCAACGAGACGGCGTAGAGTATCGATGGCAGCGCTGCTCTGATCATATTCCTCTCCCAACCACGCGAATACATGTGTTGCTGTTTTGAAGATATCTGAAAGTAGTCGAATCTGCTGTGGCTTCTCCCGATCATTGTCCTGATCAATGCAGATTGCATCCGCCCAGATGTAGATATCCTTGGTTTCATTTCGTAACCGCCGTAGTCCTAAGTATATAGCTGCAGTCAGGGGGATTATCCCCAAATTAGTTTTCAAATTGAATGGCCGCAGATTGCTTCCCCATGCATAAGAAAGGGCGACATATTGCGGACTCTCATTCAGCGAGCAGTGTTCTAACTTTGCTTGTAGCTCTTCGGTCCCTTTTCCAGAAAAGAGTTGCAGGAGTCTAAAGGCCCTGTTCTGCTCGCTCAAGGGCTGCCATGCAAATGGCTCGCGCTTTCTGATTGGGGAGAGGGGCTTTGGGAAACCACCCCGTCCACTATAGGAATCATCGGTAATGGACTGAGGAATCTGGGGCTCCTGCCTGCGGACCAGGTCCGCTCGGATGCTTTCAAGTTCGCCGACTTGTATTTGCGGAGGGAAGGAAGGTATTAGATGTACTGTAGAGTCACGTTGATATTTCAGCTTCAGCTGGTGAGTCGAGAACATCATCCACGGATCGATCAGAATAAAAATTTTTGGTTTTTCAGCCAAAATTTCCGAAACACGGACAATGATGAAGACATCTCTAGGAGGCTCTTCTCTATTTATTGTGCTGAAATTTCCCGCCTAGAGTGTCATATTATATATTAGTTATAATAGAATTGACATGACTTGCCCGACGCAAGATCGACATGAAGTCAATGGGCATAGCAAGGATGGAATGCAGGGAAAAAGAAGCCAACTCACCATTTCCAGCTTCGACAAACTTAGTGTGACGGGATCCTTCCAATCCTTGATGGTTGTGTGAACATCGATGTGATAGACTGGCTGACTTCCTTTCCAGAGTTCAGCCTGCTTGTATGATTGGAGAAGAAGGAATTCTGTCATAGGAGCGGAATTTTCGCGGTCGACTGTGAATGTCGCGGTTGGAGTCTCTAGTTCTTTAAATGGTAAATGTCCAAGCTGGCTGCGCATCGTGCATGTCCAATGTGTTTCGGGTTTATAGTTCTCAAGTAGAATATTGAGCAACTGAGAGACCTACCATGATTCAATGAATGTCAGTATATAAAGTATCCCACTATGATATTATGATTTCGCCAGGTTCACTTACAAATACCTGTCCCAAGAATTCGGATTCATGGTCAACCGCGCGAGTTGGGTTAAGGGCAATGAATATGGTTCGCTCGTAAGTATCGGAAAGTTCCATGCATGCAGGCAGGACCGTAAGACCACCACGGGTCCCCGAGTTCAATTCTGGAAGACCATCCGGCGTGGGAACAAAAATCATGTTGGCCTGACCTGAAATTGTGACTTTTTTGTTTCCTTCTTTCAAACTCCGCATATAAGCAATGAATCCGGGTTGATCGTGGACTTCCTCTGTCCTAGTTGGCTTTGAAGCCGTCTCGGCAATGTTGTTTGAGATTGCATGTTCTTGCTGCTTACTCTCTGCTTGGGGACGGAAAAACGGCTTGAAATTTGAGTTCAAGGGTTTGGCTGAGTTGAAAAATGTGGAGGAAGATAGGACTGTCAATGACTTGCTCAAGGGCGCTAAACGATCATATTTCAACTGTTGCGCTGGAGTCATGTCTGATGACTTTTCATCTTTCTTGCTCCGGGGCTGTGGAATATCCGTCTCCCTCCATGTCTTCCTGGTGATATTTGGCATGGATGGTGTTGCATCTGTTGACTCCAAGTCCTTGTTCCCGGATCTGGTTGCGCTGCCTAGATTCTGCGATGACTGGCTGACTTCCTCTTCCTGTTGTTGTTCCTTTTCATCCTGAGGAGTAAATGGAGATGAATCTGTTGGCTCTAGGTCCTCCTTTTTCCTGGATCTAGATGTGCTGCCTAGATTCTGTGATGACTGGCCAACTTTCTCTTCCTGTTGTTGCTCCTTTTCATCTTTATGAGTAAATAGAGATGAATCAATTGAGTCTAAGTCCCTATTCCTGAATCTGGTTGCGCTGCTGGAACTCTGTGATGACTGGCTGATTTCCTCTTCTTGTTGTTGTTCCTTTTCATCTTCAGGGGTAAACCGAGATGAATCAATTGAGTCCGGATTGTTTGCAAGCGGTTTCTGCACAGTTTGATCTTGGGATGACTGGATTTTAGCATCAGAATCGACTGCGTTGTCGTCGTCAGCGTCGTTCTCTGGTGGATATAGAATTGGATTAGCATCGCCAAAAAACACATATGGCAATAGAGAAAAAAGCCACAGAAACCTTGATACTTTACCTTGAAATTCGGACAGATCAGTCTTTTTTCGTAGACGCGGGATATAATAAAATCCCAGCAGATCGTTCAATTCTTTCGTGTCAATACTAAGAATCTCACTGAAAAGACCAGTATGTTCAGGTGGTATGTCACACAGTCGCAAAAGACATGCCAACAGCTCATAGGGTACTCGTTGATGAGCCCTTATTGAACGCTTTGCAATATAAACATTAGAGATTCCTCTCTTGGACAAAGATGTTGCGCTAATAGACTGTGCTTGGCTAGTGATCACTTTGCCAGAAGGTAGAGGCACCTGCCATTGTACCTGTACATCATCCACGGTATAAAATTTGATATTTCGTAACTTCTGATCAAAGTCCTCCTGGAGAGCAGGATCTTGAACAAGTCTAGTCAGGTTAAGGACGAAAAGCCCCATCAATTAGCTCCATTGTCTTCAGTGAATGGATATTTCAAACCAGGTAATTTATATAAGCTGGAAGCTCACCGAGCAATAAACTCCCACCTAGGGTATAAAAGGTCCGAATAAGTCTGACTCGGAACCTTTTCTCCCTTTGTAATTGGTGTTTTTACCGCCACCTTAGACAGGCGGCGGCCATTGAGATCAATAGTGTCTATTATGCAGGTCATGTTTGTTAGCTGATCAACATCAAAAGCGAGAAATGGCAAAGAGCCTAAGAATTTCTTATAGAGGAGTGTATTGTCTGCAATAAACCAGACATCATTCAGCCTGCATAATTTAAAATCCGGGATGCTAGAGTCAGAGACTTGGTCATATAATTTGACAGGGAAGATTTCGTGGTCTTGTAGGCCTTTCACCACCTCTCGGCTTTCATCGCTCTGTTCTAGTTTCTCGCTAATGGCGCAGAAGATCTGAGCAATATAGTCCGTAGTATCTCTAGAAGTGATTGTTTGAGCTTCAACGACAAGCGTTCCGATGTCAGCATTTTTGATCTCCAGTGCCTTATGGAAAAGCTTATGATGACCGGGCCAGATCTTTTGTAGGACAACGCGTTGTTTGAGAAACCTAGGGCCGTTCCATACGCAAGATGGGTTGGAGAGCCATCTGGACCTTTTATCAGTTGAAGCTCTGGATGGAACGTAGATCAGAGATTCTGAAGCGAAACATTGTCTGTAAGCCAGTTGGCTGTTAGCTCTGATATAGAGATGCAACTGCGAAGGTTAAAATTTATCCATCAACCTACTTGACTAGTTCATGGTTCTCGTAAAAGGATTCTTGGATCCCATCATAAAGGCTACGGACAACTTCTTCCTTTGGTTCAGAGCCACTGAGGCCTTGCAGTATCTTGATGAACACGTCGATGTCCTTAAACTCTTTAACACCCAAGTGATGCAAGAACTTCCATGAGGAATCTTTGTGGTTTGGAATATCAAGAATTTGGACTTCAATATCCTTGACTTGAATATCTGCTCCTGGGCGGGTAGGAGGAAGAACACATCGATTCAGTGGGACAAGTTCTGAAGTGTCCCGGCACGCCACTTTGGTTGAGCTCAAGAAATAATGTATCCGATCTCTCGAGGCCCTCCAGGCGTGCGATTTTCCGTTGCATGCTCTTTCCTCAACCCATTCAGAGTACAGATCCCAGTGTTCTTTTAAGAGCTGTAGGAACCGAGCTGATGGCCAGGAATTTCGGATATATGTCATTTCACCAGACATCTCAAAGTTCTCTCCAAGGGAGTTAACCAGACGAGGGGCTGTGCAGAGGTGAAGCTCTTTCCAGAGCCAATAGTCCCACTTCTTTTGATGATCTGACTCAAAAGCTTTGAAACTTTTGAGTAAGACTGGAGGTTTTTCCACAAGGTCCAACTCCAAGTCAGTCAAATACACCTCTGAAGATTTCTGTAAATGTCCGGATTCTGTGGGAATCCAGAAATCGCTTTGTTTTCTATTCTGCCAATCCGATTTGAATAAAAAGATTGCATGGGATCTTACAACTTCGTAGGGCAATGAAGGCGCCGTCGTATGCGAAGAATGCACCTTTATTATGGCGTCACAGACTTTTGCATCGTCAATATCCTTGGCCCCAAGCATTTTGAAAAGTTCCCTTCGAGGGCCACTCAGAGATCGGGGGTCAATCATCATAAAAGGCAGTGCCTGGGGAATTGCTTCCATCCCGATCTTCCTGGGGAAGTAGAGTTTGCCTCTGGCTTCGATAGCCGAAACCCATCGGCCATCATCCAATAGAATGAGCGGAAGACTCTTAATGATTGCTTGACGACGAATGAATTCCGGTATAAGAATTTTTGCCAACCGGGTGTTCCACTCGTACTGAGGCTCACGTTTGCTCCCCACGTGTTTGGAGAGATGTACCTGCAGGTCGGCTAGGAACTGGCCAAAGTCCATCACCTTCACTTGCAGGTATTTGAGTTGGTCATAGTTATCGTGGAGATATCTGCAATTCAGATACTTGGACTTTGTTTCAGCGTTGAGTGTCAACGGCTTATTGTCAAAATAAAACGATTTAGGGACGTATGTCAGTGAGCTCGGCGGTTTCATTAGACCGCTTTCTGACTGTAGGATTGATTCCTTGCGGAGGCGTTCCACAATGGCGAGTGTAGTACACTCAAAGAAGCCTCCAAGCTCACTTCGTCGCGGCACATATTTCAGCCATTTGTAACACTGGGAAGTGTTGCTAAGATGTCGGATTGCTTCTACAAAAGCCTCAGGTATCGACTCTCGAAGCTTGATGTTCCAATCGCGGGACCAATCAATATCTTCACGGTTTGTAACAAGTAAAAGGTCTGCCTGAAGAAGGAACTTTACCCGGAGTGTCAGTTTTGATGGTTTTTGAAGTGAAGGGAGAGGCACAATGGCCGACATACCTTGAAGCCATAGTCTCGAATGGGTAGAAAAGCATATACCTGATGCTTTTCACTTTGGCCCGGAGAATCCGTGTTTGGAAATGCTAATAAGATATCAGATTGGCTGATCTCATGCCGCTTTTCATCATCAGGCATGTCTTGCACAGTGTGTTTGATAATAATGTAATCCAGAATTTCCTTGTTGTCCTCAAGGATTTTGACAGTGGACATCGTTTCACTTCGGTTCCCTTCTTTTCGACGCAGCACTCTGTGAAAATCTCCATTCACATTTAAGGTAACCTGTTTGAGGGTTCTAAGGAAGACAAGAACATTCGCATCGAATGAAGTGATCTCCTGAAGCAGCCTCTTCTTATCACAATGCTCTGATAATTGAAAACACATTGCTGTGCCTCCTTGTGGAGTAGACTGGGGGAACACTGCCCATAATGGAGTGATCATGCCCAATCTCTTGGTCGAGTCAAATTTGAAAGAGTACTCAAGTGAATGGATCCAGACGACAGTGGCCACTTTGAACACAGATTTGAATCCGATCCCCTTCTCCCCAATATATCCCTGATTCTTATTTTCTCCTCTCTTGGTGCTTTGACCGATTTGACAAATTGCCTCGACATTCTCTTCCGTGAATCCAACTTCATTGCATTCAGTTTGTAGATAGTTGTCGGCGTAAGTCACAGTCAAATTAGGGATCACATCGGCCTTGTACGTGTTGTCATCCGCGTTCTGTAGTAGCTCGAGGAGGAAATGCGTCTGTATCTGGTATAGTTCCTTTGACAGCCTGCCTGAATATCAGCTTCCCGAAAGGCTAAAAGACAGGAAGGAAATTAGTATGAAAGGGTCGTACAGGTCCACCGCTCTGTGCAAGTCTCTTGCATTCCTACTGTCTTTATCGGTTAGCCTATCCGCCTGGATTTCCTTGATATGTCGCTCAGCCAATTCGATCCTCTTTTGGTGCGACGCCATCGAAACTTGAAATTAGAAGGGAGAGTAGTACTATATTCAATCTCTGAGGCTTTGCGGCAGACTTTAAAATCCGGTGTCGACCACGAAAGAGATCGCAGTGTCTGTCCCTCATTATATCAGATCTTTATGACGAGGCTGTCATATTACTCGGTTGGGCACTCCTGTACCTATGAGGGGCCTTAGGTACATACCGGGGTGAGTGAGGCTCAATTGAAATAAGTATGGCCAATTATATTCCACCAGGTGTACAGCCACGTTATTTGCTTTTGTTTGCACTTCATCCTATCCTTGGTGCCCCGTACTCCGTTGAGATAAGCAAGTGGATAATCCTCCAGCTGGGTAAAACTGAGCGAGAAGATGTTCATTCTGAGAAAGACACATGGAAAGCAGCGGCATGCGTGCATCCTATTAAACAGACGTCAGTCTCGGAACGGCAGTGTAGCAGTGATTATATGCATCAAGCTGCATAGTACCCCTCACCCTCGTTTACTCCGTATTCCAGCTTAGAAGCCACTGGTTTGCTGTCAAACCCTTGGCAAGAATGCACTGCCCAAGGCTTCTCGCCGTGGGAACCAAATCCCAGTCCTTTCGCATCTAGATGGAGGCTTTTGGAACCATCACTCACTGCCTAGTTGTGTAAGGTAGCTCCTGCCAGAGACACTTGCAAATCAAGCCTGGCTCGTGTTGTCAACAGTGCAAGTGTTGATTGATGGCTTTGAAAACCAAAAGATAGCCTGGAGATGCTGCCTAGTAATCACGTGTTCCCCGACCACCGAAAAGGGAAGGGCAAGCGACTGCCTCAAAAGTCCAGACTGCACACCACTCTCGACCTGCAGGTCAACCCTGTCACTCTCGTTGCTGCCTTCTCGCTGCGCCTCAGCTTGAGGGATATATTCTGTCAGCCGATGAGGGTTGAATATCGTCAATATGCACCAGCCTCGAAAGGAAAATAGTACCAACAAGAGAGTGGGATGTTAGCCATTAGTAAGTTATTATGAGAGACTGAAGGCGTCTAAGAATGAAGCTGACAGATTTTATAGACTAGATCTCAATATCCATGACAAGGTTACTGTACTATGGATCATAATGAAATTGAGGGGTGATTAGCATTGATACACACGAACCACGATAGTGATGACGCAGCTAGGCTGTACGCCTGGCTGACCAGCATCCCAAGGCATTCATGCATTGCATGACAGCAACACCTCAATTATGGCTGAGTACACCTTATGACTTGTCGGAGCGTTTAGCCTCTAAGCCTACTCTCCAGTACATACTACATGGATAGTCTCGTGCGGGGACCGAAGGGTCTAGTTTGACTTTACTCTCACTTAATAGGAGAATAGATCCTGGATTCTGCCTGTTTTAAGAAAGGAGGAAATGAGGTTATAAAGATATATTTATCACCCTATATCTTGCACTCGAGGTATTGTTCTTGCTCGATTCATCTGCATTCCCACATCACTCAGCGGAACTCCGCAACGAATATGCCACCGATCTCTACACGTTCCATTGAAATGCCACTCCAAAGTATCCGCCAGTGGAAACCATTCCAACTCGATGCGCTCGGCCTCGTGACGATCTTGGGTGCTGATGAAATCAATCGAGCGGTCGGGAGCCTCAAACGCTCGCGCTACGTGGAGTTCCTCCCTTTACTGAGCACTTTCGTCATTGTCAGCGACCAGATCATCGAGCAGGAATCGGGATATGCTCTCTACAATGTCACTGATTACATCCATACCACCGACGTGAAAGGCTGGTTGACCAGGTGGCTGCGCAGCCAGCAACTTGAAACGCAGAGCCGAACTGTGATCGATGTGGACGTCCTGCCAGAAGAAGCCGTCGCAGGATCCAGCAGGTCAATTCGAAAGATGGATCTGCAGGGCCTATTAATCGGCATGCTTGTCATGTCAGTGCTCTTGGTCTTGCCTATCATGATAAGGGACTGGTATGGGCTTGCCAATGCAATCGGGATGGGGATGTCTGTGCTGGTCCGCCGTTTTGTTGTGGAAGACCTCCGTGAGACTCTAGATCACTCGGCAGTAGAGTCTATCCGGACACAGCGTGGAGCGGAGAAGGTCCAGGCTTTGATTGTCATGCCAGACGGCACTTTGGTGACCGTCAATACTCCCCGAGGCATCATGGTTGACTGCTTTACCAGAATGAAGCCAAACCACCAACACCGCATCCGCCGTTCGGTCATTAGAACCTGTGGTTGGCTCGGTTTTGGTATCCAGGTGGTGACGCTAGGAATTTGCTCGCTAACTGTCCAACTATACACCATCGCCCTGCTGATTGGTGGTTCTGTGTTTCTGGTCCGTGGGATTGGGGCAGACAATTCTATACTGGGACGACGACTTTCCATCAAAACACAGATCCTTCAGGACCCCGATCGCCGGCTCTCGGCCTACAGCCGCCTGGATCTGCAGGTCTCTCAAGAGGAGTTCTTGATCCGCCTGGGAATGATGCCACAGCGTGAGAATACGGTCTTCTGGGAGGAATACACCCGGGCCAGGGCAGTGTTTCACCATCGTCACGAGGACACCAAGCAAGACATGTTTTCTGCGACCACTGACGCAAAGGAGATGACGAATTCCTCGGGGTTGAGTTCTAGAACATCAACAATCTCTATCAATTCTGTAGTCGAGTAACGATTTTGTCACCAACTAAAGATACTACTTTTATCTAGTTACCTACGCTTTGTACATAGATGAATGAATGAATAGTGGAAGATAAGATATATGAAAAGAATTCAAACAATAAAAAAGCTGACAGCTTCTATTCAGCTACAGTACCTCCTCCTACTATATATAGGAGTAAGGCATACCTGTCCCAGCCTCGACACCTCAGGCACCATTTAGTATTGGCAGCCCCACCCAGTCCATAAAGTTCCGGCTATCGCCCATCCTATTGGCTGAACTAGAAGCGCCCACTCACATCCCGGCGCTTGCAGATCTCCCACTGGCCAGGGTCCATGCAGCTCCCACCAATGAGGATTGACGACGCGCCCGTGTCACCTTCGTGAAGCGCTAGAGGGTGGCTGATTGGCCAATGGGCATCGAGGGACCGTGTTTCCTCGTTTACTCCGGACGAAGAACGTCCAACAGAGCAACAGCCGGCCAGAGGGAGTTGCTGGGCCCTGCAGTTTACTGGGTGAAGAAGGTAGAAAGAGCTAAGATTAGGACAGGAAAGGAGAGGTTTGTCTTGTCTGCCAAAACAATGGTGTGGCAGAGCGTGTCGGCAGATAGATTCCTGCAGGCTCTCTCTCTCTGTCTCTCTGTCTCTCTGTCTCTTTGTCTCTACCTCCCAGAGCTTAAGCCACTGTTTAAGCAACTGTCTAAGCGTCTGGTTGTACTTTATTGTCAGCTTCTTCCTTCACTAATAAACAAACACTCGCTATTGTTGTTCTTTGTCATTGTGGCCATTCACTCGCATTCTTTGTTGTCTAAAAGCATCAGTTGTCTGCCTTTCTTCATTCCGGTCTACCTACAATCCATTCATAACTTTCTTAATTACTATCTGACAGATCTTCTTAAAAGCTTCATTTGATGGTATGCTTTACTTTCAGCGCATGTTGACACTCATCACTGACAGAAGTTTGGTATTTACAGCTCAAGCTACGACTATAAACAATGGACGCCGCGGCTCAGAAACCCTCCCAGCTCCAGGTCCCGCCCGTACCGAAATTCCCGTTCTCCTCGCCTATCTCAGAAGAAATCTCCAGTCCGTCAGGTTCATCAGATGGTCGGGACTCGGACCGTGATAACGAGGCCGGGTTACGACCAGGTCCGGGTCATAATCCCTTGCTACCGGAGGGGAGTGACAGCGGACAGCAGACCCTAGCGACGTCCGGTCTGCGGGGAATCATGAAGAGGAACACCGAAAGGCCTGTCGGGTTGAATCTGGTGACGAATTTTGGAGCGACGACGTCGGCGTCAAACGCAAATACGGTGGCGCCCCCGCCGACCTTTGTCGATCTGAACGATCTCAAAGAACTGTCAAAAACGCGGGAAAAGGAGCGCACAATGCAGCGAATGAAGAGTGTGTTTAGGAAAAAGGCCACGCAGGGGTCTCGCGGAGTACCTGATGAGACAGGAGGAGGAGACAATCGAAAGCGTACTTCATACAGTGAAGTTCTGCAAAACCGTCTTTCCCCCGGTCAGGGGAGGCCGGGGGACGAGCTGTCGCCTTCCGACAGGTTCGTCGTCATTGGCATCTCCGTCGATACCAAGTCTAGGGATGATTACAAGACGACTAGAGAGCTGGAGAGTGCGGGCAGTCAAGGAACCCCCGTGACGCCGTCGATTGTCATCACCCCGGCTCGTAACGATCCACTGTGGAGGGACAACAATAATGCCTATAGCGGGGACCTCCGTGGTCCTCGGGTTGCCAGCAGCGTGTATTCACAGCCCACGCCTTACCTGGGGACAGCAGAATCCGAAGCTCCGCCTGTGCCTGCCATCCCTGCATTTCACTTCATGCCAAAGAATAAGAACCGCCAATCTATCGCTTCGTTAACGAGAAAGCAGCGTGCGTTTTCGACGGGGACGGTCTTCGAGGAGGATTTCAGTCCGTTGTCGGCAAGGCGATCGCGCTCCTACTCGAACGACAGCAACATCAAGAACCTTGACAACCTGAGCGTCAATCTTCCAGAGGCGGATGGGCACCTGTCTCAAGGATGGTGGAACTACCATTTGCTTTCGCCATTGCTCAGTCGGTCAGACACCAGGGCCAGCGGGATGACTGTTCCAAGTCCTAAACGGGCTACCATTCCCCCTTCAGTCACTACAGATACGACGGGGGCAACCGATAATTGGTGGGATAGAGAGATATCTGCGTTTTCTCCTGATACTCCGGAAACGGCAATTGAGAGGAGGAAAAGCCTTGCCTGGCAGAATGCTGAAGCGCCCGCGGTACCTCCCATAATGCCGTTCATGTTTCCTGGAAATGCCATCGAGGGCTCCGCCGCAGAGTACTATCAGGCATGTGCGCACGAGCTGTTCAGTGGGAAACCCTACTTCGAGTGTGTCAATCATGTCTGCTCGATTACTCCCGCAGAGAAGATCGCCGCTTTGCTTGAAGCTTCGTCTGCAGGCGAAAGAGGCATCGCTCGCTCTGAAACAGGTGCACCGAAACTGACAACAGAGGTACCGCAAAGTCCTCTTTTGGATTTCGATTCCTGCAGCGACAGTGGCTCAAGCAATTGTTCGATTATCGAAGACGCCGAAGAAGATGCCGCTGAGGAGGAGGAAAAACCCCAAGAGATCTCAAAAGCGATACCAGAAGAGGAAGAGGAAACTTCCATTCCGCTTGTTTGCGAAAAGAAATCCACGAATCCATTCGAGCCAGGATATTCAAACCCGTTGCCTAAGGAGCCTGCGGTAGAAACACGCCCCCCTGAGCCGACAAACATCTCCTACGTCATTCACAACCACTATGCAGCCCCTGCAGTACCTGATTCGTATCCGTTTGCGCAGACAGAAAGAGGGATATATCACTATACCACCACGATGGGGGTACCGCCTCAAGCGCCCGACCCGGTCTCGCCGGGATACCAACAGGTTCTTGAGGGTACAGGGTCAATACCATTGAAGGAGATGCCGGCAGTAGTCGATCCGAAGGGCCATGAAATGGAATACAACTCTCTGGACGATCAGCCACACAATCCGCATCCAGAATACCAGCGTGAGCTTCCACAGGTGCCAGTGTCAGACCGTCAGGTTTTTGATTCACAACCGGAGCCGGACCGTAAGCTTTTTGATGCTCATGTGCCGGTGTCAGAGCGCGAGGATTTGAATGCTCAAGTGCCGGTGTCAGAGTGCGAGGTTTTTGATGCACATGGAGCAGAACCAGGTCACGTCCACGCAATTGGTGAATCAGCAAGCCTAGATACAGAGCGCGAGTTGCCACAGCCTCCGCACCCCCCTCCCCCATTCTCGGCAGTGCCTTATGTGCAACGAGAAAAGGTTGAAACCCGTCGTCGGCGCCTCGAACGGGAGGACGCTGCGGGTAGAAAGTGCGGCGGTTGCTGGCGGGGAAGAGGCCCGATCAGCAAACGAGGGTGTTTCGGACGACCTGGCCGTGAGGGACGGCTGAGGCGACGATGGTACATCGCCATCGCCCTCTTCTTCCTGGCGATCGTGGTAGTTGCGGTTGTGCTGGCCACGACGCTGACGCGAAAGAGCGATGACACTCCCGTGCAGTCGGAATGGCTGAACCTGACGGGATACCCGCCGATGCCGACGGGGATCATGACGATTGCCGGCACGGAGCCGCAGGTGCAGGATTCCGGGTGCATTGTGCCGTCGACGTTGTGGCAGTGCGCGCTGCCAAAGGCGCAACAGGCCGCAAATGAGCCGTACAGCGCAAACGAGCCCAACTTTAGGGTGGAAATCCGCTTCCGCAACGGGACATACCCGAACAGTACGACGGTGGCAAGCAAACGCGACGACAGCAGCGACTCGTTTGATCCGTCGCCCTCGCCGCCGCCGCTCGCCGAACAGCGGTTCTTGGGTAACACCACGGACGGGAACAGCAAGCCGTACGCGGGCGAAGAAACCCCCTTCTACATCACCTTTCTCTCCACGGACACAGACTCTGACTCTGACTCCTCTACCTCGACGCGCAAGTTGCGCCGCAGCGACTCGTCTTCCACTATCAACTTCACCTTCCCCACGCCTGCGGAGAACTCGGACGGCACGGCCGCCGCGGCGACGTTATACCCGCTGCCGGAATCGCAGCCTGTACGGCTGTACAACCGCGGGAAGTCGACCGAACACTACGGCTTCTACAACTACTTTGGACGGTCGATCTTCCTAGAGTCCATGTCGCCGTTCGACGCGAACGACACGGACACGGTCGCGAACGACCAGGACGGCGGGTGCACCGAGGCCGAGGCCCGCGTGCGATGTACGTGGTCAGAGACGCGGTTTCTGGTCCAGATCTGGACGCGACCAGGGAGCGCGGGCATGGAGCTTCTGAGCGGCACATCAACGACCACGACGACTGCCAGCGCCGCGACATCCACTGCTTCATCGTCAGCGACGGATTTCGACCGTCCCGGAAGCTTCCCGTACCCTGTTTCCATCACGCTGGACCGTCACGGCGGCGTCAACAGCGAGAAGATGGTGTACTGCTACGGCATCGAAACAGACCAGCATTACAATCTCACGATGCGGACGTTGGAGGTAGAAGACCGCAGCTACGGGGGTACGTTGATCGATCCGGCGCCCGGGCCAGCCAACGATTCCGTCACCGTCGCGCCTGACGGGGGGTGGGATGGAGGGACGGGAGGGTGTAAATGTCTCTGGACTAATTGGGAGTCTGTTTCATAGAAGTGCCAGTCTTAAAAAATGCACAATTCTTCAATTAAATACATTACTATTTCATGATTGAACATCTAGTTAAATGAAGGTCAAGCCATAACAATCAAAACACCCCACACAGCACTCATCGCAATGGCAGCCATGTAGCCTATCTCGGACGAAAACGAAGCCAGACTGGAGGGAACGAACCCCGTAGACGAAGGCGAGACAGGACTCGCGCCGCTCGACGAAGCAGTAGCAGTTGAGGATGCTGCAGCAGAGGAAGTCTCCCCTCCACCACCGACACCACCAACACCACCAACACCACCACCAGAGCTACCGGTTACAGTGGCGGTGGGCTCGCCGTTGCTATTTGTAAGGGTTGTCGTGGCGTTGGAGTAAGGGACTGCGCTGCTCGTGCCGTTCGAGTACGCTCCTGTCGATAGTGGGATGGCTGCCGTGCTAGACACACCGGTGCTGAGCGGCACGCTGGTCGTGGGGTGAGTGCCATTCGTGCCTGTGCCGGACGTGCCATTCGTGCCTGTGCCTGTGCCTGTGCCTGTGCCGGATGTGCCATTCGTGACGGCGTTGATGCCTGTGGCGAGGGCCAGGAGGGCGACGACAGAGATGCGCATAGCGATTGTAGTACTAGTTTAATTGACTAGTATTGAACTTTTAAAAGGTAGACAACTAGATGACTACCTAGGTAGCGAGTGACTATATCTATCAGCAAGAACACTTTATATAGTCTTAGACAACTTACCGGTGCCAATTTCAATAGTGTAAAAAGATAAAAGAGCAAAAAGGAAAAAAAAAAGAATCATTCTCTTCATTATTCGACAAGAACCTCTTATACCTTCTCACCTTCTAAATCCGGAGATCTCAAATTGCGACATGATACCCACTTCAAAGCTTCTTTTCTCTATTCTTCAGCCTTAAGTCTAGACCTGGACGTTACCCTGGTGGGATTTCCGCATGCAGCTGCGAAGGTTCCTGCTGAAATATTCCTCAAAACTGATCACTGCTAATGCTAATTTAAGAATCTTCCTGTCTGGATTGATGGCGATGGTCTGCTAGGGCTGATGCCATCACGTGACATGACTGACGTCAATTATTCGAGCAAGAGCCAAAAAAGGAACAAAAATGCGACGTTGTCATCGAGGAATTCCAAGTACAAGTCCATGAGTCACTTGCCACTGAGCAGGAGCTGCCTAGTAGAATACTATTTTTTCCATTCGATTGAGGCACACTTACCATCCATACGCATGCGAATCACGTCAATCGCTGCACTGTATCTGACAGCCGGCCAGGGGTAGCCATGATATTCGGTACCAATGTATGAAGAGCTCGGTGATCACGATGATTGCCGGGATAGAGTCCGTGATTAGAAAGAACTCGTATAATGTCTTGTGTAGGAACACAGAGGGTTGCCTTGCGGGCAGTCAAGAAATGTTGAATTCATCTCTGAGATTGCAAACATTACCACAAAGATGGCCAGTTCTCCTTGAGAGAGTTGAAATACCCAGAGTCTAACACTTAATTATTAGCAATTCAAAAAAAAAAGAGAGAGAAAATAGAAAGAACGTACAGTACACATTCCATTTCACTGTATATTCGATAGTACCCAAGTGTAGCCAGAGGTTTGGGAAAAGCAACAGCGGATTTCCCTCTATCAGATCTGGGTCTGGTGGCACGAAGGTATTATCATTCCCAAGACCATCACGAAGCCCAATACCCGATGAGTCTCCAGCCGTATGGGATACCTGTTGACATGGTGTCATAGCCGGCTTTCTAGACATTATTAGCAAGTCATGAAATATATGTCTTTCTTCGTATCTGAATAAGGGAGTCCTCCCAAAGCACGATAGTACCGTCAATATTTCGATTTGAGAACGACAAGAGGACTGCTGATGGTCTTTGTGTAGGTGGAGGAGCCGATGACAGGCAATTCAGCAGTTGCAGTCTCTGTGATATTGGCCTTGACAGCAGTCAGATCCATCAGCTCTGCGTTGCCGTTCTCGCACAGGCGCCTTCCAAAAAGCGATTCCCGCCGTGGTGGCGCCGGGGGGCAGTAGAGCAGCATGGATTCGGACATCGCCTGGTCGGTGTATTCCGTAGAAGCAGCCTGATATTTCCATCCTCATGAGACGAGTTCTGTCTCTTTCTTGCCTGACCTAGAACTGGAGCCACCTTCACCACCTCCCTTGCCACCGGCACCTTTTGTATAGCGGGAAGAACTTGACGAAAGGGAAGAGAAGGAATTTGGCGAAGAAGAAGAAGAAGAGCTGCCCGCAAAAGTCAACAGGTCGAGGTTTCGTAGATGGCAGAAAAGCAGTTGACTGGATCTTGAGGTTTGTAGCCGCCAGGACAGAAGCTGGGAAGCTAAACCAGAACAGGAGAACTGTTTTGCTTGCTTGTTTTTTCTACTACCAGAGGAGCCATTAATACTATTACTGTACTATAGATCATAGAGAGATTGGGTAGGAAATACTACAGGAGTTTGCAGTTATCAATCAGATAAAGCACTCATATCATCCATCTATATCCATCTATATCCTCCAATCCAGGCTCCGTGAAAAGAAGGAAACTAGGAATTTCAATGTAGGTAATATTGAATATGTACTATCTAATAAGTAAGTATAGTTATAAACTCTTTCTAGTAATTTTCAAAGCTCAAATTAGGAAGAACAAGTCTTGATGCTGATAAATACAGGTATTAGGGTTGTTATCCATACCAAAAACCGAAAAATTATAGGTTTAGGGTTTTAGGGTTATCGTTTGGGGTAGTAACTCAGCCATAGCTTATGAATAACACTCTTTCCTCCTACTGTGATGATCCTCCTATTGTTTAAAAACAGTTCTAGAGCTACAAATAAAAATACCTCTCAGTACAATAACAAGTAATACTACTCATTAGTAGTGATAGTAATCTGGATTCTCCCTTTGGGCCAAGGCGGTGAGCGTCTATTTTAAGGATACTGTTTCATTCCCCTCAAAGATGCGTCGATGGCCTTTTAGTTGACAGCGTCCGGCCATCTTCTGCACTCTGTCAGTCGTCGATCCATCCCGTCTGGCCCATGTATTTTATCCTCTAGGGGCTGACACAGCCGCTGCAATTCGGCCATGCCTCGGAAACCCTCTCTTCCCAGCTCTTCCCTCCTCTCCCCCGGTGGCTACGACGATGACGCCTCTTCGCTCCGATCGCTGTCAGAGCAGGACTCTGACTCCGAGGACGACGAGATCCTCCGCGGGAATCGCTCGACGCTAGAGCTTGCAGAACATGACCGGACCGTGCTCGACGAGGAGGAAGAGATGGAGAAGCTGTTGACAAAGAGTGGGCCGGGGAAGGGCCTCCGGCGCATCTTCAGTGCGACCGGGGGAAGCGTGAAGATCGGGAAGAGAGAACGTCGGCGCCGCCAGAGACAGGAGAAAAGAGAAAAGCAACGGCTGAGGAAGAAGGTCAGCGAAGATGGGCAGCTGATGTATGAGATGGAAGAAGGCTACTTGGATGACGAGAGTACTACTACTCCTTCATCGGAGATGGATCTCGTCGACCGCGAAGAATATTCGCTGCCACAGGTAACCCTGCGTACTAATAATAATAAAAAAAAGGCCTTTGCTGACGATCTAGTCCCGCTCCTTACCGTGGGGAAAGCTTTGCTTTCTTTTCATCAATGTAATTGTGCTGTTCCTCATCATCCTCCTGGGCGCATACAAGGCCTCGAGCGGGTTTCGGAAGGCGCATAGCCACCCCAAGACACTACGGTCAAACGGCACGGCGCTTTTTGCCCCTACAACTATCTTGATCTCTCTGGACGGGTTCCGGGCGGATTACTTGACTCGCGGGCTGACGCCGACCCTCAACGCCTTTATCAAACAAGGCGTCTCGCCACCCTATATGCTCCCAAGCTTCCCCAGTGTGACGTTCCCCAATCATTTCACCATGGTGACTGGTCTCTATCCGGAAAGTCACGGCGTAGTGGGCAACAGCTTTTGGGATCCTGTCTTGAAAGAGGCTTTCCACTACACCGATCCATCTCACAGCATGCAGCCCAAGTGGTGGAACGCCGAGCCGTTGTGGGTGACGGCCGAAGATCAGGGCGTCAAATCCGCCGTCCATATGTGGCCTGGTTCAGAGGCTCATCTCGGAGACAAGGAGCCTTCGTTTGTGGACAAATTCAATGGGTCCGAGGTGCTTCCCCGGAAAACAACCCGGATTCTCGAGTTGCTCGATTTGCCGGGGTTGGAGGTCGAGTCTGACGGCAGTGCTCAGCGGCCCCAATTCATCGCAGCCTACGTTCCCAACGTCGATGCGGAAGGCCATAGGCACGGACCTGACAGCATCGAAACCCGACGAGCGATCCGAAAGGTAGACGACATGTTGACCGGCCTTTTCAAGGGGATCCACCAGCGAAATCTCACCGACATTGTGAACATCGTCGTCGTTTCCGATCACGGGATGGCCACCACATCTACCGAGCGGCTCTTCCAGCTGGATAATTTCATCGATCTAGAGCTGGTCGAACGTATCGACGGATGGCCGTTGCGTGGCATTCGCCCCAAGCGCCCGGAAGACCTGCAGACTCTGAAGGACCAACTGGCGAAAATCCCCTCAAACTACACCCACGCAGTAGAGATTTACAGCCGTGAGGAGATGCCTGAACGCTATCACTTTTCCAATAACGATCGTATTGCACCGCTATGGGTGATTCCGAAGACCGGCTGGGCCATTGTCGAGCGGCCGGAGTTCGACGTCCAAGACGCTCTCCAGACAGGGCGAGCCTACCACCCCAGAGGTGTCCACGGATACGACCATGAGCATCCGTTGATGCGCGCCATCTTCGTGGCGCGAGGTCCTGCTTTCCCCCATTCGCCCAACAGCCGCTTGGAACCGTTTCGTGAGTCCACCAAACCTGACACCTGTACTAGTCTCCCTGCCTGACTAACCTGGCTAGAAAACATTCACGTCTACAATATTCTGTGTGATTCCCTCGGGATCAACCCATCGCCCAACAACGGAACACTCCGTCTGCCTCTCAAGGTGGTTGGACTGCATTCTGACGAAGGCGCTCCTGCTCCTGACACTCCTGATTCCCCCACCGACAACGACACCGACACCAACCCTGTCCAGGCCACGGAACCTGACTCCACTGAACCTGACGCCAACCCGACTTCTGAAGATGAGCCAAACCGTACCTGGTGGGGAACCTTGTGGGACGAAGTCGGGGACATCAAGAACTGGGCCAAAGAGCTCTTCAAGGCAGAGAAAGACAATCACCCTTCTTCCTGATATGCCTTTTTTTTTTCTAGAATGATAACGTCCCTGGGTTTACGGTTTAACCTTTGGTTTCTTGGCTATTTACTGTGGAGGTACATAATCTTGTTTCCCGTCTCCCCTTCTCCTTCTTCAGCAACCTGCATGATGATAATAATCCGCTGCGATACCCTTTCTGTTTCTTGGTAATTTGATTGATTCTTTTTCGATTTTTCAGGCAGCAACGAGTAAGCTCCGTCACGTGGCCATCGGGCTCCCGAATGGGGAATAGCGGATCTGCAGCCTCGTGCGTCAAAGGCGAGCTGAAGCTGAAGCTGCAGAAAGGCTTGAGAAATGAAGTCATAAAACGGCTCCAGAAGGGCCTAGACAGACCCAACTCAGCTGCTAGTCTTGTCTATAGACTGATTTGACGAATATATAAGGCAGCGCAATGTCCTGCTACGACAGGATATCTTTCACCAGGCAAACAGTGGTGTTTCAGCTGCCACTGCCACTGTCACTGAGAGAACTTCCTAGTGCTGTGCGACCTTGTCTTTCCTCATAACTATTAGCAACCTCTCTCTCTCTCTCTCTCTCTCTCTCTCTTCTCTTTTCACCTTCTCTACTTTGTACACATCTAATCCTTCTTGTCCGGTTCTTTTGCCATCATGGCGGCGATGAATGCATCTGGGATCAGCCCGCCCATTCTCGCTCCTTCAGAGACTGCTCTTCTCGAAGCATTCATCCCAGGATACCCGCTCGTCTCGCGGTTTCTCACCTCGTATTTCCATGTCGACATCTCCTCTTACCTGCCTTTCATCGTCGCTCTCGCGGCTCTGACTGCGGCGGTGAAATACTCTGCCGACGCCTGCTTCCAACTGTTCACGGAACACCTGGTCTCGACCGCCGAGATCCGCCTCAACGACGACATGTACAACTACCTGATGTTCTGGCTGTCGCGGCAGGAGTTCTCGAGCCGCAGCCCGCGCTTTGTTGCGTCTACGAAGCTGGGCAGCGAATTCATCTGGGATGACGATGAAGAAGAAGAGGCCCTGGAAGATGAGAATGAAGAGGAAGACCTGAACGTTGGGTTTGACGAATACTGGGCTCGGGCGATCAGTCGGGACAAGTTCAAACGGTTCCGCTTCACGCCTGCACAGGGGAGACATCGGTTCTGGTACAAGGGTCGCCTGATCACGTTCACGCGCGAGCAGGACGAGCGGCTGTCTAGATGGGCGTTCAATGCGGAGCGGCTGTATCTTTCCTGTTTCGGGCGGGACCCCTCGGTCCTCAAGGAGCTGCTCGCCGAGGCGCAGCGGGCGTTTGTGGAACGGGACGGCAATCGCACGATCATCTATCGCGGTCAGAAGAACGGGACGAGCTTCGAGTGGGTGAGATGCATGTCCCGCGCGCCGCGCCCGCTGTCCACGGTCGTGCTGGACTCGGTGCAGAAACAGGATTTCATCGATGATATCAAGGAGTATCTCCACCCCTTGACGCGCCGGTGGTATTCGAACCGTGGCATTCCGTATCGTCGGGGATACCTCCTTCACGGACCCCCTGGAACGGGCAAGACTAGCCTCTGCTTCGCGGCGTCAGGTTTGCTGGGACTCAAGATCTACCTGCTCAGTCTGAATTCGAAGAGCCTCAGTGAGGACGGCCTGGCGGCTTTGTTCCACAGCCTGCCCCGGCGGTGTATCGTTTTGCTGGAGGACGTCGATACGGCCGGCATCACGAAGAAGCGAGACAGCAACAACACCCAGGACAAACCCTCCGACGCAGACCAAGACAACAGAAACAACAAAGAACAGGGACCAGACGCCGAGAAGACACCGTCTGGTGGCGCCAAGAATGGCGAGGACAATCCTAGCGACAACAATACAGCGGATGGCATCTCTCTATCTGCTCTCCTCAATGTGATCGACGGAGTGGCCGCCAGCGAGGGCCGCATCCTGGTCATGACGACGAACCACATCGAGAAGCTCGACGCCGCTCTCCTGCGGCCCGGACGCGTGGATGTAAGCATCACCTTCGGATACTCGGACACGACTGCGATCCAGGACCTGTTCCGCTCGATCTACGGCACCCTCCACCACGACCATGCCGCGTCGTCATCTTCCGAGAAGAAAACGGCCCTCTATTCCGATGCCCAGATCGAGCAGCTGGCTTCTGATTTTGCATCCCGAGTTCCCGGCGGCGAGTTCACCCCGGCCGAGATCCAGGGATACCTACTCAAACATAAGAACGCCCCCGAAGAGGCGATCGATGGTGCGGTTGCATGGGTTCACGATTTGCAGGAGAAGAAGGGGCAGGCTGAAAGCCCGGCTACTTGATGATGAATTCCTTTGTTGATACCAGCTTACGTTTTACCTATCATGTCAAAGCAAACATTGGGCTCAGATTGTACATTAGAATCTTTCCTACGCTAGAATAGTGAATGCTGGAAGCTTCCTCTTCACTCTGCAGCTGCATGTCTTTCGCTAAGATGCATTCACCCGTCGGTCTGCATATAAATAGGACTCTCCATCTCTCCATCTTTTTTTCTCTTCTCTCTCCATCTTTCTTCTCTTTCCTTATATATAGAACTCTATAAATATATACTACCTGCCAGAGAACAGAAAATATTCCACCTCTCCATCAGTCTACAAATCCCCCGTCTGTCCATTTATTCAAGGCAAAGCTGGCCTTCTAGGTTCAACTCACCCTACACTGGGAAGCGTTGAATATCCTCCTGAAACACTGCTCTCTTATCTGCCCTTTCCATCTCCCTTTACTCCTATGAGTGATTCCTCCACCGTATCGAACCGTGAGTAGCATTAGAATCCTTTTTTTCCAGATTGACAAGAGCTAATCCATCGTCAACACGATCAGGTCGATCTCGAGTCATTCCGACAGCAATTTCTAAAGGATCATCTGGACAAACCATTGCAACAGGTGGCCAAGGTCAGAATCAAACCGATTGACAGTATGCGACGATAGCTGGCAGCTCTTCTTGAAATTCTTTTAAGCTACCTCCAGCCACCGGTCATGACTCCTTTGACCGGATCCATGTCTCCGACCAAACAGTCCTTCTGAAGCGATTCATCTTGAACAACTTGCAGACGCTGAATCCTAACCGAACAACTTGATTTGTATCTCTTCAGTATCTCCGGATTCGCACAGAAAGCAGATCATATTTCATGGTTAAAAGACAAATGTCTCATTCCACCCTCTGATACAATAGTACGCTTATTCACTAAGAACATGAGAATACCTACTCACTCGATACATCTAGGCAGGCCCTCATACTGAAAAACCATCTATTCCGCATATATTCATCACCGAAGGGGTGCACTTTCCAGAGAAGGCGACGACTATCCTAGAGAGTGATATGTCAATACACTCCTCGGATACCGATGAGTATGTCAACTCAATGGACCTGGCTTTTCACCGTATGGATACTATCGGATAAACAACATCGCAATGGAGTGACGTTCTTCAATCAACGCGCGTGAGACCCTCGTTCCTGAGAGGGCTGGACGAGGAAATGATCTGTTCAGCGTTCGTGGCCTCAAATAAAACATGGCTAGAGCAATGGGTATAACACGGCCTGGATGCAGAAGAGAGACTCGATCAGGCAGTTGATAGGACTCAATAGGATTATGCAGGGTCAGATATCTGGTGGTAGACTATTTCTTGCAGGATTTAGTTTAGATACAATATTCTCAATGATTAGAGTCAGTAATAATATAAATAGATAAATAGTGTAAGACGTTGATGTGTTGTTGTTCTGCCTGAAACCACTTTGGCTGAACTGATATTAAATCATACGAGACGTTTTCTCAACTCCTTCATTTTCACTACTTCCATTCAACTCATCCATCCAACATCACCTCTCTATCGAATCAAGCTTGTTTAAGCTTAGCGATGAAGAAGCACACGCCGATCCATGCTGCTTCTCCACCCCTGGACCCATCGCAGTTTCATCCTGCCCCTGACTGACGACTTCTCTGTTCTTCAGTCCCTCCAGATGCCGAATGTCGGGCGGCCGAGTCTGGCCTGCGAGACATGCAGAACCCGCCGTGTGAAGGTTAGCAATGCTTCTCCTGCAGAGCTCTTGACAACATGAGACCGATGGGGGCACGACTAACGCGTTAAAGTGCGACTATACGCGACCAGGGTGCCTGCGATGCGAACGTCTCGGCCGGGTCTGTCCTGGCTATCGTGATCTGTCGGACTGGGTGTTTAAAAACCACACGCAGACCTCCCTCGGGGCGTTTTACAAGGGGACAGCGCCGAATCCAGTCGCAGAAGTCACTCGAGGCGGTCATGATTTGGCATCTACAGACAATGCCGCTCGGGGGGCGGCGAGATCAGGGATTCCAGACGCCAGCTTTGCAGTGACGCACATCCCCCCTGCGTTGTCTGATCCCTGGGAACCACATATCGTGCCGCTGATTCTCAGCCAGTTCTCCTTCCAGCAGCGGAACGGGGTGACGGCCTACGGCGCGCTGGAGTGTTTTCCTACCCTAGTGTCCCGCGCGGAGGAAGACTCGCCTCTGATGCTCGCCTCTCGGGCAGTTGGTTCCGTGTATTTTGCCAACCGCGCGGGCGCGTCCTTTGATCGCACCGAGCACGGTGTCTCGTACGGCAAGGCGCTGCGTGCCGTCTCCAAGGCCACGCAGGATCCGGTCTCCCAGCTCGACGACCGGACCCTCCTGGCTATTTGGCTTCTCAGTCTGTACGAGTGTCTGTTGGGCACCCACGGGCTAGACATGGTGACCCGTCCCGGCCCGGAGAACTGGGACATCCACACCCAGGCCCTGGTGGACATCCTTCATCTCCGTGGGCCGCGGCAGCTCGCATCCAGGACGGGCTGTTCCTTGTTCTTCTTGGCTTTTAATACAATTGTACGCCTTGCTTTCTCTTCTTCTTCTTCTTCTTCTTCCTGCTTACCTGAGAGACAGCAAACTCGAGTCCTGCAGAAATGTGACGACCCCCCATTCGAGACCGCCGGCTGGTTCGAGATGATGGCTGCGTCTGGGTTAAGCACAGCGGTGCCTTTCGTCTGCGTCTTTGACTTTGGCTACCAGGCGTCTTTGATCTGCAGTCGGATCCGACGCGTTGTGCTTGCGGAACCCCCCCTGCAATCGACTGTGTTGAGTATCTGGGCCGCGATCGACGAGTTTACGTCCCGCACACAAGGTTACTTTGAACGAGTGTGCATCACGGACGACGAGGACGCTCTCGTGCTCCACGACATGGCTACTCGGAACAACATCGACGCGATGCATCTCCGCGTGCAGTTCTGTGTCCTGGAGCTGGTGTCTTATTGTTACACATTTTACACTTCGTCCGTGGAGAATTCTCGATTACAGCAGATCGCAAATGCCCTCCAGCTCTTGCAGCGCCAGTACGCCGCGATCCAGTCCTCCCGCCAGAAAGCAGATCGCATCCTGCGCACCCTGCCCTACCTCCTTGCCATCGATCCGCTGCACGGCCCGCTAGCGACCTCTCTCCCGCAGTCCGCCAACAGACAGCCCAACTGGTCGGACGCGCTGAGAATCATGTGGCCGCTGCGTCTGCTCGCTGCCTCGACAGTCGTCCTCGACATACACAGACAAGTGGCCGGGGAGGCGCTGAAGCGCATAGCGTACGAGATGGGGATCATGCAGGCGGTTGGAACGAACTTTACAACGTTGAGTCGGTTGAAGAGGAATTGAAATTTGGACATTACTTTGAGTCTTTCTTCTGAAGACATTCTCACAGAGATACTGTATATGCATATGCCCATCCCTGTCTACTACATATGTTGGCTGTCAATACGAGTACCTGCAGAATATACCATTGGTGTACTCCATAGTTACTGTATTCAATCAGCAGGCTGTTGTTACAATTTCAGCCCAAACAGTTAAACAATAATTCAGTTTATTCTACTCTATACAACTTGCCTATGTTTACGCACTATACAGTACGGAGTACTGTGTTGCTATACCGTACTGTGTTGTACGAGTATTTAATACGCAGCCCTACCCCTCATTACGTAAGGCCGATCCTCGGCTTCTCCAACGAGGGGTCAAGAATTTATTCTTTTCTCTGCCTTTCTTTGACTCACCCCTCCTTCAATTCAACATTGACTGAAGAATAACAGTTTCACGAAAAGCTAATAACAGTCGATCACCTCAAAATGGCCAACCGCTTCATCCTCACCCTGTCCTGCCCCGACCGCCCCGGCATCGTACACGCCGTGACCGCGTTCCTGGTGCAGCACAATCTCAACATTGTGGAATCGTCGCAGTATGGCGATGCCAGCTCGCAGCGGTTCTTCATGCGCATGCATTTTGCCGAGACACCAAAGGAGGGCGAGGAGGCATCGGCGGCCAGCCTGACGCTGCAAGACGTGCGCGCGGCGTTCGCCCCGACCGCGCAGGCGCTGGACATGGACTTTGAGATCCACGAAGACACGCGCAAACCCCGCGTGCTGATCATGGTGTCGAAGATCGGCCACTGCCTCAACGACCTGCTCTTCCGGCAGTCGACGGCCCAGCTGGGCATCGAGGTGCCGCTGATTGTCTCGAACCACCCCGATTTCGCCCCCCTGGCGGCCTCGTACAACATCCCCTTTGTGCACCTGCCCGTGACGGCGGCAACAAAGCAGGAGCAAGAGGCAAAGATCATCGAGCTCGTGCGCGAGCATAATATCGACCTCATCGTGTTGGCCCGGTACATGCAGGTCCTCTCGCCCACGTTGTGCGACGCCATGTCCGGCCGCATCATCAACATCCACCACTCCTTCCTGCCCTCTTTCAAGGGCGCCCGCCCTTACCACCAGGCTCACGACCGTGGCGTCAAGATCATCGGTGCCACCGCCCACTTCGTTACTTCGGATCTCGACGAGGGGCCCATCATCGAGCAGAACGTCGTCCGTGTCAGCCACGCCATGAGCCCCAAGGAACTCACCCACGCCGGCTCAAATGTCGAGAGCAACGTCCTCGCCACCGCTGTCAAGTTCTTCGCTGAGCGCAGAGTCCTTCTTAACGGCCACAAGACGGTCGTCTTCAATTAATAAGTTCTATATATCATACTACACAAACATATCTACGGTGTTGGATAGATGGGTTGGCGTAAGCCTTTTACATATATAGCAAATATAAATATTTTTCAAAAGTTAATACTAATCCCTTACACAAAATTAACTGACGTCCCTGAAATCAATATATCCGCAGCATATGTACATCGTTTCCCTCCACAGAATCCATGAAACAGCATTCGATCACCGCAGGGACACACCGTCCCGCCCCCCGGCGAGGTCAGATTATAGTCGCCCGTCTTGACCAGCTGCACGCCGGTCTTGGTGTAGGGCCCCGTGACGGAGCTGGCCGTCGCGTAGCGGATATCATACTCGCGGTCTGTAAAGCAGTGCGTCGAGTAGAAAAGGAAATACGTGCCGTCGTGGAGGATCAGGTTCGGAGCCTCGACGAGCGGCCCGTCGCTGTCGTCCCGGTCGAGAATCTGCACTGCCTCGCCGACGGGGGTGAAGCCATCGGCCGCGACCTTCTGCAGCATGATCGGGGTGGGTTGCAGCGGCGCAACCCCGTTGTTGCAGTCGCCACCGTGCCCGATGCTGTTGCCGTCCACCTTGAACACCACGTAGCGCGATCCGTCCGTGTCGAGAAAGCCGGACGGATCAATGGACCCGCCTTGGTCTTTCCGGCAGGAGAGAGGCTGTGGGTTGGGCACATATGGCCCCGAGGGATCTATGCCTGCGGAGACGGCGCTGCCTATACAAAGGCGGCTTTGCTTTGAATCCCCGGAATAGTACAGGACGTATCTCCCGTCGTCCTACATTTAGTTCTATTAGTAAATCACAAGCTGTCTCCAAAGGAGGAATACCACAAACTCACCCGTTGGATCACATCTGGGGCCCAGTGGTAGACGTCAGTCTCCCATTCGGCAAAGGTGGGCAGGGCTTCTTTGTCGAGCAAGGTCCAGGAAACAAAATCCGGCGATGTCGCAACCTGCACTCGTTTGCCATTCGAGTTCGTTCCAAAGGCATACCATGTCCCGTCCTCGCCTTTAATGAAGCTGGGGTCGGGGAAGTCGGTATCCAATGCCAACCAAGGACCTTTGGCTCTTTTGGCGGCCAGCGAGGCCAAAGCCACCTGGTTCAACGAGATGGATAGTGCCAGGGAAAACGAAGAGACTCGCATCTTTACTCCTTTCTGATGAGAAACTTATGTGGATTGCGCAAAAGCCAAGAACCAGTCCCCGCTAATTATATTATAGTAGCATCTTCAAAAGATTTCTCTGGTGCATACATGAGATGTTAGTGGCGCCCCTGGCATGAGATAGGAGAGAGCAGTCTGCATTCTTTCTTGGGGGGGTGACAGCCCTATCATCAGGCATGAGGAATGTTTAGACTCCGAAGACAGTCGTCTGGCTTTTGACATGGAGGGTAAGACGTGGCCAGCGTTAAGGCCTCCCAGCGATGGAATGTATAGTAGTGGCTGTAATGCTGTACTACTTGAAGCGTACACTGAGATCTAGACTGAATGTTATTCAATTCACGTGGTCGTAACAAATTAATAGATGCTCACCACAAAGAAGGGATCCAAAAAGTACCTCCTGGGCCTAATCAAGGGCTAAAACACTTGACATCGAGGTCTCAGTGAGCAGGCAAACAATCCTTTGTAGTCCACGAAGACAGTGTGAAGAGACTAGAGTGCCAACAGGGAAATGCATCACATGTCAAAAGAGAGCGAAGGAGGTACCTCCAGCCTTCCAATGCGATAGTCATGTCTAGGCGGTGATGGGGGAATCGCATGTGTAGAGACATTAGTCTCATGGAATATCGTCGATAGACGTCACATCCTTACTCTCAGTGGCGTTAATTCGGTCTCTTATCTCTTTGCTGTGATAATAAACTTCTCTACGAAGCCTGTTGATGGATCCCAAGGGTCTATGGGCAGCCAGTCCTCTCCACGGGTCCAGAGACATTCGGTCTTCCCAGAATGTCCTTCGGGCATGGTTCAAACTGTCTTGGGGTGGGAAGGAAAGAACAGCGAGAGTTTGGTATGGTGCCGTCGTCTGGTCCCAGACAATGCTTGCGTCTTCTGTTGGATGATGGAGAGCAGAAGTACCAAGTTGGATCTATGGGTGTTAATCTCGAGAATGGACTCGCCGCCATTTATAAAGTGAGACACTGACCTTGAACTCGTACCGTGCCTCTTTATCCTTGAAATGCTCGGAAAGCCAGTTTCCCAAGGTGCCAGACGCAGCATCTTTCGTTACAGTCTCGTTACTCTTCATCTTCATTTGCTCATTGGCTGGAAACAGTGCCATATGGCCATACCAAGGACCGAAGCCAAAGGCCGACTGCGAAAACAGAGAATGGGAAATCACATTGGTGTTGGGTAACTGGTACGGCGCATGTTGCTTGATGGCATCTGTACGAAGCTTGAGTGCAGCGCTCTATGATAATCTTAGTATAAGGTAAAGGAAGGCGTGGAGACCCAAATACCAGTGCGGTTGGATTGTCAAAGTTTTTCTCCCGCAACGTCATAATATCTAAGGTCGTGTCGAGGTTGGTCAACTCAATCATAGGCGCGTTATTGAAGAAGAAGTCCTGCGTCATGGTCTTGTTCTCTACACCTTCCAATCTTTCCCCGTCCACTCCGAAGACCTTGAGGGCCAGCCCCCTGGGCGTGGCTTCTTTGTCATCCAGCAACAGGTACGGCTCATTCGCATAGCGGGCAATCACATCATATTCCCTGCCCGGCTCATGGAAGACCCCCTGCCTCAGTTCAGTGGGCAAATCCTCCCGGACCTTCAGCTTGCCCTTCACAACGCCAAGGGTTTTGACATGCGTGGCACGGAAGCAGTGGCGGTGCTTGTCGAAGTTATGCTGCTGCATCCGAGCCATGACTGCCTTGAGCTGTTCGACCTTCTGCGGCTCATCTGGTCCAATGTTTTCGACTCCAGGGGTATTCCAAGGCAGGTAATTGTCAGTCGCTGGGGCCGGGGTCATTGCCATCTTCGCGCTGATCACTGCGTAATCTATCGGATGCTGTAAACCGCCTGTCATTTTCATTAACTATTCTGGTTGTAGAAAGGTGTCGACAATATTCAATTTGGAACTAAAGCATGAAATGGCTTTTATACTTACCCTGAACCAAGCTGCGGCATTTCGGAAACTTGGATGATGATGTCACCGTTTAGATCTGGGAACAATCGCCCTGTAACCACGATACTCCCTGCCAGAATGCATTGTTAGGTCGTCGAAGAGCAGGAAGAGCATTGAGGGACGTCTTGTCCTAAGCTGTGTTGTAGAAAGAAGACTCCATCTTGGAAATCAGAGGCTGTCATGTGACCGGCAATTCCAGCTAAAGCTGCCGTCGCAGGAAAATTTGCACCACCAGCACAACATCCTCGATGAAATGGACGCAATCCTTCAGAGAAATAGAGAGAGAGAGAGAGAGAGAGAGAGAGAGGCCCCTTTAGATGATCAATGCTGATCACCCAGAATCTAGAGAGCTTCTTGATCTGCCGATCCAGCTGGGCCGGGCCGCTATCAAAGCGACGGTGGAGCAGAGGTTTGTTTCGTCTTTTGATCCCTTTCCAGTCGAGTATTTCTAGTGCTAATCGGTTTAATAGTGCAGTGACAGTATTGTTGGCTCTTATACACTATTCGTCGGGTTTCGGGCTATAATAATGGTGGAATTTACTGCATTGCAGGAACTACCACAGGACCCCTGAATGGCTTTATTATCAAGAAGCGTCAGTGACAGCCCTGCTCTGTAAGTGCTTACAGAGTTTCACTAAACAGTTGACTAGTTAATAGCTAACTAGGTAGTTAACTATTAATTAACTAGTTAGTAGGATCCGGTCGTCTGTCCACCACTCCACGCACAGCACACGGACTACGGAATGGCCAATTACTTCGATCTCACTAAACCCACATCTGACAGTGCAGTGGGGTGTCATAAGTTTGAGCACTCCACTCTACTACCCTTACGGGGTATACTGGGTATTATATCTAAGCGGTTAGACCAATCCTGAGATGCTCTGTTGCAGACGGGGATATGTGAGGCTCAAGAGTCAGAAGCCAAGAGTCGAAAAGCCGAAGACTTGCGCCCTAAGCTGGACCTGACTCGATTAAGTCTACACCTTAATTTGCCGATAAATTCTGCCTCGGAATCTGAAAGGGTACCCTGTATAAACAATCCAATGGCATTTGATTCGCGCATCATGCAGAGCTAGGCCACCTGGACAGTCTGACAAGAACTGCCATGTTTTAGGCCCATTCGTCTAAGCCAAAGACAGATTGGTGGAAATTTGAAGCGAGGACTATTTAACCAAAGGAATCGCGCTGTTTTCCTGAAGGAAAACTAAAACAAGAGAACAGAAAAAAGGGAAAGCCTTGACTTGAATTCTGTTGCCAATAACACTCAGGAAGAGGTACTCGATACCTGGATACCAAAAATGACTACCACTGTCGCCTCGAGTGTTCAGACAGCAGCGATTGCTGCATCAACAACAGCAAATGCGGCCACCACAAGCACTACGGCAACGGCTACGACCACTACTGTCGCCCTTGTCACTGTATTTACTGCACCGTCCTCTTGCTCGTCCAGTTGGACTTACGAAGCTTCCACCTACAATGGCATTTCCAGCGGTCTTCTATTGCAGAATGCTATTTCCGAAGATATAGACGGAACTTGTTTCCCACCTGGCTTTGATCAGAGTGGACGTGTCTTCGAGGACCAGATCTTCAGCCCCGGCGCCTGTCCCGACCACTATACCACCCACACACCACTTCAAGTGAGCGGCGCGATCACTACCGCCGCCTGTTGTTTAAAGTAGTTTCCTTTTCCGTTTTCCTTGGTCAAGTCAGGTTAGTGCTAACAGTAAAACCTCTTGACAGGAATTTCACGTTTTATACTTCGTCTGACTACCAAGGCTGTTTGAGCACCTTCACCGGATCAACCAGTGTGGCCGCACGAGCAGGAGGCTTCGGTTCCTCGGACTACACCACCAGCACCACGATCTCTGGCACCTATACAATGTGGGGGCTTCCGATCGTCATCGAATACCAGTCCAGTGATTTGAGTCTATACACGACAGCCACGGCAACATCAACGACTTCAACGACATCAACGACATCAGCGGCTCCCTCTACCCAATCATCCTCTTCCAGCAGCGGCCTATCAACAGGCGCAAAGGCAGGCATTGCTGTCGGAGCGGTCGTTGGTGCATTACTGCTCTTGGGCCTGTTTGGCTTCTGGCTGCGTCGCTCGAGAGCAGAGAAACGAAGGCAAATTACTCCTATCGCACCCGAGACGACCTCCCAGCCAGCAGAACTATACCAGGATCAAGTCTATGAGGCGCCGGCGAATGAGAATGCAGTGCCGATAGAAGCAGACTCCACGGCGGTCAAACCTGCTCAACCACCTAGTGTTGTTGCCGAGTTGCCATGATAAAATCTGCTTCGTCATCTCTAGCCCATACGAACTTCGCCAGCTCCTCGGGCGTCAAACATTACTTCCCTAATTCTGCAATTTCACGTACAGCTTACTACATCAGTCTTGCCATCTGGCAAGCAACAGCACCAAACTGTACTAATAAATGATGACTCTACACTACGGCTACCTGTGAATGAGCTCATGATGTATTTTGAATCTAATTAATACACATCTGGTTACATTTATCCTTGGGCAACCATTGATAAAATCAGCAGCTATACACTCATGATTCTCCAATGTCAATGGCAACATCGACAACGGAGTCGATCCCCGTTTGCCAGTATACCTCTGGCTGGAAAGACCAAACATAAAAAAAGCGCGACAGTTCATTCATGAGTCATCAGGGTCCATCGTAACTCACTCCCAACGCCATCCTATGCCAAGAACAAGAAGAGGAAAAAGAAAGCAGACAACCATACATAACCAAAAGCTAGGAGAGGATCCACGTCTCAAACGGGATTCCGCGCAGCTGTTTCCTCCCCTCCGAGGAAGTATACAATTCCGGCTCAAAGTCACAGACCGAGGCATACTGGCGGATGAGATGGCGCCAATAGCACGACTCGGCAGCCGGGGTGAGGTATCGATCGCGAAAGGTGCGGATGGCGTTGTCAGCGATCTTCTCTGCGACGTCTGGATGGTCGATGAGATACTCGATCTTGCGCTCCAGATCTGACCAGTCGCGCTCGACCTCGACAAAGTTGGCTTCAGGCCCCGACGCAACGAGCGCAGCATGGTGTGCCTCGCGCCATTCCAGGCGGTGCGAGACCATCACCGAGCGGCAGTTGAGCAGATACTTGCCCCGGCCGGAGAAGCTGCGACCCTCGGTGTGCGCCAGGAACATGTACCGGCAGTGATCCTCGATGGGCAGGAGGTTCAGCCGTACATCGTCCGCATCCTCCCAGTCCAGCACCCGTATGCTCGCCCAGCTCGTTCCCCGTGCAGCACGGAGCAGTCGCCCGCGCAGCTCCGGCGAGGGAGCCAGACTACCCCGCCACACCAACTGTTTCTTCTTCTCTGCAAAGGGCACCTCGGCGTCCACCGCCGCGATCCGCTGCCTGGCCGCCTCGTAGGGGCCGATCTGCACCTCAGGCCATGCCCAGTACCCAAAATCCGGCATCAGCCAGACCGCATCCTTGTCTTCGTCAACAGCTCGTTTCGAGTACGCCCAGACAGGCTCGTTGGTGCGCTGCACAAAATCCTCCGTCGTCAGGATAAACTCGATGTTCGGCAAGGCCCGTCGACCAGGAAACGCCTGCAGGGCGCGGTGCAGCGAGCTCAAGGTCGCTCTCGCACGCGAGAACGTGGCCTTCATGCCCTGGACGTCAAGGATATAAAGATCCCCCTCATAGATGACCCCGCGGACCATTGCGTCGTCGAGCGGGCCCGCGATCTCCTCATACCTGATTGGCGTTCCCTTCTTCTCTCTCCTCTGCCCTGCAGACTTGTCGAGCTCAACGAACAGTTTCGGAAAGGCAAGCTGGCACTGTTCATCTGAGAGACCGTGGTGCGTCCCATCACGGTCCACGTGGAACTCCCACGTTGCATTCCCCGCGCGATCTTCCTGCGAGGCAAAACATTCCTCGGCCTGATAGGACCCAACGCGAGGCCGGGTCGGAAATGATGATCCCCCTAGGCTGGAGCTTCGGCTTAGAAGCAGGAATATGATGGTGATGAGGACGGTGGTTGTGATGCCTAGCCGGATGGATTGGCTCTGTATGATCATTTTAATCTATATATATGTGTATATATGTGTATGTGTGCGTGTTTGTATATATACTCAATGCTTCATTGCTGGTGATATTCAGCTATATGCATAGCTTGAGTTATTGAAGAAGTAATGAATGGGTGAATTCGAAGGCTGTTGTCATTTACCCAACTTGTTGTCATGGCAACCCATCAACAAGTCTATTAGTAGTCAACCATGACGTTGCTTCCGACTAAAAAAATCGAGTACCAATTCTAAATCAATGATATTTATCTCTATCTATGTACATGGAGAGAGCAGTGCCACTGCAGGGGATTCAGGGGTATCTCAACATAACAATGAAAATGGAACGACGGAGTGACGCCAGGTCTTCAACAGATCTCAACAGATAATCAGTCCAATAAGTTCAGAGAGATGAAAAGATATGAACAGAAATCAAAAAAAAAGATGAGTGGGATGAAATGACTGTCAGCAGAGAGAAAAAAAAAAAGGGAAAGAAATGTTAATTCGACTCCCGCCGCCCGTTGCTAAAGTAGCTCTCGTCAATCTTCAAGATCCACTCGACCTTCTGCGCCTCGGTGCGAGCACCAAAGAGGAACGTGTTCTGGGTGCCGTAGACGGCGAACACGTTCGGCCGCCCTTTGACCGACCCGTCCAGCAGGCGAGCAAAGTCCGGAGCGTGATCGATACGGGCGCTGCGCAGGTTGATGGCGTTCAGCTCATCCCCCTCGGCCGAGTAGACGTGTAGGTACGGCCGCCGCAGCTCGATGAACCGCCGCACCCAGTGGCTGTTCGTGTCATCGGGCGTGAGCAGGTAGCCCGTCTTCAGGGCCGACGGGTTTTTGGGCAGCGTCTGGATCGTCGCAATGTACCGCGGCTTCAGCATCGACGGGTCCGCTTCCGAGGCAGCAGAGGCGGCAGAGGAGGAGGGCGGTTTCGCGTGCCAGGCAAACGCCGCGCCGCCCGCCGGGGGTTCTGTATTGCTGCGAACCAGGATGGAGTCGGTGGGATCCTTCTTGGTGACCCAGAGGTCCAGGTACTTGCGCAGCAGCGCGGCTTTGCGCTCCGTGAGCTGCTCTCTGCCACCGTTGAGGCCATTGCTGCTATTATTATTACTATTATTATTGATGAGGGTGCGAAGAGGAGTGGATCGGCCACTGCCTCTGACGGGTGAGGGCGACGGCATGAGACTGCCGGCGCTGAGCGAGCCGCGAGCCGCGTGGAGCTCCGCCAGCCGTTGCCGGCGCTTGCGAGCGGTGATATAGTCGCGGATGAGCGAGATCTGGCGAGGCGACCACGCAGTGAGCAGCTCCTCGCCCTTGACGTAGTCGTTCTGCGTGTTCATGCGCCACAGGTCCGCCGCCCGCTTGGCCGACACGGGGCGGATGGCGAGCGAGAACATGCGGACGGTCGAGTGGACGATGCGTGTCGTTGGCCAGAACGACTTGAACATGGACTGCGGACGGATGTATGTGCGGCCGAGGATCTGCAGCGTCGGGTCCGCCTCGAAGACGACTGGTTCCTGCAGCCGCGAGGAGATCAGGTCCCAACGGACGGTGACTTGGACCCGGTACTTGTCGGCCGTAACGCGGTCCATCAACAGAGACCCGTGCAAGCTCGAGTCCCACTGGCCGACAATCGTCACGTTGGAGGTGCCGTCAGCGTTGTCCTTCATCGTCGGTGGCTGCACAAATTTCAGTGGCACGTCAGGGGTTTGCAGGTCCTGATCCGGGATCTTGCCCCACGGGTCGAGTAGGCGGACAGCGCCGACCCGGATATTAGCGATCTCATCCCAGGGCAGAGACTCGGTCGAACTATACGTCATATTGATCAGCACGCGGCGCTGCAGACCCTGGTGCAGCTGGTAGGTGCCCACATCCAGACTGTTGTTCTGGACCACCTCGACGGGGAGATACTCGCCCGACTCGGTCAGCTCGAGGATCTGGAGCCGCGCAAAGACGTCGTGTCGTTCCTCCGAGTAAAACTCTGACTCGGCGATACGGGGCGACTGGCGTTTATGCGGCGACGCCCCCTCGGTCGAGTCGCGCATCTCGTCCCAGCTGAGCAGTTTATCCAGATGCATCTGCGTGACCCGCGCGTAGACGCACACCTTGAGCGCGGCGGTCCGCGGGCTCGATAGGGGCAAACTCATACTGTGGACGCTCTCGAAGCGGATGGGGCTCTCGTCAAAGCCCCCGATCATCTGCGTGGTCGTTGCGCCACCTTCTTCAGAGATACCGGGAACGAACAGCTGGGCGTGCACGTCAGTACCCTCCCACTCGGCGAACCCTACCATGTCACGCATGACGACGTTGAATTTGAGGGTAGAAGAAGGGGCCTGCGCCGACGAGGGCTCGAGAGACAGACGAATGATGCCCACGACGCTCTGCGTGTACGGCGAGACCACCTCGACCGAGAAATCCTGCACGCGAGTCTCAAATACGGCCGTCAGGGGGATATCGGCATCGCCAACGAGGGAGAACTGCGGCGAACACGGCTCCGAGAAGGGATTCTCAAGCTTAAAGTGTCGGATGTAGTCCGGCCGGTCGATGTACTGATGCACCTGGCGCATGGCCTGGACGCGGCGCTGCAGCTTCTCAATCGACCATAGGTGGATGACACATTGCTTGAAGTCGATGACACGCACGGCAATGCATGGCTTCTTAGCCTCATCCAGAACGACATCTTCGTCCCCGGAGATGCCATTAAGCACCAGATCGTACGACGAGGCCATGTTGTGGCCGTGGTCGATCACGGCGAACTGAAAGACGACGTTCTTGTCCATGATCTGGCTCATCACCTGGGCTTCCTTGAGCAGCGACGCATGCTGGAGGACGTTCTCCGCCATCCGGACGTAGTTACGCTGCGACCAGTGACGGAAGACCGACCGGGCCAGCTCGATCTCGTGCGGTTCCAGTCGGGCAAACCCGTTCTCGTAGATCCGGGGCACCGGTTTGCCCATCTCCTTCATCTGCAGCTCAAACACCTCCTTCTGCTTTTGAAGCTGCTGCTCAAATTCCGCTTTCACAGTCTGCAGTGCTTCTTCCATGCGTGTCTTTTCGAGCCGCAATTCCTCCACATCCTGAGTCGGCGACGCTTCGGCATTCCGTAGTCGGTCGCGGTACTCGTCCTTCTGTTTGTCAAGCTGTCGTTGCATCTCATGGCGCACAGACTGCAGGGCCGAGTTCGACGAGTCCCCGTTTCCTCCATCCTCCTCCTCGTTTTGACGCGGGGTGCCAGGGATCGTGATGGCCGTGTCAAGGGAGAAGTTGTCGATCGTGCCGTTCGACATGTACTTGTCGCGAACGAGGAACGAATTCAGGGAATCAGAATCCTCGTCGTTGTCCACCAGGCCCCGGCGGACAGCTCGGATCTTCTGCACGTCTTCAAAGAGTGCGTCCAACTCGCCGTCCGGCAGGTGCGAGATGTGGTCCGGCCCCAGAAGGGCACTCACAGCCTCGCGGCGCGCGTAGAACCAGTCTGACTCGCGGCCGCGCTGCGACGGCATGGGCGAGTCTGCACGACTTGAATCGCCGTCCATCTCGGAGCCTGTCTTGCTCAATGAGCGGTCGTGCTGGATCTTGGAGGGTGCTGGCGAGCCAAGTTGGCTGGTGGCCACGGAATGGCGCAGCAGGCTCTGTTCGACTCGTTCGGCACGAGCTTCCTGCGGATGGTTGAAACGAAAGATATGAAAATCACCCAGAATGATGCGAAACCCGCTCCTGAGCCGCTTGGGTTTATCGATACGCAGCCCGTTGACCATGACAGCAGCGCCCTCACTGGGCACAAGAGTGACGGCGTTGTCTACATTCTCGAATGTGCAATGGTTGTGGAGAATCTTGGATCCATTCAGTCGGATCTCCACGGTGTTTCCCTGATCCATGTTGCCCACCGTCGTCGTGCCCGGCTTGATGTTATACACGAGACACTCTGCCAGGAGAGGGTCGTCACTCAAGTTGACCAAATGCGGCATCTTCTTCGGGGTGCTCAGACCGATGAAACCCTTCTCGATGCTGATTCCTAGCTCCTCTAATGCAGCCTCGCGTTCTTTGTGGATCTCCTCGGTCTTCTGTAACTTCTCTTCCCATGTTTGGTTGAGGTCCTTGTACAGCTTTTCACTCTGATTCAGTTGTTCCACGATCTCCGCCTTGCTGACCTTCTGCACCGTCCCATCGGGTTTTTGGATCGAGACCATTTGCTTCTCGAGGGGCGTGTCGGGCGGGTATGATTCTTCTGCAGGGAGACCACCGCTGCCGCCACTGCTGCCGCCGCCTAGCTTTGATCGTAGCTGGGCCAGTTCTTCCTTCAATTCGCGGATCATCCGTGCGTTGGGGTCCTCATTGACGACCGCATGGTTCTTGATACGCTTGGCGGAGTCGGCATAGCGCAGGGTACTCAGGGTTTCGTCAAAGTTGATGTCCGCCGGCGAGATGGCGGCGATCATGGCGGTCATCGAGTTACCTCCCAGCGAGTCCTTGAGCAACCAGGTGAGAACGGAATCACGATACGGCACCAGCGAGTTCCCTTTCTTCTTGCCCGTCGAGGAATCCGCCAGAGCCGCGATGACTCGACCGAGTGTTGAGAGCGAGCGGTTGATCTCGGCGCCCTCCTTCAACCGCGCACCTGTCGCGCCCGTCGACGTTGCTCGCTCCGAACCGGCCAGATCGACCAGACTGATCTTAGCCACCTTCTCAGTATCCATTGAAGTCTCGGCGTCGTGTCGTTTCTGGGTGAGGGTCAAGGTAAAGACGGCGTGGGATCGACTCGAAGTTTCGTTCATGTTGGTCGCGGCGACGGTTCGCGCCTTGTTACCTTCGTCCATCAGGTTCTCGATCTCGTCAAAGGATCGCACGACGAGCTTGGCGAGATCTTCCACGTAGGGACCGGTCGATGGGTGCTCGCGGACCTTGAGACCGCCCTTGTTAGACGGGTTCAGCAGGTCACGAACGCGCTCGTTGTAGATCTCGAGGTAGGAGACCTCGACGGTGCAACCCAGATTCTTGTCCTGCTGAATGGCGGTAATGCGTTCAAACATGGACTGGCAGATTCGCGGGATCACACCAAACTCCTTGCCGTATCCCATCATCGAGTATGACTTGCCCGAGCCGGTCTGTCCGTACGCGAAAATACAATTGTTGTAGCCTTGGAAGGCATTGTCCAGCAACGGCACCCCCAGATCATCAAACAAATTGTCCTGTCCGGCGTAGTTCGAGTCGGTCTTGTCGAAGGACCAGTACGACCGGTCAAACGCGAACGTCTTGGGGCCCTCGGGGGCCCCCTTCGAGCCCGTCTTGCGAAGCTTCTCATCGGCGCCCGGCGGTGGCGTGAGCACCGTCTGGTTGCCCTTCATCTGCACGATACATTTTGCTCCTCGATCGATCTCTGCATCATCATCATCATCATCGTCAGCCTCTCTCCCTCCCCCTTCTCCTTCACCGTCACTCTCCCAAAGAACCCTCGCCACTCACCTCTACTGTTAAACGGCCGCACTCTCACCACCACCTTGATATTTCCTCCTCCGCCGGCCATCGTGCCCTGCACCCCATACACGGGGGGCCGTCCGTCTTCAGTCTCTGCGAACGGTGGCTAGTACGCGACTCTTGCAAAGAACGCGCAGCAATCCAACCGGCACGCCAGGTGCCTTGTTGAGGAGAAAAAAAAGGAAACAGCCACGATCTTTCCCCAACCTTCCTTTTCCTCCCTTTTTTTTTCCCTCTCCCCCTTTTTTTTCTCGTCTCCCTTTCCTCTCTATTATCCTCTCCTCGAGGATCAACCGTTGCGACTTGGTTTCGTTGGGTCCCCAGGGTCGCCAGGGGGACTCGAAAGTTTAGTAAACACCACACGTCTTTTCGGTCTGGTTTCTGTCACCGCAACAAATCCCTGTCGTCTGTCGTACCACCATCCAGCAGCTGCAAAATCAGCGTGGCTGCGAACTTTCCAGGACGGGCAAATAAAAAGGGCGGGAGGGATGCCTCCCTCGAGTTATTTGGACGGGGGGGGCGAGACTCGAGAGGGAATGAATTGGGGGGGGAAGGTTGCTATGCGCGAGTCTCCCTCTTTCGCTGGCAGCACGGGATGCGGCCCACAGGGCTTAGTCAGCAGGGTCAGGGTGCAGTCTTAAACAGAAGTATTAATTCGAGGAGGGATGAAAGTTGATTGTGATTACAGTGATTAATTGATGGAGATGGTATTGGCAGAGTATGTACAGTGGTGGCTATATTGACAGTGTTCCGTACAGCGGTTATATACAGCGATTATGCATCGATAAAACGCTCGGTCTGGAGCACGGCATGCTCCCAGTGGTCTAGTTCGACGAGCTGGTTGCGATACGCGCGCTGGTCGCTGGGGAGGACGTGGGAGTGCTGGTGCAGGAAGGTGTTCATCCAGTCGTCCATCTGGAAGGCGTCCTCGGCGTTTGGGGCGCGCAGACAGGCGTCGTGGAACGATTTCAGGCGCGCCATGGTGTGGGCGAGCCAGGGCCAGACTTCCATCAGGTTGGTGAGCATGATGAAGTTGCGTTCAAGCAGGATGCGGGCCTGCGCGATGAGGTCCGGGTCCGTGTCGAGGAGGAGGGTGTGCAGGTGCACCGACGAGGAGATGACCAGCAGGTGGCTGATCAGCAGCCAGACGCAGTTGCACCGGTGCTCGTGGGTGCCTGTCCAGAGGAGGCGGGTGATGGCTGTGGCGTGGAACTTGCACCGCTGGGCGTAGACGAGGCGTTGCGCGGACATGTTCGGCGTGAGACTGTCGTGCAGGAAGCGATAGTACAGTAGGATGGCGAAGTAGTGGTAGCCGAAATGCAGGGCCACGAAGACATGGCCCATGCCGCGCTCTGCAATCTGCGCCAGATTCGCGTCGGTGTCGTGCAGTGACGGCGGCAAATCCACCACCCACTGGTCCAGCTTGGAGGAGAGGTCTGCCACGGACTCGAGGAAGCCCTCGTCCATCGTGTCCCCTGCATACCGGGCCGAGTCGTTCAGGTCTTGGATCTGCGCTTTCAGCGCAGCCAGCGGGATCATCTGCCCCCACATGCTGGTCTTGCGGAGGATGTGGTCATTGTCCAGTTCTATCAGGTCTACGGCTGCGTCCGGGCCGAGCTGCTCAAAAGCAGCCTCTTCCATCGGCCATGGCCAGGAAAGATCCAGATGGAATGTTCGCGGGAAGCCACGGCCGGTGGCGATCCAAACGTCCATCATGTAGATGGACCACCAGACTGTTTTCGTCAGATCGAGACGCTCGTCGACACATTCCATAGAATAGATAGGCCCGTCCACCTACCTCGCAATTCGATTTCTCTCTGCAGCGGATCCTGACTCAGGCGGTGCGGCAGCCCGAGCAGCTGCACAACCCGATTGGCAATGCCGCTGCATAGAGCCTCGGTAGCTGGGTCGCCGTCGGCGATGGACAGCGAGCTCAACAGATGACAGACCTGCAGCGTGACGATCGATATCTCCATGGTCTGAATGTTCAGCATGTTCCGTGCCGCCCGGCCCCAGGTGTGGCCTCTGTCCCACCGATCTACGCCGTCAAAGTAGCTGTGATTCGAGAATCTACCAGGGTCAGTCCACTAGAGGGGGGGCGCTGATCCTCACAAGATCAGTGAGCGAACGATGGTAGATCCTCACCGTGCAACAAACGCTGATATGCTGAGTAAGATGATATCTGGAACCGTATTCTCTTCAAACGCCCGCATAAACGACGGCCGGTGGAACAGTGCCCCCTGGGTGTCGTGCAGAGTCGAGAAGTAGACATCCACCAGGTCCTCACAGACATCCCGCGGAGGCAACGGCGACACTTCCACGGGCGAGCATGACTGAGAGCACACTCGAGCCGTCGTACACACCGCCGCCTGAGCTGCTGTAGCCTCCCCTCGAGAAGACCGTTTTGTCGCCGCCGACGACGACACTCGCGGCCGCGGCCTTGTCACCAGTGAGCAGGGCAGTCCTTTGCTCTCACAGTAGGTGCAGCACACCATATTGTCGTTGACATCGCATCTCTGCTTCCGACTACTACATTCATTTAGAAAAAAAAAGGGGGGGGGAGGAAACCACTGTCTCACTTTCACAGGCTAGGACGTACCGGCATGTCTTGCACGCTGTAGCAACTCGCATGGTCACAGCTGCATTCACCTGGATCCCCTGGGATACGTCTCGGGGTCAACGTCTAGGCGTACATGATGCATCCCCGGTCTCCGTCCATGGGCAGACAATCAGGATCGCCCCCATCCTCGCTCTTCCTGTCGCTTGAGCTTGGTGGTGAGTGTGTTCAGGTGACCTCGCCCGCTAACCGGTTTGGGTTTCCCCGCGCTGCCTAAGGAGAGAGTATGGATGCCTCAGGCATTAAGGTGCCTGAGGCAGTACTTACACCCTCTACCTTCTCCAAACAGACCTTCCAAAAGCAATGCTTCATCTCCATCCACCGTTTTATCAAGACTAAGTCAATTAGTTGAGGGCAATGCAATGCTGAAACAGTGATATTCTTACCAACTAAGATCTATCTCTAGGACACCTCTATCCAAGTCACTACACCGTCAGATTTATATAAACCCCCCACAGAATGCCCACGAGGTTAGCCACCAACACGCGCTGTTCCAGCGGCACAACCGTCAGATTCACCAGGCTCACCACCGGCCAGACTTTATACGATGCGATGAGCATGGGGACAGTGTTCTATCAGTTAGTTATAGACAGTCACTGGGTGCGTTAGGTGAGGTTTTTTTTTTTACCTCGCGCAGGTTCCCCTGGATTTCAGCCATGGTTGAACCTCTGAAACTTCCGATGAGAGTGATATAAAGCATTGTATTGAGCAACGCGCCGATGCTCTGGTCGAGAACTAGCTTGATGGTCGTGTTGACTATGAATGTGTGCATATCTTTCTGGTGGCCATTATGAAGAGAGGTATCGACCGGGAAGCTTTCTTCCAATGTTTTGCCCCAGAGGTAGTTCGGGGGTGTGCTTAGGAAGTTATATAATGCGCCATGCAGGATGGGAATGGCATTAATCTTAGTATTAGAAAGAGTATTAGAAAGAGCATTAGAAAAGTGTTAGAAGAAAATATTGTACCTCTCTTTTTATGACTTGCGCCAGGGCGGCGGAGAGTGCCCCGAGGAGAGACGAGTGGAGTGTTATTCTGATGATTGACATTTCAATAATGGTACCTGGATAAAATATTCTACAGAACCCAAGTTATCTATTCTTGATACAAGGAATGATTTAGAGTGAAAGAAGCGGAATTAGTCAATTCCCATTGGCTAAGAATGACTTCATATAAGCCAGACAGATACTCCGTGCTCTACATATTTATTGTACAATACTAGGCACTGAGATAGTTATATAGCATCATGCTACATTGTATAAAACGAGTCTATTTAGTGTGTATTTAGGGCTTTACAATAATGCGCTTGGTACCTGATTTGCTGCCCAATACCAGGTATATATACTCACTCTACTCGCTCTTCCGTGGGTCTCCATCTATCTCCTAGAGTGATTACCTATACTTCTGGGAGATTCAGGTGAAAGTATAACTCTCATTACAGTTGCATTCTGTAATACGTCGAGGCTACCTAGGTAGATGCACTGACAGATTGAACTGCAAGACAGCGCAGTGTGCTGATCCAGAACGGTGCAAAGATGAGCACAGATTATACATAGTATCGTATATCATCTCATTTGAGACTTTTCTCGAGAATTAGAATAAGCCGTGCATGGACACTCGTCTGATATCCTGTGATTAGCGAACTTTGCTCCTGTAGAGCACCAGGTAGGTAGGCTGTGTTCAAGTGGCAGTGCCACTGGCAGTTCGCGCCAGCTCATCTTCGCCCTATCACGGCCCAATCCAGCCAGTTTGGTTGCACGATTGGATGTGCTTCGGCGGGGCGCAAGACGTGTCTTTTCATCTTGCTTCGCTGGAGGCGGTCGCCACGGATCCACCCACTAACTTGTCTTTTTCTTCAAAAAGAAGAATGACTTGCTGGCGCGGGCTTTGTGTATTAGTAGGTACTGATTAGTGCGCTGGACCTCATCTGAGATAAGGGGGCTGTCGCTGATGATTGGTGTCATGGAGATGAATCTAAGCCCCCGGTTCCTTCAGTATATGGAAATGGGAAACGGGGTACTCGGGCTCCATCCGAGTCCTTACTCCGTACCCCATACGGAGCACGCTGAGCATGGGAAAGGGCTCCAAGGTTGATTGGAGACAAAAAGAAGCTGAGGCTAGTGGCGCCTTGCACTGTACCCTGCGTCGAGCACGTTTTGCTGTGAGGCATATCTTCCCGCTTCGAGAAGAAGGCCGAAATGACCTGGCAATTGCCGCTGGTGCTTGTCGAATGGAGACCGAGAATGACGAGCGAAGATCACTGGGATGAAACGTCAAGCGGCAGTCCGATTCTGAGTTTGACTGAGTTTGAGCACTGAGCACTGGGCACTGAGTGGATGAGAGTGATGGCTCAGAAGTATGAACCATCAGCTGATAAGCATGCTCGGTGTACTCGCCATGGATTTGTCTTTCAGCATTGATCCGTTCGTTCTTTTATTGACTCGTTGACCTGATTGTAGACAGCTTGGTGGAGTGTTGATCAGTGAGTGTTGTGGTTGGGACTCGACGGATTCGACTTGGGCAAGCGAGATTATGTAAGACATAACGTGACCGTCAGTAAGCTCTTAGTCTTAGCTTACTTAGCTTAGCCTAGGCTGCCTACTAATCACCTAGGTATCTATCTCACTGTCTCAGAGTAATCTCAATATTAACCAAGAGACTGAATTTATATTTTTATATTACTAGTCTATAGTTCTTTGCAAGTACCACTCTGTATCTAGGTAGTTCCTCCGTACTACATACTCTCTGTAGTAGTCTGTCTCATGAATGAGCTCTCCTATTCGTGTGATGTGATAGTGACAGTGGCTGGTCTGACATGGCGGTCAAGACACGTGGGGCTATGACATCAGCAACCGGTACTACACATAATAATAGAGAATACTAAGGTTATAATACTGGATAGTATATGGATAAATTATGGTATTATTATATATAAAATCACAAGATAAATAATCAAAAAGTCTATACCACGATAGCTCATAATAATCAACTACCTAATAAATTATAACTAGGATAATAACGAGTGACCTCTAAGCAGATCCGCAAGAATTTACCGGATTGGTCGTGGTATGCTGCACGTGATGACTCGGACTCGATCAGGATCTGATCCGAGAGTCCCGACGTACAGCTTACAATACGGTATCACTCCATCGAGCAATCTATGTAGGTAGTATACCTACCTAGGTAGACTCAGCCGATAATAGTTCGTTATAAGTGCGGTTTATAGGTATATGAATGATTGTCACTCATATATACTAGTATTTATAGTATATATAGTATATATAGTATATTCTACAGAGTAGTATGCTACTATCTCCTTGTAGTACTACTAGCACTACTGTAAGGTATACCTGTAAAAATACTAGTCAATACGAGCCAGTCACCCTGCTGCGCCAGCCGTACAAATGCCCCATCGCCCGCTCTTCCTCTCGCCAGCCTTTCTCCTCCTGCTCTCTCTCGTTGGCTCTTTGGCCTTGCCTCCTCACTGCTTCCTCGACCTCATCCTATCATCATCTCCCCCTCCGTGACACGCTCACTTTATTCCCCCTCTCCTTCAATCAGAGCACGAACTGGTATGTATTTTATCCCTTCTGGCTCTCTCTCTCTTCCCTGACATCACTCGTTGCTTCTGTCCTCCCCCCCCCCCCCCCCCCCCCCCCCCCTCTCTGTCTCCCCTCCCTGTGCCATTCAATTCCCCCCTCCCCGCGAATCATCCTCTCTCCTGCCCTCTCCCTCACACTGTCCCCTCGTCAAATCAGAGAGGGCTTTCCCATCGCCTTTCCTCTGGTCCAGACAAAACCTCCAGATCATCCAACCCAATCCCTTTCTTTCGCCAATCCAAATCCACTGTCCCTCTCGGCGGAGAACCTTCCGATCGTGCGGACGCTCCCCCATCCAGGTAAACCATATCATTCCAATTCTCTCCGGCGCTCTTCCACCCAGCAGTGTGCTATGCGCTGCGATGCGACGACTTCCACCAGACGCCCCAGCGTCTTGGGGTCCTCCATATCGCTTTTGATCCATTCTGATCCTTGGTTATTGTCGCTGTCTATTTTATTATTATATTTTTTTTTCCTCTTTCGAGATAATTGTTCTGCGACCGCTGCCTCTTTTTGTTCTCTGTTGCGGTCGCGTCCCACGCGTCCCTCCCGGAATTTTCCTTCGCTACCATCTCTGTTTTATTATCATCTTCCTTGATGGAATAATTTTATGCTGACAACTACCCTGTTCCCAGTCGCGCCTATCTCTAGTTCTTTTTCATTTTCATTTTTTACCTTTTGGCGTTTTTCCTGCGTCATCGCACACACCCTGGACTGCCGGGCTGTTGTTGTTGTCGCTGCTGCGCGCGCCGCCGGTCTAGTCCGAATTCGTTGGCCTCAGGCGCCTTAGGCTCCAGGTATGTCTCGCTGCCACACACTCAACCTCACATCCTTACCACTTAACACCTTGCCAACGCATGCATCCCTCTCTCTTCCCTCCCCCCCTCACTTCTATTTCTGATGGTTGGCTCGATAGGATTCCTGCTGTGCCCTGCCGAGGCTCAAGCTAAAGTGTGTGTTTGGCTCCGCACCGCCTCAGATCACCCCGAGGCCACGAGGCTCACCACCACCACCACTACCCAGCGGGTATAGACGGCGTAGCGATTGTCTTGTGCTGTTTCTGCAGGCGCAGTCAATCTCCTAAGGCATCGCCGTTTTTTTTTTTCTTTTTTCCTCTATTTTTTTTTTCCCTGCTCTGTGTGTCTGTCTTCCTTGACAACGCATCAGCCACCGCTCCCCCGGTCGAGAGGGCGTTAACCCACCCCCCTCCCTCTTTCCATCCTTCTCTTGTCCCTCTTGCTTTCCCCCCATCCGGGTGGCCTGCTGCATCAGAGCCCAACCACGTTACACCCGGTCGTCGGCAACGTAATCAGACGTATTCGACAGAAAAAGACCGTCGAACCGCCGTCGAGGACACCGGCGATTCCCACCAAGAACAGAAGGAGAGAGAGAGAGAGAGAGTCGCATCGTGTGTATGTATGCCCCTCCAAAAAAAAAAAAAAAAGAAGACCAACCAACGTCCGAATCTCCGTTTCCCTTGACTCTTCTTCCCCACCTGTCACAGGTCCAGTGACCGATCGGTCCTGCGCTTGGTGCTGACGAGTTGATCCTAGGCTGCAGGCGCTCCCGTTTTAACTCATCGAATCATCGCTCGTACACCGGCAAACACTGTCGCGCGCGCGCAAGATCGCGATCTCGTCAGACGTTGAACCAACAACCAAACACCTCGTTGATCTTTCTCTCATCGGGTTATTGACGAATCATTCGCCTAGTCCTGGTTTATTTTATCTTATTTTTTCTTTTTGAAGGGTGTTTTACAACTGATTTACCCGACCGTCGATTCGGTCGTTGAAACGCTTTCATGATGGAATACCCCCCCCAGTACCAACAAGCCCACGGCCAACATCCTCATGCGCAATCGCATCTGCCGGGCTCCTACCAACCACCCCCGCAGGCCGGCCAGCCGGTGGGGTCCATGACCTCGCCGACAAACCCACAAGCCCACCTGCAGCAGCAGCATCAGGCTTCACCCATTGTCCCCTCGCAGAGTCATTATCCGCCCGCGCAGAATCCCGCCGGTCCTGTCCACCAACAGATGAATTTTCCGCAGTCATACGGCGTCGCCGCAGCCATGCCGCAGCCCTACGGCATCTCTCCGACCCAGGCTGCCGCCATGGCTACCGCTGCCGCCTCGGGGCAGTTCTACCCCCTCCACCAGGACTCGATGGCGGGTCAGATGGCCCAGGGCCCCCGCGGCTCCCCGCGCATGGCCGGCGTCCAGGTGAAATCCGACCGCAACCCTCGCTCGCCGCCTCAGATCCCTGGCCAGATGCCCCCAATGGCCTCCCAGGTCACCATGCAGCAACGTCGGATGAGTCACGTCGGCAGCCCACACGTCCCCAGTGCTCAGCCCGTCATCAACCACGTCGGGCGGCCCTCGGTGCCTCCCACCATGCCTCCTCCCCCACAGCCGTCCGTTCAGCACAGCCAGCCGTCGCCCGAGATGGTCCAAGGGACCGCCGAGGAGTCGCCCCTCTACGTCAACGCCAAGCAGTTCCACCGCATCCTCAAGCGCCGTGTCGCTCGTCAAAAGCTCGAGGAGCAGCTCCGTCTTACCTCCAAGGGTCGCAAGCCTTACCTGCACGAGTCGCGCCATAATCACGCCATGCGCCGGCCCCGTGGGCCCGGTGGTCGTTTCCTCACCGCTGACGAGGTCGCTGCCATGGAGAAGAACCAGGCAGCTGGCGGCGGCGGCGGCGGCAGTGGCGCCCAGGACTCCGGTAATCACAGCGGCAAGTCTGGCGCCACCGACTCTCCCTCCATCGGCTCCAGTGCTCAGAAACGCAAATCCAGTGATCTGTCAGAGGAGAAGGAGAACAACTCCAAAAAATCAAAGACGCGACACAGTGCCAGCGACAGCGACCCGGACTCGGGTGAGCCTTCCGATGAAGAAGGCTGATCTCTCTTCTTCCGTACCGTGGATGGCTGCACTCACTCACCTCCTTTTCTTCATCCTCCTTCTTACTTCGTCGTATGTACTTGGTCATCACGGTTGTTCTGGAACGGACGTTTGGTGTTTGTTCTCAATTTATTCTATTCTATTTTTTTTTTTTTTTTCATTTTC